TCTGGTGGACAACGTGTTCGGCCTCGGGAAATCAACCTTTGGTCAGGAGTACATTCGGAGATGCAAACAAATGTGGGCTGCTCACCCCAAACGAGGGAAAGACAGTTTCCTGGACACGTTGACCGAGTGCCACACGATCCAGATTCAGTTTTCCCCAATGGACCTCCTGGATAGCAAGTTGGAGTTTAATCCTGAAAAGGCCGACAAAGCTTTGGTGGAGCAGATCAGTGATTTCTTCGAGGATAAATACGACAGATTACCCGGTGCTCTCACTCCCCAGTCGCTGCAAACTACTTCAGGTCTGGTGCCAGTCTTCAAACGTTTGACGAAAGAAGTGGGCCCACTGTTCATCGTGATCGACGAAATTGGCGCGGCCTTCGACGCTGTCAAGTCTGGTGACATTGCCAAACGAGAACGCTTCATGGAATTCTGCACAAAGATCCTTTGGCCGTTATTTCCCAACCATAAGTTATTTTTCTTGATTGCTGGTCGCGCATCGTTCCTGAGCTACGTCGGTTTGAGACTAACCGCAGGCGTTGAAATGACAAGCAGCACATTCGAGTTTCAAAGGCTCAGCCTTAATCTTCTTCGGCCACCCGCTATTGAAAAAATCATCAAGGAGACGAATTGGGACGACGAGAAAAAGAAGACCATCAAGGATTACTATGGACTAAACGACGACCAAGTGACGAAGATAGCCGCCCGTCTCTTCCAAACTACGTTCGGCCACCCGCGATCGCTGCTGGAGGCCTTCAAAAAGTGTGATACCGCTGATGAGCTTGAAAACTTCAACCCAACAAGTCCGCTCCTGGACGGGGTCAATTGGCAGCATTTTCGTGAGCGCTTGTGGAAGTTTGAGATACCACTTCGGGAACTCATGAGGCATGTGCGCGAAGAACAAGGACAAGGAAAATATTTCAACTTGTCAAAGACGTGGAGAGACCAGGGCGGCAGAGATATCACGTACGATATCATCACCAACATTTTCGGTATTGCGTGGGAAGGCGAATCGAGGCAGGCGAAGATATACATACCGCAGTACATCCAGTACGCGATATCGATCGCCTTCTACCCTTTCAGAAAGATGCTTGAGATTGTTGCAACGGTACTCGGCGAAGTGGCAATCGACCATCCGGACCAGTTCGAGTACTTTTGCCTGGCGCGCTTCCAGGAGTTGTTTTCTACGAAGATCCGACCTTGTGACAAGCTTCGCAGTTTCTTTTTGAAGGAGCAGCTGTTTGGGAACGCGGACGTCGAGTTCCCAAGGGGTTCATACTTTTTGCCGAAGTTTGCATCGAATGGCAAGGATCCGGCTTCGATGGCCTCAGCCACTGCGAAAAAGGAGAAAGCGGGGCCTTTGCTGACAGAGATTTATGACTTCGCGCTCGAAAATGGGGGGTTGGTCCTGAAGCCGCTTCCGAGGTCATCATCGCCAGACGTCCTGCTGATCTCGACGGCGGGAACGCCATTACTGCTGGGTCTTGCCGTTAAGAATTATACGTTGTCCAGCAAGGTCAATGGCAAAATCGTGCGGGAGGAGTGCAAGAAGTTTAGTCGGCTGTGCACTCAGTATCCGAACTCCGCGACCTCGCTGAAGGTGCTCATTGTGTGTGCGACGTCTTACGACAAGACCCTACAAAAACTGTTTAACCCATCGGCACCGTTGGGGTCCAAGTGCGCGCGGTATTCGATGGACGGTTTCGAGAGGGAGGAGAAGGAGGGCATCAACGAGGTCATAATCCTGGATTTGACCACAAAGAAAAATCGGGCCGAGTTCTTCGGGATCGACGGGGAGAAGCATCTTGTCGACGCGTTGGAGGGCGTCATTACTAAAACCGCGATGGAGAGCACCACGACCAGGATCCAATAGTGCGAGTTTGCCGAGTCGATAGGGCCGTGTGTGCTCTTGAGCGTTGAGCCAAACGTTCCGTCTGGATCAAGGTCCCCAGGTGCGGCAGGTGAACTTGAGTTAATCCTACAACGAAAAAAAAGTTGATTTTGGTGCAGTAGCGGTCTTCTCGTTGACGAGTACTTGAGCACTCTTCTTCAAAACCATTCAGGAAGAGGGTCGATCACTCCGGAATCGTGGCTAAACGCCTCATAGCGGGCTTGCTTGACCTCCTCGAACTTTGACGCAGTTTCAAACGAGTTCTGCTTGATACGATCCAGTTCCTCCTTCTCTTTCCCAATCCGGTTCTGAATCACGTCGAACTTGTCCAACGCGCGCATGTTTGGTTTCATACGCTCCAGCTCAGTGAGCAGCACACCGATTTGCCTTTCGTATCTGGTTTTGATCTCATCGAACTCCTTACCATCCACGACCACATGCGCATCAGGAAGCGCTGAAAAATCCACTTCTTGGTTTGCTGAGTCTTGATGCTGTCCGTTGATTGAATTCTTTCTCTTGGTGCTGACGTATTTGTCCGCTGTGTTCTGCTGCAGTGACTCGTGGAACGAGGAGGTTGCGGAGCCGGGAAGCTTCGTGTCGAAGCCGACGAACAAGCTCCCCCCCGCGCCTCGCCGCTTTGACAACGACATCTCCAGCAGCAGCAGCATCCCGCCGATCACTGGTCTTGACACACCGCGCGGCAAAAAAGACGCCAAGGACTGGAAGAATGACGACCAAGCGGCTTTCGGAGAGCCCAATGACAGTGGAGTTCGCTCACCATTTTTCTTCGGCGCGAAGCCTCCTCCGGCTGAGGAAGCGTCGGACTTCGGAGACCGTGACGCCCTTGTCTCTCGTGACCCGTACGCTCACTACTCGCGGGACTCCAGCCGTCCTGGGTCGGATAAAAATCTGCCGCCGCTCCGCCACGACGAAGACGACTATTTCTTTGGAGTGCCCAGTGAACCTGTGGCTAAGCCCACGACCTGGGAAGAGATCCGACGTCGCGCTGCCGAGCAGCGGAAGTGAGCAATGGACCTACCATAGCAAGTGCAACTGGGAAACAAGCAAAACCAAGGGAAATGTCGTGAAGCAGAACCTTTGACGAGGGCATTGTGGTGCAGCTGGATTTGGATCGAGCCCGACTGTTCAGTGATTTGTTAGTGTGTGTGTGTCTAGGGCGAGCAGGATGCAGTCGGCGACCGCTAGCAGCGAGAAGCCCAAGGCCGATGATCATCTGAAGCCGTACATGACTGGGGTGAAGAAGCCGAAGGAAGGTGGACTGCAGACTTCCAGCTCAGTGGTGAGGTTCTCCAGCACGAAGGCGTTGTCGTACGAGGGGCTGCTGTCGGAGGAGGAGCTGGCCGTGTTGAGAGCCATCGTGGCTCGAGAAGCTGGGCTGGAAGAGTTGCTGCGCTGCTGCTGCGCGTTCGAGGACGACCAGAGTGTTGAGCTGCTTGAGGCGCTCATTCGTGTTCGAGAGCTCTCGCTAGCGACTGTGGATGCGGTCGCTGGGTGGCGACGACGCATGATCCAGATCCGCCCGTTCCTGTGGCGAGACCTCAACTACGTGCTCAAGATGACGTGCGACCTCGACTTCGTTAGCAAGAGCCAGCTCGCCACCTCTGCGATGGACGGAGTGCGCTTGCCTCGGCGAAACCCGTTCTCGACGATCGGGGGTCTGGACAACAGCATGCGCGTGTTCTGGGCCATCGAAATGCCCCAAGAAGAGGATTTGTCCGTGCTGCTGGACTCAGCGTCGTTCGCGCTCAGCCAGGTGACCGTCGACCTCCCGTCCAAGATTCGTCTCGCAGAGTGCTTTTTGCTCTACGAGGAGCAGCGCTACGGCAAGTTTTCGAGGGCGCAAGCTGCCGCCGATCACCGCTTGAAGGAGTTGGTGCAGAAGGAGGCGGAGTACGCGTCCAAGGCGCGCTTTGGCGCTGTGAAAGAGCCTGAAGACTAGCTGAATTGATCCGTTCTTGACCATAAAGTAAGGTTGGCATCCACTCGCCGCAAAAGAAACCCGAAAGGGTTTAGACTAAGCCGAGCGGTAGTCAGAAGATAATGCCGCTTTCCACTGTCTGCAGAGCCCTAGGTTTCCTTTGAACTCGGGGTCAAACCCACACTACTCGATTGCAGCCTGACTACTATTACTACCCATAGGCCGCCACACACACGATGAGGGTGTTTAGTCGGGTGTGGGCAACTGGCAATGTAGTTTCGCTGAGTTCACCGGGGGCGGCATCATTTTGAACGAGTAGGCCCACCATTCGTGTCGTGCCGCTCGTCGTTGCTGTCGTGAGTATGCTATCGAGAGACGACGATCCCTTCAGCGCCTTGAATTCCTCAGCATGGAGCACCACGAGCTTCACCTCCCGCATTATTATCGTGTTTTTTCCACGATACCTATCAGAATCGTCGACGTTGGAGCTCTCGACGGACGGAATCCAGTATGCAAACGGATAGTGGGTTTTGGCCTAGTAAGAGCGTGAAGTACGACTGATGTATTAGGTCAAGCGAAAGATTTTCTTGGAATTTGCTCACTTAAATCTGCAGACGATGGAGGCGCAGGCGCCGTGGAACGCGTTTCTTGGGGTAAAAGGGGGGTCTAGTCGCCCGCTCGATCTGGAAGTTCCTGCTGGAAAGGTTGTTGGCCAAGTGTTGCCCACACCCGACTAAACACCCTCATCGTGTGTGTGGCGGCCTATGGGTAGTAATAGTAGTCAGGCTGCAATCGAGTAGTGTGGGTTTGACCCCGAGTTCAAAGGAAACCTAGGGCTCTGCAGACAGTGGAAAGCGGCATTATCTTCTGACTACCGCTCGGCTTAGTCTAAACCCTTTCGGGTTTCTTTTGCGGCGAGTGGATGCCAACCTTACTTTATGGTCAAGAACGGATCAATTCAGCTAGTCTTCAGGCTCTTTCACAGCGCCAAAGCGCGCCTTGGACGCGTACTCCGCCTCCTTCTGCACCAACTCCTTCAAGCGGTGATCGGCGGCAGCTTGCGCCCTCGAAAACTTGCCGTAGCGCTGCTCCTCGTAGAGCAAAAAGCACTCTGCGAGACGAATCTTGGACGGGAGGTCGACGGTCACCTGGCTGAGCGCGAACGACGCCGAGTCCAGCAGCACGGACAAATCCTCTTCTTGGGGCATTTCGATGGCCCAGAACACGCGCATGCTGTTGTCCAGACCCCCGATCGTCGAGAACGGGTTTCGCCGAGGCAAGCGCACTCCGTCCATCGCAGAGGTGGCGAGCTGGCTCTTGCTAACGAAGTCGAGGTCGCACGTCATCTTGAGCACGTAGTTGAGGTCTCGCCACAGGAACGGGCGGATCTGGATCATGCGTCGTCGCCACCCAGCGACCGCATCCACAGTCGCTAGCGAGAGCTCTCGAACACGAATGAGCGCCTCAAGCAGCTCAACACTCTGGTCGTCCTCGAACGCGCAGCAGCAGCGCAGCAACTCTTCCAGCCCAGCTTCTCGAGCCACGATGGCTCTCAACACGGCCAGCTCCTCCTCCGACAGCAGCCCCTCGTACGACAACGCCTTCGTGCTGGAGAACCTCACCACTGAGCTGGAAGTCTGCAGTCCACCTTCCTTCGGCTTCTTCACCCCAGTCATGTACGGCTTCAGATGATCATCGGCCTTGGGCTTCTCGCTGCTAGCGGTCGCCGACTGCATCCTGCTCGCCCTAGACACACACACACTAACAAATCACTGAACAGTCGGGCTCGATCCAAATCCAGCTGCACCACAATGCCCTCGTCAAAGGTTCTGCTTCACGACATTTCCCTTGGTTTTGCTTGTTTCCCAGTTGCACTTGCTATGGTAGGTCCATTGCTCACTTCCGCTGCTCGGCAGCGCGACGTCGGATCTCTTCCCAGGTCGTGGGCTTAGCCACAGGTTCACTGGGCACTCCAAAGAAATAGTCGTCTTCGTCGTGGCGGAGCGGCGGCAGATTTTTATCCGACCCAGGACGGCTGGAGTCCCGCGAGTAGTGAGCGTACGGGTCACGAGAGACAAGGGCGTCACGGTCTCCGAAGTCCGACGCTTCCTCAGCCGGAGGAGGCTTCGCGCCGAAGAAAAATGGTGAGCGAACTCCACTGTCATTGGGCTCTCCGAAAGCCGCTTGGTCGTCATTCTTCCAGTCCTTGGCGTCTTTTTTGCCGCGCGGTGTGTCAAGACCAGTGATCGGCGGGATGCTGCTGCTGCTGGAGATGTCGTTGTCAAAGCGGCGAGGCGCGGGGGGGAGCTTGTTCGTCGGCTTCGACACGAAGCTTCCCGGCTCCGCAACCTCCTCGTTCCACGAGTCACTGCAGCAGAACACAGCGGACAATTACGTCAGCACCAAGAGAAAGAATTCAATCAACGGACAGCATCAAAACGCACGTGGCGGCCCCTGAATGCTGAAACTTGGCGTCCAGCCCCTGCACGAACGGGTTGTCCGGGATCTTGTTCTTTAGACTACCAAGCGACAAAGAACAAAGAAAATTAGTGAGGCTGCTATCCAACTGCAAATGTTAAAGAAAACTCACATGTTCCTAGCGCGCGCCGCAAAGGGCGACTTGTCCGATGGGAGCATCAACAGGTCCGAGAACAAGTCCCGGCGGATGCTGATGATGCCGTAAGAGGCTCCAAACAGACCGCCAGCTGCACAACAATAAGAAATAAGTATTAGATAAAACAAATAAAAAGTTTAGGTGTCATTCGAGACTCACACATCATGGCGAAGGCGCCCGCCACTTTCTTCTGGTTCTTGGAGAGTTTCCAGAGCCCGGCCATGACCGACGAGCCGAAGATGGCGCCCATGGCGGCGCGGCGCTTGCCTTTGTTCGCGTAGTGGGCCAGGATCTCCATCTCCGGCTCCGTCCTGCAGACAAATTTTAAGTAAGTTTTAGCAATTTCTGTGTTGTTTTAAGGGCCTTAAAGTTGAGGCGACGTGACGTACTTGCCGATGAAGGACGCGTTCTTGTCCTTGGACATCTCCACGCTCAGCGTGCGGATGGCGTCGTCCACGGGCACCGTGCCGAATGAGGTCATCTTGGGCTTCCGTGGCTCGGGGATTTGTTGGGAATGTGCGGTTAATAGAATGGAGGAAGGGGATTGGGTAAAATTGGGGATATTATTTGGACCAATGGTGCGTCTTACTGGTAATTCACTTCAAGTTGCAACTATTGAAGTAGCTTGTCAACATGATGGGGCAGATATGCACAGGCCAACACCAGGAGGACAGGGAGAGTCGAACGGCTCAGGCTTGCACGCGTGCTAATCGAGGTGCTTGAGATAGTATCCAAGAAGATGTAAGACATTGATTTCCTTCGTCCGGAAATATCGATTGACTAAAACATTTCATCTAAACTAAATCACCTAGACGATGGTGTTTTTGGTGGTCTGGGCAACACCCTGCGAGGGATAAGGCTGCAGTGAAGAAGCTCTGCATGGAGCATGGAACCTGCTCACTTGTCCTTGAAGTTGTCTCCCGAAGGCTTGTCCGAGCCGCTGCAATACGCCAAGTTAGTTCAAGACCGGTGACACAATGAATATTATGGATTGCGAGAACATTGCACGTACGTCGGGAGTCCTGCGCCTCGGAGCAGCTCCTGCGCGTACGCGTTGTGCGAGAGCTTGGTCTGGAGACTGTGAAGCAAGCGCGGGCACAAGGGACATCAGATCTCATGCGCATCAATTTGAATAACGAGCTTCACGTTATGACGTACATTTCTCTCGCTTGAGCAGCATGCGGAGCCTTGTCGCTTGGAAGCTGGAGCAGCTCCGTGAACAACTCGTGTCGGATATTGCTCGCACGCACCGACGTCCTGGCACCAATCGCACCACCGACTGGAGATAGCCGCGTTAGATGCTAAAGTTCACAAATCTAGCAACAAAGCGCTGTACGAACCGAGAACTCCCACGACACCCAAGGTCGTCCCGAGTGCAGCTGCATTCCAGACGCCAGCCATGGCTGTCGCTCCCAAGAGGCCACCGAGCGCGGCGCGACGCGTCCCTTTCTGGCGATACTTGACGAAGACGTCTCTCTCGGCCGGCGTGATGTCTTTCCTACTCTCTCACACACATATCACAGCAACAGTTAGCCACCTTGACAGGAAGGGAGCGTGTTTGTTGTACGCAGTGTGGAGGTACTCACATCCAAGGTGCACGGCCAAAGCCTCGTGGCCCGAAACCCCATGGCCCAAAGCCACGAGGAGGACCGGGACGCTCGGGACCGGAGCCGTCCTTCTTGATGTTCTTGGCAAACATCTCGGATCGCATCGTGCGCATGACTTCGTACTGGTCGGGGGACGTGGAAGGCATCATCCTGTTAAAGGTCGGGCTGTTTGCTTTGCTGGAGGAGCTTGGGATGCTGGCAAGCTGGAGAATTGAATTGTGAGCAAGAGCGGCTCTCTCAAGAGAGAGCCCACTGGTAGTCAATCAGGCTCCTCCAGCGCCCCGGTGGACCATCCGTGCGGAGTAAACGCTTGTGTTGATGCCGAGTGCCAGAATGAATGTGTAACGACATGGGCAGGTGCACCAAATTAGGTACGCATATGGCTTTGGCAGTAGCTTTTTGACCGGTATCCGAACAACCAATCATTCTACTCCGGGGTATACTAAGTACTGAAACGAGCGTGTTGTATTATTGTCTCGAAACAACAGTCCTATCGCGGTAAGTTGTGAACCTAAGTATGTGTTTCTTCAGCGATTATTCCTACGAGACAAGTTCCTGTGCTAAGACTCGATCACGTCCGCGGTAACACACGCCATGATTTTATTTGTCCGACTTCAGCAGTTCCTGCGCAAAGGCGTTGTGCGGCAACTTCTCTCGGATGCTATAAGTGATGCACGAGCACAACAGAAGAATCAAGAGCCTTTATCGCAACCCCCTTCACTGTCAAATCAAATTCAATTTACCACGTACATCTCTCTTGCTTGGGCAGCGCGTGGCGACCTCTCGCCTGGAAGCTTTACCATCTCGCGGAACATTTCCTGGCGTATTCCGCTCGTGCGTACAGACACTCGGGCACCGATCGCGCCGCCCACTGAAAAAGGTGAGTAAGAATTGCAGCACAGTTGTAGTTAGTATCTCCTTCTTGCCGTATTGAGGCAGGTTCATAGTGAAAGAACGCACTGATCACTCCAGCGACCCCCAAGAAGCCCCCAGCGCAGCGACTTTCCAAACGCCAGCCATCGCCGAAGCCCCAAGGATTCCTCCGATCGCTGCCCTCTGTCTGCCCTCCTCCCGGTACTTCATGAGCACGCCCATTTCCGTCGGAGTGATATTCTTCCTAATACTCACACAAAAGATAAACGATCCACGGTCAGTACGTCGTTGGGGACAATACAGCAGAAGGGTAGATAATGACACCCCCATCCTTGACGGTCGCCTGGGCCAAAGGAGCCTGGTCCATCGTATCCCCACGGGCCGAAATGTGCAGGGCCAAAGCCCCAAGGCCCAGGACCCCCAAAACCCCAAGGGCCACGACCACCGCAGCCCCCGGAGCCGAGTTTCCATGGAGCGTCGAACACGCCTGGACTAATTCTTTTCTTGGCGAGCTCGGAACGGAGCGTGTACAGGACCTCGTACTGTTCGGACGACATCATCTTCGGTTGCTGTGCTTGTCGGCGGGCTGCAAGTTGAATTGTGAGCTCGGATATTGCTGATGCAGTGACAGCCGTGAAGCATTCTCGTCCCAACCGACGCAGCGAATGCTTGTACAGGGCGTCAACGTGCTGCGTTGACTCCGTTCCGATGTTGACGCCCCGCACAGCTGGTTGTCGACTGTGAGTCCTCTCTTCTTTGCAATTTGTATTGGACCACGGGTTTGTTGCTTATGAAGTGCGTTGGTCGCGCAAAACTTGGCCGTCTCCAAAACTGCATGTACATGTATGATACAAGCAGAAGCAACAGCAACAAAAAAAACTCGTCATCTTTGAAGTAGTGTATAAATGCATTATGCTGTGAAATTGGAGTGCTGTTTTCTTTCGGTTGTTTCTGCGAGGGAAGATCGTCTTATCTTCTGGCTTTCGGTACCTTGGGTCTTGTGTGAAGCTACTTGGCAAACCCCGATTGCTGAAGCAGCTCTTGCGCGTATGCGTTGTGCTGCAACTTCGTGGTGAGGCTACAGATCGAAATGCAAGTAGAAATTCGTCAGCTGCAACCGTGGCGTGAGGCAGAATCTCCATCAAGTTTAACCTTACATCTCTCGAGCCTGAGCCGCATGCGGCGACTTGTCTTCGGGAAGCTTGAGCATTTCCGATATTATCTCCTCGCGGATGCCGCTGGTTCGCATCGAAACGCCTGCGCCGATCACACCACCAACTGCACGGATACATAGGGGGAGTCCTTAGTTAGTTGATCAACCAGTAGCACAGTAGCACAGTAGATCATTAGCCACGCACGTACTGATCATGCCCGTGACACCCATGGGTCTGCCCAGCTTCGCCATCTTCCACACGCCAGCCATCGCAGACGCGCCTAGAAGTCCACCAACGGCGGCGCGCTGCTTGCCCCTCCAGCGGTACTTCATCAGAACGTCCCTCTCCGCCGGTGTGATGTTCATCCTACACAAACGAGGTCAACCAAAGAGCTGTGTTTTCAAGGTAGAATCGGATAGCACTTACATCCAGGCGCGACCGAAACCTCGGCCACTGAAGCGGTCGGGGTTGGTATCTCCCTGCTTGGCGAACAGCTCGGAGCGCAGCGTGTACATGACTTCGTACTGCTCGGACGACATGGAGGACATCATCGTGGTGGTGGCGGTTCAGGTGGGAGACCTTCTGTGCTGGTGGATTGAATTGTGAGTGGGGATCAACCAGAAGTGTGCTTGCTGCCGTTGCCGTTGCGGTGCAGAATGCTTGTTACTTCGGCGTAAGCAGTTGTGATGACGCCTGGGAGCAGGAATGAATGCTCAATGTAGCCATATGGCAGATGGCTACACCTCTGGAGGGCTTGTTGGGCTGCTATCGTAGCGGGTACTTCGCGCAGTGTTACTTATCGCCCCGCAGACTCTTCGGCAGCGGGCCCTCTAGATGCCGCCCACTACTTCGAAGATGGATGCGTAGGAAAATATTTTAGCTGAACAAATTCAAATTCAAAAAGGAACAGGACGGTGTAGAAATGAAATGATCGATGTGCCTCTGGAAAAATTGATAATAAAGTCGCGCCGGCAATGTGTGTAAGTGCACCAAGTTGTAGTAACGATACCCTCGAAAGAAAACAGGAAGACCTAAAAGTCAAATGCGTGCAAGCTGTTACCCGGATAAAAGGGAATGATGGTTCTGGTAAGCTTTTCTTACAACAATTTCCTTTGGCGTTGTGAAGTGGTTATTTAATTTTACCACGCGCTTCGGCTTCCACATCCAGTAGGTTAAGCATTCATTCGCAACCAACAGGAATGCTTGCACAAGCAGCCGTTAACGCCGCGATCGATCTGACCTCAGCTATCGCCACTTCGGCGTTCACTTTTCGATTTTCCATCCTTCGAGCACACCAAGCACCAAGACCCAAGAACAATCGCCGATCCGAGTACGATGCTGACATCCGACCAATACGAAGTCATTTCCACGCTGCGCTCCGAGATGGCGGAGAAAGGTTTCAGTCGGTTCGGGTGTCGCCGAAGCTGGATGTGCGTTGCCTAACTATGAACTCCCACCACCACCACCACCACAAATTGGGCGCTAAAGATTGATTTATGCTGTTTATGAGCAGGAAGAACATCACTCCTGCCGAGAGGAAGTTGTTCATGAAGTATAGGAAGAAAGGTGCACGCCGTGCTGCCAGCGGCGGCCTCTTTGGGGCATTGGCGATGGCTGGCGTGTGGAAGATCGCAGCGCTGGGAACGGCGTTCGGTGTCACGGGGGTCATCGGTGCGTTTCCACCAGTTCACCTGACGTCTACACTTTCATTTGCTAATTTTTGCCGTTGACTTCGTTTCTGCAGTGGGCGGCCTGTTCGGAGCTTGGATGGCGATGCGCGCTAGTCGCATTCGTATCAAGATGGTCAAGGAGATGGTCAAACTGCCGACTGACGAATCCCCTCAAGCGTGGTGAGCTTTTACTTCCGTAGTCGACGAGCGGCTCAGCGTTGGAGTGGAATGATTTGCCCATTTGATGGAAAAGGACTTGAGTTGGTGGACTACAACGAACTTCGGTATCAACGCCCGAACGCTGTCCTCCGACTCGACCACTTCCGGTTTTTACTATTGCTGCTTCGTGGTAAGATCTCGCCACTCGAAATGTATGAGCTCTTAACGAAAGAACTCAAACAGCAAGTGAAATCAATCAAACACCCGAAACTGAACGAGCCGGGGCGAGGACGAGAGACATGGGAAGTTATCATCGAGGGACCAATATGCCCGCTGGTGCTCAGCAAGCACACGCGCATTCACCTCCCGAAAACTCACCTATTGATTCACCTGAGCGATGTACACATTAATTTGCCCTGTGTGAAGTGTAGTAGCAAGTGGCACTCCCAGATGCGATGCAACGCTCAGTCCGAAAATTGCAAGCAGGCAGCAGATCAACGCACGCTGAAGATAACACCGCAGGAAGCAAGCCCTTCGATTAAAAAGGAGATCGCATCGGTTGGTCCCTCAATCCAAAACGTTGACCAGCTCTTTGACTTTTTTGCTCGTTGGGGCGTACCGGAGACCAAACCGTGCTCGACGGAGACGAAACTGAAGCACTAGGAAGATGAGGAGGTCACCCCAGGTAATGTGGAAAATGATGATAGGGTTATGGGTCCCTCAGATAACCATGACAAGACCATAATGGGGGCCGACGAAGCGAAGAAAGCTGACGGCCATGTAGACACGGACATTGAAATGGAAGGCGATAGCTCGAGCGACAAGAACGCCGCAACCCCTGAAACCAGAGAACGCTTGCTGGAGACAGCTCAATCCAGCACCAAGACGGACGCAGTGGCCACTTTGGATGAGGCAAAACCTGTTGCGTACAAGGCAAGCAAACCCATCCCGGTCCAGCTACAACAAAAGCGCGCACGCGCCAACACTGAGGCTGAACTGCAAGAAGTTGCGCCCCGGAACCAAGGCGATGGGAGGCCACTTCGCGAAAGAGACGCTGCTACCCATGAGCAGCATCGGCGCGTACTTAAGCAACTTTCAGGAAGAAGACAAAAGAAAATATTGCGTCAAGGCTCCAAAACGCAAGAGTGCTCAGTGGCATCTCTGTCGCCAACCAAACAACAGGCCGCGGAGCCGAAAGCGCTAAAGCAACAATCTCTTTTTGACGCTTTTGCCGGTGAACGGGACGCACCGCATCTACCTTCTGAAGATGAGGTGAATAAGGGGACGGATCTGGAGAAGACGGAGATGGATAGTGGGCCGACACCTTCGGTCCTCATGGAAACGCAAGATGAAGATGAAGACGTGGAATGCGTGGGTGAAAATCTAACCGAGACAAAACGCGATCTCCAGGTATGGCTCAACGCGATTGGGGGAAGATCACGGACGTAGAAGCTAATGGGCAGGTGGGTGGCAGTAGCGCACAACGATATGACGCCAAAAACCATACAGGAGGCAACAATGTGGAAGAGAAAGATCCTAAATGTGCTGCTCGCGAAAATAAATCCACTTGTGGAGGCAAAGGTAATTGATCTTGCAACTGAACAAGGAACCAGTTATTCATCGAGCACCACTCCGACGACGACACACTCGAACGCGGACGCTTTACTCATGTACTGGGACTCGGAGCGAAGGCGCAGCGTAGATATTCCCGTTCCGCAGAGCTGCTGGGTGAATATGACGATTCTGCATGGGGCAACTCTGTTTCTACGAGAGCCGGTATATGTACTAGATGTGCACCAGGATGGTGGCACATACCTCGGAATGTATGCGTATCGAAAAGTAGACCGCCACGGAAAAGCAGAAGACATCCCATTTTTCGCGAACATTCATGCCGACAAGGGGCTACAACTGCTGGAAACTCTGCGAGGAAAAGGAGTTCGTCCTGTCATGATTGTACTTACACACTCGGTTCACAAAGGCAGCGAGAACTCACCACCAGTTATTAAGAACCACTACAAAGCAGTGACTTTCTCTTCTCTTCCGACCGGGCTCCTAGATTCGAGAGTGTACAGCTCCATGACGAAGGCCCATCAAGCAACGCTAACAGAACAAGGTTTTACGCTCAAGGTTGGAGGCAACTTAGCTCAAGCAACGCTCGCACGCACGGCATCCAATGCGGTAACCAGAGCACGGCAGCGAGCAGGAGAAATGGCCGACTCTTCTTCGGCCGGCTCCACTGATTCAACAACGAGCACCTTTGGTATTCATGGTACCAATAATGTAGCAGAGGCGGGCACAAAGCAGCCCGAGACCTCTCTACAGTGCTGAAAGTTGCCACAGGAGGAAAATTTCGTCAGGTCCAGATCCAGACCTCGATACGAGATTTCTTTCCGCACGTGTCGGAAACTCAGAGCAGCAAGCAGCTTCGGAGATGCTTTCGACAGGTTCGGCCAAAGCTAAGGATCAGCACCACCAACACAAAACAAGGAGCGAGAACGCAGAAGAGCGACCTTTCCCCGGATGATTTTACTTACAGCATGGTTACCCAAAATGTGGGTGGCCTTGCATCTTATACCAAGCAGCTCCCGCAATTATTTCAAGGATTTCGAGAGCAGCAGCGTAATGGACTCAATGATTTAGTGATTATACAAGAAACGCACCTGGATGAGGTGGAATCGGCTTTTGCAGAGCAGCAGTATAAAACGGTGTGGGGATACAAGCAGAGTTCACGGTCGGTCGTCTCCTTCTGGACACCCGCTCATGCCGGACAGAGGAATAAGCGGGCTCGTCATGGAGGCGTTGCAATCTTAATCAACCCGCACGGGGCAATCCGCAACGCGCAACCTTGGAGCCAACATCTGTGGACGGCCTATAGGCAGTTCATTAGGTGCAGTCTGCAGGGGGAAGAGTTACTCGTAATGAATTTGTATGCCCCATCCGATCCCAAGGCGCGCAAGCAATTTTTCCAGCGGCTTGTCGACATTCCAGTCCCCGACAACGTCAAGCTCGTAGTAGGGGGAGACTTCAACTGCGTCACCGATTCATTTTTCGATAGGAGAACGAGCGCTAGAACCGGAGACGCAGGACGAGCTGCGTTGCAACAATGGCTGGAATCGCTACATTTAGTTGACGCTGTGGACCACCTAAAGCCGGGCGATATGGACCCTAAAGCAAGGAACGATTTTGCGGCTGACCATCATACCTACTTCTACAAGCTTGCACATGAGAGGGTAGGCTCAAGTCGGATAGACAGGTGGTACCTTGCAGCAAGAATGCAGCCGTGGATTAAGCAAGTGAGCAAGACCGGGTGTCCAATTCGCTCGGACCATTACGGTGTTGCTCTCCAGCTGCAAAGTCCCAAAAACCCGCTGCGCATCAAACGCCTGCCAAAAATTTACCCCATGCCTGAATACATGACTGCCGCCGCTAAAAATCTAATTTCTTCTCGAATCGGTGATTTTCACAAGCACGTACACGAAATAGTGGACGAAGTGGACGCCCCGTGTTTGGCTGAGAGCTGGGATCGTTTCAAGAAGGGGCTAGCAGATGGGCTCGGGAAGCTTAAGCGTCAGTGTCGACGCAAGATGACTCGAGGTTTTCGGCAGCGCATACGAAGAGTGCTAACGAAACTCAAGAAGTGTGAAAGCAGGGAAAACGGAGCTTCGGACCTAAGGGAGCAGCTGCTTGAGCAACTTCAAGCTATACAACAACAATGCAGAAGACTGCGAAGGCGGAACCTCACGCGTCAGCACACTTGGACCGGAAAATCCAACGCCAAGTTTTTCTTTCGCAGAATATGCTCGAAGTTTAGTGACAACATTATTCATGATCTCAAGCAGAGCGGACTGCAACCGAAACGGGATCCTGCGGACAAAGCTAATATTTTAGCAGATGCGTGGTTTCCTGTAATGAACAGCGGTAGCGTGGACGTCAAATCTATCGATGAATATGTGGAGCGGCTGAAGAAAGGGTGGACCAAATACGATCTGAGAGATATGGATGACAAAATAACAGAAGCAGAAGTGGAGGCAGCCATTCGCAAGTGCAAGCGCGGGAAGTCCGCAGGCCCAGACAAACTTGGCAACGACTGGTACAAGGATCATTGTGATATTCTGGTGCCACTTTTGACGATTTTATACAATCGGTGGATAGAGGAAGGAGCCTTTCCGTCGAGCTTCCAGCAAGGCTACATCTTCAGTATTAAGAAAAAAGGAGATGCGAGCTTGCCGCTGAACTATAGACCGATAGCCTTGCTAAACTCCGACTACAAGATCCTGACCCGCATCTTCACACGAAGACGCGCTCTCACATTTCGAAGCTGGTCCACGAAACACAATTTGGGTTTGTTCCCGGCCGAAGAATACACACCGCTATCAACTTGTTCGAGGCGGCAAAGCGCGTTTGCAAAACCAACCCAGAACTTCTAGATGCTCAAGCACTCCTACTCGATTTCGCTAAAGCGTATGATACACTCGATCGTCACTACTTGCTGGCAGTGCTACGGGCCAAAGGGTTCCCGCCCAAATTTTGCCGCATGGTCGAAGTGACGCACGCCAATACAACAGCCACGTTTCTCGCTAATGGATACCCTTCGGCGCCAATACCAGTTACTAGAGGCATAAGAAATAAGTAGGCAACAAGTTCTCTTCGAGTTTCTTTCCCCGGTAAAGTACGGTATCAATGTCCTACTTGATGGGACCGCTGTAGTCAAGAAGCTATGGAAAGCAAGCTACCTCATGCTCAAGGCTCGAGTTGCAGGAGCTCCGACTCACGTAAGCCTCTCGAGTGCTGATCGTGTTTATTGACGAATATATCGGTCCTTGCCATAGCGTGCGAGTTAATCGACGAGTCTAAGCAATCATTACGACTACTTTGACGCTAGACACGATGAATTTCGCTCCAAGTCGTCCATGGCGTGCTGCACACATCCTACAGCCTCACACAGTCGGTGTCGCGAGATCACAACGTGAGGTTGTGTGATCAGAGTGTGCGAGTCGTGATCATTATCAACTCGCAGTCAGAGTGATGAGGCGCCAAAACATCGTGGCAGCGAAGCTGCTCTCCAAAACGACAACATGCACATTAAAACCATGACACTTGTTGCGATCACGTACCGGTTGAGTGTTTCCTCCGCCAATGCTGCCAGTGTGTGGTTCGGTCGGAGGGTTCAGAGATCGTTGACTAGCAGCAGCACCGCACGTAGAAGCCTGCGCCACAACGAAGCACAGCAAACAGCAACTGATAAAGGGACGCACAATTCGAGTCAACTGCGATGTACTATGAGATGCAGCCCCAACAAAGACCGTAGCAAGCCCCCTGCTACGATAGGTAAGGGCCGTGTTTGCCTACCTGGGCTCTCTAGGCGTGCTTGGGCTTCTTGTTCCGCGCATCCTGGAAAGTCGTCATGCCCTGACCACTACCGATCACGCCCACGCGACCCTGCACTGTGTCTGGCGACGCAAACATACTGGAACCGCGCTTAGACAGCACTCCGCTGACACCTTTCTTCAAACCTTTCTTCTTGGCCTTGTGCTGGAAGGCCTTCCAGTCGTGCTGCTTGATGTTGCGCTCGTTGTCGATGTTCTTGTGTCTGTTCAGGCTCTTGATCGCACGCACGCGTTTGCGCTTACGCTCCTTCTCGGCCTCGGAGTCTGTGGGCAGAATCTGCAGGTTCTCCGGGATCTTAATGGGCTTGGCGATGACCGCAGGGGCCAGGGCCGCCGCCGCCGGTGCTGCGGCAGTATGCGTGGCAGTAGCATCGGCTGCGTTAGTAGAGTGAGAGGCGGCTGCAGCAACACTGACTACCTGATCCTGCGCCGCCGCGGCAGCTGCTGCAGGCTTCAAATACTCGTACGGCACCTCCTCCGAGTTGCCGTAGCCGTCGAACAGCACCTGGAAGCCCAGGGCCGTGACTTTGGTCACCGAGCACGGGTACACCACTGCGTCTGCGTAGTACTTGGCCCGGCACTTGAATCCCTCGGCAATAGCCTCTTTAGGCAGCAGCTTAGCAGCATCTTCAGCATCCACCTCGATATCTCGCAGAGCATCGTCCTGGAGCTCCGCAGACGTGCCGAAGCCCAGGAACTTGACGTTGTAGCTGCCGTCGCTCGTCACGGACTCCACGTGCGCCGGGTACCAGACCCCCTGCTGCTGTGCTTCAACTACACAGCCCGGGGAGAACTTCAGGTCTTCAATGTAGCACAACAGCATAAACTTTAGTCAGCATTCCGCCAGCTTCTTTCGCATCAGCAGCTCTAGAGGGGTCATTTACCGAGCGTTGGCGTCGTCTGCTGCTGCTGCTTCTTGGGCTCTTGGGGCGCTGCATCTTGGGTGGACGACGCAGCATTCACCTTGAGATCGATCTACAATAGGATTCAACAGTAAATAACGCCGTGTTAAAGATAAAATACGCTGTAATAAGGATAAGCCACGCCGAAACGAACGCCCCGCCTTACCGTCTCCTTGGTGAGCTGGATGACCTCCACGAGGTCCTTGGCGATGCTCAGGAACTCGGCATTCGTCGGGTCGCTCTGCAGCAGCTCGTGGATGTTCTGCAGCTGCTCCGTGAACGTCACGAGGCGCGTCTCCAGCTCCTCCAGACTCGCGTCCGTCGCCATCGTCTTTGTTTAGGAGAGATGAGGGAGGTAATTAACCGCTCGGTAAGAAATCACCAAAATACCGGTGAGCTCCGGTATCTACCGGTTCGAATATTGCAACCCCGTCGTCGACACTACACGATCGGATCCTTCCTTCCTTCCTTGCTGGGCCTGAGTTTCCTCCTCCTGCTGCCGACCCCCGCGCGCTATCGCTCGCCATGAAGAAGCTGGTGATCAAGCCGTACCGCCAGAACATGGGCATGGACCAGGCGCGCGCCGCGGAGATCTGGGCGTCGCTGCGCACGGCCATCTACGAGATCTTCTCGCACAACGCGAGCCTGCTGTCGTTCGAGGAGCTGTACCGCAACTCGTACAACCTGGTGCTGCACAAGCACGGCGACCTGCTCTACAGCGGCGTGGTGGGCGTCATCACCGAGCACCTGCAGGGCGTGGCGCGGCAGGTGGCCGCCGTGTCGGACGACCTGCTGCTCGTGGCGCTCAAGGACCAGTGGGTGGATCACCAGGTCGTCATGACCATGGTGCGGGACATCCTCATGTACATGGACCGCACCTACGTCACGCAGAAGCGCAAGCTGCCCGTGTACGACAACGGGCTCTACATCTTCCGCGACGCCATCGTGCGCCACGACAGCGTGCGCGACCGCCTGCGCGCGCGGCTGCTGCTCAGCATCGAGCGCGAGCGCCACGGCGAGCTCATCGACCGAGACCTCGTCAAGAGCGTGCTGCGCATGCTCGTGGACCTGGGCGTGCACTCGAACGCCGTGTACGAGACGGACTTTGAGAAGTTCTTCCTCGACACGACGCTCGACTTCTACCGGGCCGAGGCCCAGGCCATGCTGGACGTGGCCACGTGCCCCGAGTACCTGGAGAAGGCGGAGCAGCGCCTCAACGAGGAGGGCGCGCGCGTGCTGCACTACCTGAACCCGTCGACCGAGCACAAGCTCAAGACCATCGTCGAGACGCAGCTGATCAAGAACCAGGCCAAGGCGCTCGTGGAGATGGAGCACTCGGGCTGCTGGGCCCTGTTCCGCGACGGCAAGACGCAGGCGCTGCGCAGGATGTACTCGCTCTTCCGACGCGTGCCCAGCACGCTGCCGGAGATCAGCGACTGCGTGCTGCAGTACATCAAGACGAACGGAGAGGAGATTGTCAAGACGCAGTCGAACCCGGAGACGGCGTTGGACGCGTCGCAGTTTGTGGAGAAGCTGCTGGCGCTGCGTGAAAAGTTCATGGGCTTCTTGTCGGATTGCTTCTTCGACGACCCGCAGTTCCACAAATCGATCAAGCAGGGCTTCGAGGCCTTCATGAACACGAACACAGTGTGCGCGGGGTACCTGGCGCACTACCTGGACGAGCTGCTGCGGTCAAAGAACCGGTTTGAAGAGGAGATGGATACTCGAGTGACGCAGGTCATCGCGCTGTTCCGGTATTTGCAGGACAAGGATGTGTTTGAGGAGTTCTATAAGGTGCTGCTCGCCAAGCGACTTCTCAACAGCCGCGGCACGTCGGACGAGGCCGAGAAGCTCGTGATTTCAAAACTCAAGGCAGAATGCGGCTATCAGTTCACGTCCAAGCTGGAGGGAATGTTCAAGGATATGAGCATCTCGAAGGATCTTATGGAGCTGTACAGGAAGTCGGGCTATGACACCAGGGGGAGCGGCTTTAGCATTGATCCGTCCGTCGCTCCGATGCCGCTGTCAGTTCACGTGTTGACGAGTGGATTCTGGCCGACGGAGATGTCTCCCATGTGCGCCCTCCCGCTGGAGCTCGTCCAGCTGACGCAAACTTTTGAATCGTTCTACTACGCACGGCACAACGGCCGGAAGCTGGCATGGATGGCGAACATGGGTACTGTTGACGTTCGCGCTACGTTTTCTGCCGGCGTGGAGGATGGCAAGCGCCGGCACGAGCTCAATGTGTCAACGTACCAAGCAGTCATTTTGATGCTATTCAACCAGCGCGTCGAGTGGCGCTTTAAGGACCTTGTGGACCGTACGCGCATCGATGTGAAGGACCTGAAGCGGCACCTGATCTCGCTGTGCACGCCAAAGTACAAGATTTTGATCAAGAGCTCCAAGGGCAAGCGCATCGACGAGGAGGTCGATGTGTTCACGATAAACGATGCGTACAAGTCCAAGCTGCACCGCGTACGGATACCGCTGGTGTCGCAGAAGGAGACGTCGTTGCTGCCGGTTGTAGCCTCCAGCTCAAGCAACCCGGCGGATGCGCTGCCGCCCACTGTCGCCGAAGACCGCAAGCACCTCGTGGAGGCCGCCATCGTGCGGATCATGAAGACGCGCAAGCAGATGCAGCACAACCAGCTTATCGCCGAGGTCACGCGCCAGATGGCGGGCCGCTTCACCCCGTCCCCGCAGCTCATCAAGCTGCGCATCGAGAGCCTCATCGAGCGCGAGTACCTGCAGCGCAGCACCACGGACCGACGCATGTACAACTATTTAGCTTGAGCGGTGGCGTAAGCGATAGCGATAGCAACCCATCCGACAAAATGGCGGCGACCTTAAGGCCAAGAACCCAGAAATCGCCGAGCACGAGCGACGTCAGCAATTTTAGAGCCCCCTGGAGAGAGAGACAACAGGATGGAGAGCAGCAATCTCCCGATGTACCATTGCATTGAATGCAATGCTTGCCGTGCGTGATATTTCTTTCGCCTATCTCAACATTTTCTTTTCGGGCTTCATCCCCTTCGTTTAGTGACCTGATACATTACACACCTTCTCTCAACACCGGAATGCTGCTTCGTTTCCCCCGCTATACGAACATGTGGCGCCAACAACACCTGACGCAATAACGCCCCGAGCCAAAAACCAATAGGTCGCCCAATCGCGAGCCAAAATGGCCGAGTCGGAGCTGCTTGGGCTCGCGGGGCTGCGCTCCGTGGCCGTGCAGTCCACCCACATCCACCGCGTGCAGCTGCTGAGCCCGCCCGTGCCCACCGCCAAGCCGCGCGCCGCCGAGCCGAGTCTGCGCGTGCGTCTGCAGCGCCAGTGGCGCGCGAACGCGTGGCTGCTGCTGACACTGGGCTTCCTGTGCTGCCTCGGCCGCCTGCGCGCCGACGCCGCCGCCGCCACCGCCGGACCCAAGAGCAGAGACGACGACAATGCAGTGGCCTCCTCGTCCAGCGGCGACCTGTACATCGTGCTCGTGAGCATCCCCGTGCTGGACAAGATGCTGCCGCTCAAGCACCTGGCCGAGACGCTGCTGTCCCGCGGCGTGCGCGTGGGCTTCGCGCTGCCCGAGAACTGCCGCCAATGGGTGAGCGACCTGGAGGGGCTCGAGTTCATCTCGCTCGGCAATATCGTGGGCAAGGGTCGCGCCACGGCGCTGGACCCGACGGAGCTGCAGACGCTCGGCGTCTACGAGAGCTACGCCAGCACGCTGCGATACTACGCGTCGTTCCAGCGGCCCATGTTCGGGCCGCTGCTGGAGGACCTGGAGGACGACCGCCCGGACCTCGTGGTCGTCGACAGATACACCTTCGCGGGCTTCGACGCCTGCCATCGACTGCAACTGCCCTACGTGGTGAACGACCCGCACCTGCTCTTCGACATAGACTCGCCGCCCGCCTACATCCCGGCGCCGTTCTCCAACTTTACCATGCACGTACGAACTAGTGATGAGGTTGAGGTGGTTGAGTTTCGTGGGAAACAAACTAACTTTTCTTATGGTATTTTTGATGTTTGTTTGTGTAGACGACGAGTGTGCTGGAGCGGTGTCTGAATAGTTACTACCGCCTGCGCTTCCGCCTGGGGCTGGTTCATGTGTATAAGGAGATCAACGCCGTGCGAGGGGAGCATGGACTCGAGCCCATCGACAGCAAGCACCAGATGCACGGCCACGCGCTCGTGCTGGCGAACTCGGTCTTCGGGCTGGACGAGGCGCGCCCCATGACGCCTCAGTTCAAGATGGTGGGCTTGCTGCAGTCGCAGAAGCTGCAGCTCGAGCGCGCAGCATACGAAGACAGCCCTGCTGCTGCACGTAGCAGCCTCCCAGCGGCGCTGACCACGTGGCTGGAGGCACCTGAGCATCGCGACAAGCCGCTGGTGTTTATTAGTTTTCAAACGGACGTGCTGTTGACCCCAGAGTTCATCACAACTATTGTAGGTCTCGAGCTGTTGCGATGGATGATCGGTTGGGTCTACGCCGCTGATACTGATCTTTGCTGTGTTGCTTTTGCAGATGAACGCGCTGGAGACTGTGGATGTCCGCCTCCTGTGGAAGATAACGCTGCAAGAACAAACAGCATTCGATTTGCGCTCGCGTCCCCGAGACTCGGTGTTATTTCTCGGCGACGGAGTGGACGACGCAGCAGTGCTCGCGTTGGCGCCCGAGATCGAGCTGCTGATCACTGCCGGGGATTTCCAGAGTATGCACGAGGCTCTTGTCGTGGGGGTGCCCATCTTGGGGCTCCCGCACTCAGCCGAGCAGATTGAAGGATTAAATGCCGTCGTACGAGCAGGCGCCGGCCTCCGACTGGATGACAAATCGCTCTCTGAGGGCAGCCTGCGCGTGGCAGTGGATCGAATGCTGGTGGACGAGCGTGAGCGCTTTAAAGCAAATGCCGAGCACCTTGGGGAGTTGGTGAAGACTGGCGGTGGAGTGGAGCGTGCAGCGGACGAGCTGCTGGCTGTTGCGGAGTTCGGAGCCCGTCACCTGCTGCCCATGCGCAACCTGCAGCCCCTGTACAAGACGTACCTCGTGGACGTGTACCTCATCTACGGAGCCATCCTCTGCGGCGCGGCCATCATCCTGCGCACGTTCGTGTCGGTCGTGCTGTCCGTGTTCCAGCCGCTGACCCCGCTCGAGGTGCTCGAGGCGGAGGAGCTGGCCGCGAACGACCTTGTGAGCCGAGCCGGCGAGGTGGGCCATAAAGCGGTCCAATAAACCACAACAAACACTGCGCGCCATGACCAGGTGCAGTGCCTCTCAACAGTTGCAGGCGTGTGTTTTCGGGCAGGTCGAGTCTAGCTCGCGTTTGTGTTTCGTTGACAGGCGCATGGATCCACAGCGTCTCAGCCGGCCTCTTCTTGTCATTCGTTGCAGGGTGGTGGTACGTTACCCAGCCAATCTCCTCGGTCATGTTGGATGAGGTGCCGCAGTCAAAGCGCAGCCCTAATAGACTTTGCGGCACCACGGCATTGCCAATGCGTTGCGGTGCGTAAGTATCCTGCAAGCAGGGGCGGATTAAAGCATCTGCAGAGGCGCCAGCCGTCGTTGCATTGTGCTATGAACTCTTCAACGCGCTTTCTACGCCCGCACACATCCCGTCACTTGCGAGTCACGACGGAGCGCCTGTCCTGAGGACGGAAGCAGGAGCGGAATCCTGGGGAGACTGCACTGCACTCCAGGCCAGCAGGCAGGTCTCGGGAGCTAGCTACAGTATCCATGCATGTACAGTCACGGGATCGCCAACAATCTACCTTGACATCCATCGCCAGACAGCAGCTCCAAGGGAGCCCGACGCTGACACTTCGCGCCGTAGCCTAATGCCCGCGCGGCGCCGGAAAACCAAGCGGTGCTGCTACAGTACTGTACAGCATGCGGAGACCGCGATTGGCACAACCTTCGCGGGTCTTTACTGTAGAAGCCACAGTGTTGCTAGTGAGTAGAGAGAGCTCTCTCCAGTCCTGTTGCTTCCGATGGAAAATCGCAGTAGCGTCCACTTGGGAAACCGCAACGTGCGTGGCGTCCGTCCACCAGGGGCGAGAGTTGTCCTCCGGATCCATTCAGACAACACGCCCGCCGGTCTCTTACCACTGACGGCTGTTCCAGATATTCGGTCCACGGCGTGCTCGACCGCCCTTACGCCCCAAAGAGAACGGAGCCAACCCCGAGGAACAGAACTCCCTGTCAACGCAGTCGACGACCTCCTCTGCGTACTCTTCACCCACGCGCGTCCGGCCAGCGCTGGGCCACGCACCGATGGACCCCAAGAGCCTCGGCCACGGCGGCAGCGGCCCGGCCGACGCCAGCCTCACCGTACACACAGACGACAATAGCAATAGCGCCGCGCTGCTGGAGCAGGAGCCGACGCCCGACGACGACGCGCAGACGCACTACGCCAAGGTCGAGACGCCCGTCAAGGTGCGCGCCAAGGACTTCGCGCGGCAGAGCACGTTCAACTCGGACGCCGAGTCGGGCGGCCAGGGGTCCATTGCCTCGGCCGCGGACGCGGACGCTTTGGACTACGCGGCGCGGCAGCGGCCCACGATCGTGTCGAACTACCGGCCGAGCAGTCGAACGCCCGACCACAGTTCTACATGTACCGTGCGCTCCAGCGGCGCCGACAGGATGGCGCACGACATTCAGTTAGGCCCCCGGACCATCACGCTTGATGACGACCCGTTGGGCGTAGAACACAAGGGAGAACAGGTAGAGCAGTCGCGGAAGGGCACGGACGACAGCAGCAAGGCCGACGCCACGGAGCACACGATGCAGATGAGCTCCATCGAGCTGCGGGACTCCGTTCTACCCAAACTACCGAGGACCTACCTCAACGGCCAGTTCCAGAGTAACTCGTACTTCTCCCGACGGCTGCTGAGGCTCTCGCAGCTCATTGTGCTGGGGGATCTGATAGCGCTGGGCTTCTTCTACTTCTACGAGTCGGACGCGGACGACATCCGACACGGGCGGCTCTACGTGGGGTCCCCACTCAAGGTGCTGGTCTCGAGCGACCAGCCGAGCTGTTCTACCTCGCTCGCGCTCGCGGCGCTGGTGTATCACTTGTTCCCGGCAGTATTTATCTTGGGTCTTCCAGCTTCAGGCTTGAGGATATTCGAGCCGTTCAGGAGGGAGCAGAGGTTCGACAGGGGCGGGAGGCTGCAGAAGGTCAAGCGCACCGTGTGTCTGCAGGTGTGCGAGATCGTGGGCGTCTTCATCTTCCTGTACGAGGCGCTGATCCTCGGCTTCTTCGTCTACTACGTGGCGAGCGGCAAGATCTTTGTGGACTGCGACTCCAACATCCCGGCCTACTTCTTCTGCTTCTGCGCCATCGCCATGTTCTGGCTGCTCTTCGTGCTCATGCGCGCGTTCGCGCGCTTCCGGGAGCACCTCAAGATGCAGCTGGGCGCGTTCAAGGAGAGCGACCAGACGGGCGACGTCAAGGCGCACATGCTGCGCTCCAAGATGAAGCGCAAGAAGCGGCAGCAGCAGAAGAACAACAGCGATGGCGCCGAGTCGACGCCGTCCAAGGCTGCAGTGGTCAAGGACGTGAGCAAGAGGCTGTTCCGAGGCGCGCAGCTGGGCGATCTCAAGCTCATCCGCCGCTCGATCCGCATCGCCAAGCTGCACCTGGGAGACAACTTCGCGCGCGATCTGTACCCGGACCCGGTCATGGTGTTCGGCATCTTTGGGCTGGCCAAGAAGAACCCCATGCACGTGGCCGCGTATCAAGGTAACATCGCGGCGATGGATCTGCTCTACAAGGCCAACTTCAGAGTCAACGCGTTCGACAAGGTCTCGCGCGTGCGATTCAGCACCGGCGACCTCTTCTGGTACCTCGCGAGCTACTTCATCCCCAAGCCCGTGGTGTCTTCGGACGAGACGTACAGCTCCGTGTTCAAGACGACGTTGGTCACGCCACTGCACTGCGCGGTGAGTACAGGTCGTCTCGCTGCCGTGCGCTGGCTCATTGCCCACGGAGCGGACGTCAACCTGTGCTCCAAGTCTTCGTACCGCTGCGAGAGCCGTCTCCCGCCCATTTTCCTGGCCGACCACCCGGAGATCGTGCACGTGCTGCTGCGAGCTGGAGCGAACCACCTCGCGATTCCAGATCCTGGACATATGAACACGATAACAGTGCTGCAGCTTGCGTATTTGCGGGGTAACTATGCTGTTGCGCAGGTACTGGAAGATTGGGGCGGTGATGTAGCGCTTACGCCGCTGCACGCAGCAGCAGCAGTGGGCGACATCGCGGCAATTCGGAGTTTACTGCGCAAGAAGGTCAACCCGGACGTTCTCGGTGAGCTTGGCTACGTTGGACTCAACAAGCGTACGCCGCTGCACTGGGCTGCAGTGAATGGCGCAGTCGGAGCTGTGGAGATCCTTTTGGCCGCTAAAGCCAATGCTAACTTCCAGGATGCTCACGGACGGACAGCTCTTCACTGGGCAGCGCGCGTGAATCGCGTGGATATTGTACGCGTGCTGTTGGCGCATGGCGCGGACCCGACTATCGTCGACGACAGCGATATGACGCCGATCATGTGCGCCGCATGCGCCGGCGGGACGACTGTGGATATGTTCAAGGCGCTGGTTGCTAGTGGTGGCGACATCAACCACCAGCTTCGTTCTACAGGTGATACTGCGCTGCACTTGGCTGTGAAGCTGGACGACCAGCAGACGGCGCTGGCTCTGTTGAGTATGGGAGGCGATATTATGCGCACGAACCACGACGGGTTCCGGCCGATTGACTGCACCACGTCAACGAGACTGCAGTTCGAGATCAAGCGCGCGGCAGGAACGCGTGATGTCATGATCAGCTACACGCACTCGCACATGGAGTTCGCCCTCAAGCTGCGCAAGTCGCTGGAAGACGCGAACATTACGGTGTGGCTCGATCTCATGGACCCCAGCGGTATCGGCGGTGGGTCCGTGTGGCGCGAGGAGATCGCGCGTGGCATCACGAATGCTGCAGTGGTGCTGTGTATCCTGACGGAGGACTACGCGCAGTCTGAGTGGTGTCTGAAGGAGTTAGCGTTGGCGAAGCAGGTGGGCACACCCATCATGGCCATCTCCACTGAGCACGCCAAAATTTCCGAGGAGCTGCAGGTGTATTTGTACACGCGGCAGCTTGTTCCGTTCGAGAGCGCTATCGCCAAGGTGGAGCAGGTTAACGAGAAGGAGACGCGCTACGAATACGACGAAGACGCGTACAAGAACCAGCTGCGTATGCTGCTGGATGGGATGCGCGATGAGATCGAGAAGCGCAAGGAGGACAACATCAAGCGGAACATGCGTCGTGCCGAGACGAACCCGATGGCAGGATCAGGCCACGCTAGCAGTGGCATGCGTAGCCGCCGCCTCAACCACGCCGCGTCCGGTATGAGCTCTACGAACACGTACGGCATGGACTCGATGAAGTTTGACGAGCGAGCACTGGCAGCGTTCGACACGCCCAACTACTATTCGTACGACTCGGGCGCCTCATCAATCCACGAGATCGGCGATGACTCGGTCATGCCCGTCGTCATTGGCAACAGCCGTCGGCGCGGTCCACCCGGCTCCTCTCGGTCGATCGGGTCCAATGGCGTGTTCTCGGCCAGCCAGCGCCAAATGCGTCTCAACTACGACTACAACGCCACGAACCTGAGCATCCTCAGCAGCACCAGCAGCTCGAACAGCTTTGTGGACGATGGCGGCGTATCGGATAGTATTGTGCTCGACACTGGCGGCTACTACTTCCACAGAGCTACGAGTAAGGAAAAGCCCAAGCGTGGCGGACGCAAAGACGTCATCTCAGAGCGAGTGTCGAACGGAATGGACGAGCCAGGGACGAGCGACAGCATCGTTGAGGACTTGCAGGAGCTGAACACGGCTACGGCTAGTGGTGAGCAGTTCGTCTTCATCAGTCATGGCGACTACCACCAGCGGTTTGTACGCAAGCTCTGTGTTGAAATGTGTCGTGAGGGAGGCTTAAGGTGCTACGTGGATCGAAAGCACATGGTTAAACTATCATCAGCGATTGACGAGGACACGGAGGAGGAAACAGCAAAATCCAACCGGCCAGTGCTGTCGCGGAATGAAGACATGTCCGTCCGTATTCACGAGGCAAAGGAGGCGATTCTCAAGTGTTCAGCTTTCGTGTTGCTTATCTCCGAGAAGACACTGGCGAGCGAGTTAGTGAAGGACCAACTCGCTTTCGCTGAAGACAAGGGGAAGAAGATCCTGCCGGTGGTGGTGAACCGCATGGACTTTGGTCTCGACATCAAGTACAGTCTCGCGCGCAGCGAGTTTTTCCACTTCTTCACGAAGGGCGACATGGTGGGCTTCCGTCAGTCGCTACGGCACCTGCTGGATGCTCTACGTGAAGAAGTATACGGCATCAGCATCGGCGGGCCACTTCCAAGCTTCAGTTCCGGTGGGCAGCTCCCCAGTTTCAGCTCACTGCCCAGCTTTAACGGCGGCGGGGCACCCGGTAGGGGCAGCGACGTGCAGCTCCGCGGTGGGTTTGCGGACCTGCGCGACAGCTTCGTGTCCACTGGGTCCTTCAACCCGTCGTTCCAGGGTCCTGGCGTTGAAGGCAGCATGCGTCGACGCCGTCCGAAGTCTCAGTTTGCGAGTACGCGGAGTGACACGTCCAACTTCGGGTTACCCCCCACAAGGCTGTCACAAACTTTCGCCGAGACGACAGGAACCACGCGCAGTATCACGTCGGACATGAGTCTGTCGCACTCGATGATCGGCAACTTCTCCACCCTCGTGGGACGCATCGACGACTTCGACGAGGAGGACGAGCTGTCGTACGCCGGCATCCAAGACGACGACTTCGACTCGGACGAGGAGGAAGTGGAGGAGAACGGGGAAGTGCGCGTCGTGCAGGAGGAGGCTCCGTCGTTCTCCAGGGCGATGCAGATGCAGCAGCATCCTGCTCTTGGCGCGCTCTCGAGCGACGGCAGCTTCGACACGCGCCAACGAGGATCCAACTCGTCCATAAGCATGCTCGAGCTCGCCGAATCGGGCGACAGCGTCAACATCAGCTTCGATGCACTGCTGGGGGACAAGACGCCGACCAAATAATTAACTATTCAACACAATGATGAGAGTACTAGCTGTCAAGGGAACGCCGAGCTCTCTTTTTATTAGGGCGGTGGCGAGTCAAACGTAACACAAGTGTAATGCAACGTATAAACCGAAGTTTGCAGTGTAGTGCGTTGATGAGGGATTGCTGCGCTTATTTTTTTATTAATCTGCATTTTTCTTCTTGGTCTATCGCATTTGACGCAATTCGTGCAATCTTCAGTTCTTGTATCGCTTAGACGATGTCTTCGGCAGTGCTGGCGCTGCCGTGTTGGTTTCGAGCCGACCCGGTCAACCGTAGACTGCTTTCCCTGCTATGTGCTCCAGCACTTGCGCTCGAGAGACCTGACCCAGTACGCGATCGATCATACCTGCTGCTATTGAGCAGAAGGTCTTCGTGACGGACGCCCTCGAGAATGTCGGGCTCGCTCCAGCCGTGGCCTCCGAAACTGGACGCGGATCCGCCTCTGCTCCCAGTTCTTGATGTATTCAACGCCGCAGGGGAGGTCATGTAGGTTCGCACTGGCAGCGTGGGCAGTAGCAACGACGAGTCTGTAGACAACAACTCGTCGAACGGTGACTGGACCTCCACGACGTCAGTATAAGCCGCGAGTGATGACCGGTGAGACTGAGAAGAAGCGGACGATACGGGAGACAGCACCGCCATCGCCCCCAAACTTGCGCCGAGATCGCCCTGTTCTTCCTGCTGCCGACGCTGGAGACGACGTTGCCGAGCTTCATTCTGCTGTTGTAGTCGCAGGAAGTTGGTGAGCTGCTCGATGCTCTGCTCGTATCCGAGCGAGAGGTTGAAGTGGTGCACCATGCTGCGGGAGAATGTGTAGCGCTTGGCCAGATCAACCTTGTGCAGGGACAGAAGAATGGGCACCAGCAGCTTCCCACGGTCTTCAGCGAACGCCAGTTGATCAGCGAGGAGGTCGCAGGTAGCGGATAGCGGCGACAGCACCACCAGCACAGCCGAGCAAGCTAGAATGGCATCCTTCGCAGCCATCTGCCGTGTCTGCACAGGCAACTGCGTTACTGGCTGGTCGGCACCGCCCAAGTCTGCGCCGAAGCCGCCAGCTTGGGCTTCACTGCTCACCGCATCCTCTGGAGGGTGAGCATACTGCACCGCAGGCACAGTTTGATCCACAACACAGCGAATACCTTGCTTGAGCATTGACTTCTGGAGGCGCAGGCAGAACGAACGGTGGTAATCTCCATGCGCGATGAACACGAACGAGTCCGTTGCTGACGTTAAGGCAAGTGACGACGCCAAAGACTCGATCCTCCGCAGCAGCCGGAATAGCGGGACATTCAGCGGGCCCTCAGGGAAATTGATCTGCGCGCTTGAGGCCTCGTGGTCTTCACACTCACTGTGCTTGGCTGCTTCTCCGCCAGTTCCACATAGTATTCGGTCATCTTCCTCAGGGTAGCACTCGCTCTCATTGCCGTTGCGACGGCTTCCATGGCGAGACGCATCTCCGGCAGTATTACCATCAGTCTCGTGGCCTGGTAGCTGTACCTGTTGCTGCTGTTGCTCCTGACGTCGAGCCAACCGCGCTCGATGCTCTTCAATCTGATCTTGAATCCCATCCAGCAGCATTCGTAGGCAATGACAAAAGGCCTCGTCATTGTAGTCGGGAACCAACTCAAGGTTGCTTGCAACACGCTTGTCCAGCATATTGGTCACTTCGCCTGCATTGTCATCCTCGCTCTGGAAAACGGATTCGCCCTCACGTGAATCCGTGTCTTCCATCGTGTGCGAGCTGTTGCTCGGCATGCGCGGACGCTCTTCGTCGCCACCTTCTCCCTCAGGATACGGAGCTGGAATGCCGACATTCACATCGTAGTTGTGTTTCACCGCCGGCCGGAAGTCGATCACCTGACGCGTCCACAAGTACACCTGCAGCTCTTCCGAAATCTCCATGTCCTCACACTGGATGGCCACGACGGGAATGTTCTGCATCTTGGCGAAAGCCAGCTCTTTCATGCACCACTGCGACTGCGGGTAGTCTTTCGTCAGCACAGCCAGCACAAGAGCACTACTTTGAATGCCGCGCGCGATCTCCTGTCGCCACACTGATCCACCAGTGATTCCTGTAGGTCCCATCGTATCAATCCATGTCGTCACCCGCTGGCGTTCCAGTGCATCTCGAATCTTGCGCGCCAACGGGGCGTGTGCATGGCTGTAGCTGATCATAACGTCGCGTTGTCCTGCTTCCTTCTTCACAGCAAACCGCAGTGCTGGAGAGCGCGCGCAGTCGATCGCCCGCTGACCAAGTAGATTAACTGCTGTCAAGCTTAAGCCAGCGCGAACGAAAAGCACGGCAGCGGTCTGGTTGCGACGCCGAAGCGCGACGTGGAGAGCCGAGTCACCGTTGCTTGTACGCGTCGCATGCAAGTCCACTCCATTCTCCAGCAGCAACTGAAAGATGCGTGGGTCCAGCCCACGCGCTAGTGACCTCTGCCCGCTCAGCATTACTCCAACATCACCCTCGTCGTCACCACCTTCATCAGTCACATCGTCCTGCACGCGGTCATCGCCCAGTTTGTCTCGCTTGCCGGCCGAGGTTTTAGCACCTCTCTTGATCGACGCGCACGCCCCAGCTGCACAAATACAGAGCAACGGATCTCCCTGTGCGTCACGTACGTTAACATCTGCGCCGCTTTCCAGAAGAGCTTCCACTGCGCGCGTACGATTCAAAACACAAGCCCAAGCCAATGGCGAACGGCCAAAGATGTCACGCGCGTCTACATTAGCTCCATATCGCACTAAGAGGCGGATAATACGCGCGTGACCACGCATCGCAGCCCAGTGAAGTGGCGTACGCCGGAAGCAGCCGATCACCTGCTCGCCGAGTGTATCTGGATCTGCTCCGTGCTCCAGCAAAAAAGCGACTTCGTGGCGGCGTCCACCAGCACAGGCGTCATGCAGCGGAGTCAGCGTCACATCACCACCATACTTCTCCATCTGTCGAGCCACAGCGGCGTTGCCTGCAATCCGCGCAACCTCAAACGCAGTCAACAACAAGCCACTAGAATCTCCAGGGATCGTTAAAGGGTTGCCACCAGCATTCAAAAGCAATCGCGTGCACTCCTTGTCCACAGCCCAATACAGCGGAGGAGTGGCGAATCGCGGGTGAGTAGACAACGCAGGAGCATCAGGTTTTGCGCCGTAACGCAGTAGCAGCAACGTGAGCTCTACGTGGCCCAGTGTCACCGCCACATGAAGAGGGGTCAACAGTGTGGCTTGAAAGAGCCCAACAGGTCCGAACGGGTGAGCTGCACTTGCTAGTCCAGGAGCAGGACCGCCGTTACCTGCGCCACCACCTGCCGACGCATTGGCAACCACGCCTGCACTCGAGCGGCGAGCCACGAAGAACAACAGGCGGAACATCAGCCGATACAGCCACGCTAGGTCCAGTCGCAGCAGCTCCAGCTTCTCAAGTTGCTGGACGTCGAAGTGTCCGTTAGCAAGCAGTTCACGAACCACCTCAACCTGGTCGAACGCCACCGCCACATGCAACGGGTTGCGTTGTCCACGAGCGAATAGCGCCATTCCTCCCAGCTTCCAGACGTGCGGCTCGTACCACTCGGTAGCAAACTCTGGGCCAGAGATACTAACCGCTGTTTCCAAGAGCGACCGCACTTGTTCAACATCTCCACGCTTTGCCGCGCTGTACAGTCCAACCTTCACGTAGTGCACTTGCCTTCTCGTACTGCCCACGGGGGCCGATCCAGCGTCACTTTGCCCGTCCTGTGTGCCGCCATATCGATTGCCTCGCGCAGCATTACGCAGCCGCTTACATCGCCGCCAACACGCCCACACAGGCGCTGGAAGCCACGCGTACAGCGGCGTGGCGAATGACCGCTCTACATAGTCGAAGCGTGAATGACCTGGTACGTAGCCCCGCTGGAACAGAAAATGCTGGTGAATACGGTGGAAGAGCAGAATCTGTCGCCACCGCAATAGATAGGCAAGAACTGCCACGAGCTGGACACCTAACAGCACCAGGAAATAGCCCGTGGCGAGTTGCCGGTCGCACGCGCTCATCATATCCGACACGCTGCTGGAGTCCGACAGCACAAATATCGCTATCAGTATGTAGATGAGGTAGGGGATCTCCACCACCACGATCAGTTCACAGAGCGTGAACAAGTACGTCTTCTCGAAGCGCTGGTGCTCCTTGGTGATATCCGCGACTGAAGAGGACGGCACCACGACCGCCGAGGGGTCCGCGCTGCTGGACGACGTGGAGCTCACTGTCGAGTAGTCCCTGCGCGCGCGTCGGTAGAGTCTGCAGGCCTTGAAGTTGAGCGCCGGGAGACACAGCAGCACGTTGGCCACGAGCGAGTACGCGTACATGTCGAGGAACTCGACCGAGTGGTCGTGGCAATGCACCTGCGCGTCGGCCCCCGCGCCGTCGTCCTTGTGCTTGAGGATGGCCGGCACCACGACGTGGTTGAGCAGCTCCCGCAATAAATAGACGGCCACGATGAGCGTCGAGTTGGCCACCATGCGTGCGCACAGGTACGTGTTGCTGTCGCGCTTGAGCCACGGAAACACGCACCACAGCACGCGGCGTATCCTCATGTAGCACCACCAGAGCTTGCGGATGCGCAGCTGGCCACTCGCGTCCACGTAGTAGTTGCCCGACGGCAGCGCCGCATTGCCGCCACACTGGGCGTTGATATTGTCGGCCAGGCCCGTCACGTCCGCGTTGCAGCTGCCCGAGTGCTGCTCCGTCGTGGAGCCGTTGGACGGCCGCGACGAGTGCGCGGACACGGCGGAGGGCGCCGCGCGTCGGTGCCAGTGGGTGGTCGTGGCCTCCGAGTGCCTCGAGCCGTGCGTGCGCCCCGCGGAGCTGGCGGACGCCGCAATGTGGCCGGCGGGCGGCGCCTCCAACCCGCCGAGCGGCTGCGACTGCGCGCGCCACCGCCGGCCGCTGGCGGACAGCGGAGAGCGCAGCGCGTGGAAGTAGCTGGCCACGCCCGACGGTTGCGCCTGTTGCTGCTGATGTTGCTGGAGCGCCGCGCTGGAGGACGAGCGCGACGACGCGGCGGACGAGTTGGCGTTGCTGCTGACGCTGTGCTCCGAGCGGCGCAGCGCGGAGAGCTCCGGGTCCGCCATGGCGCGGTCGGCGGTAGGGCAGTCGCAGTGCTTATGTGTTGTGTTGCTGGTCGCGGCAATAATAGAACTGGATGTTGCGCCCGATTACGCGGCTTTGATGCGCTCTTTAACGCGCGTAACGACCAATCAGGAGAGGATTTACTTCCGCTACAGGACTGTATTATCTTTCGGCAATCAGAAGGAAATGGCGGCGGAGCGTAAGTAAAGTAAATTACGAGGGTGTGTGTGCGCGTCGAGGAGGAATAGCTGACGAGGGGCGGGGTGTGATTTACTAGCGGCTATTGATGCGGGGCTGCAGCAGCTGCAGCTGGGCGACGAGGGCCTGCGCGTGATCGACCTGCCCGGCTCGCTGCTGGACCAGAGCTACCTGGTGCAGATCTGGCTGCTCAGCAACTGCGTCTTCGTCTGGATGGGCTCGGCGGCCGACAAGCCGCGGCTCGGGTGCGTTTGCTGATGGAACTATCACAAAATGTTATCATATTATTTTTTAATACAGTTCGTTGACGCAGCTCGCTGTCGACGGCCATCGCGACGCGCTACAGCCCCATGCCGCTCATCACGTCCATCGTGGGCGCCCCGGAGATGGAGGAGCAGCAGATCGCGCAGAGACTCGCGAGGCGCACGGGGAGGCAGTGCTTCGTGTCGTGCCAGCTGCCGGACCACGTCCCCGAGCTCTTCGCGTACGTTGAGAAGCAGATCACCAAGAGGCTGACGGAGGAAGGGATCGTGGTCAAGAAGTGAGCTCTTCACACGAGCTTAAAGATCTGCACCAAGTACATATTCTACAAGAATGGTATTTTTTTATTGTAGACGGGCAATGTTGTAGACCGTGAGAGTAGGAAAGCTGCTCGCTTCACGTCCCGGAGTGTGCCCGACACTCCGACACTGGGGAGAGGGGATTCGTGATTGTTGCTGTTCATAAATACTGGGTTGCGAAACTCTGCTATCACCTAGCTTGACTGCTCGGAAAACACCCAGGGCATCATCATACTGCAGAATGGCGGCGCGCTTGTGCGATGAGCTGGAAATTGAACCAGCAAACTATTGGTAAGTAGAACTCGCTGGTCAACATGAGTGTTTTTGCCTTTCAGATTCTAGCATAAACCTTTTGTGTTGACGCCGGTCATCATTCTCGTTTTTGTGATGATACTATTCAAATCAACTCAAGTATGAGGGACTATCGAAATACAACTCCCGCATCTCACGGCCACATCCCAAGCGAGCTGACCGAAGGAAACCCGCCTCCGGACAGAAACAACGCTACGGACATGAGCTCTTCGTCATGCCGGAGTCGGTCCAACAACACCTGCATTTGCTCGCGAGCGTCCGAAACGGTGGCAAGCGAGTCGAACCACACGAACAACCGATAGTCCGCACTGCACATGCCGACAAAGAGGCCCGAGTCGCTGCGTTCGTATACCATACGCGCTGCGGTGGCTTCTTGCAGCGACTGTAGGCGCTTGCCCAGCACTTGGCTCTCACGATTTTGAGGCTCCGCCGGCGTCGGGAACATAAGATGGTGTACCTTAGCGTACTGGTTCAGCAACTGTAACCGAGTGCTGAAGTCCCCGTCACCAAACGGGAATGTCAGCTCGGGCTCAGCGCACTCACCTGTGAGCTCGTTCTTGTAGATAAAATGGTATAGCAGCGGCAAATCGCTGTGCGGTTGCCACTCCGAGTGGTTCTTCACCGAAGCGTCGATAGCTTCCATTGCTCCAATCTCCTCAAGTCGCAGCTTCACGAACTCCTTCTTCGCTTGAAAATGCGGGAACTGCTCCGGCGACTGCTGGCTGCTCAGTAGCAACAGACAAACGTCGCTCGTCAAGAAAACCACGTACGCGTATAGAAATCCTCTACAAGAATCAACATGAAAAAAATGTTAGAAGGCCAACTATTGTAGCAATACACAAAAGAAAAAGTTATAGTACCGAGCATTGAAATTCGACAAGCAGATCGGTGTCCAAGTCTCCGACTTCTCCAGCGACGGCGTGTGATACACGAAATTTACCAACAACAGCAAATCTACAATAAAGCACACACCCACCAATTCAATTCCTCGTCATCACTAAATTGCCAAAGAAAGAAAACTTTACCATCCACGAGCATGCTGAATTGCTTCTTGTTGGGCTGCGCAACAGCCACCACCTTCTCCTTGGCGAGTAATAACCCGCAGATCATAGTCGTCGTTGATGCCGCTGCTGCATTCTCCCTGGGGGCTTCAAACTCCAACGCCCTCGCGACTTCTCGCCGCCTCTCGGGCTTGAGCCGCACGAACGGCACGCCGCAGTCCTTGAACCGCAAGCTCGGCGTCGACGCCCAGAGCTCCGTGAGCGACCTCGTGACTCTCTCCGTGCCGTTGAGCAGCTCGCGCAGGTCGTAGCCTGGCTGGCGGCGCAGCACGTCGAGCCCGCGGTCGCTCAGCACGAACAGGATCTGGTGCTGCAGCAGCCGCAGCAGATGCTGCAGACATTCCGACGCAAAGCTGGGCGTCTCGCTGCTGTGGACACCAGTCGTAGTGTCCTTGTGGACAGCGCGCTCGATGGCCGCGAACGTGAGGCTGTCCGAGCTGAGGAACACGCAGCGGCAGTCGGCGGCCTGCAGCTCCCGCAGCTCCTCGTGCTGCGTGCAGGCCACGAAGGACAGCAGGCCCTGCAGCGAGCTCGCGAAGGAGCTGGTGGACGAGTCGTCCTCTTCAGATGGACGGTTGGTATCGGATGCGGACAGCTTGTGGCGGAAGACGGGCTTGCCGGAGGTCGAGCACACCAGGACGTCCAGCTCCATTATCGCGCAGTACTACAGTTGGCTTCATCGTGAATACGTAGTACCGCGATGTTGGATCAGTGCTCCTGATCGATATTAATAAGAACTTACAATACGTATCGTTTCAATAGGTTGCGAGACACAGTAGCCTGTTGCTAGTTTCCATGCCAAACAGAAGTTTATTTGTTCTAAACAGGTTTTCGATACCACGGTACTTTCGAATCCTGGAAAAAGATCGATCGAAAGATCGATTGATTTGCCATGAACAAAGTGGTGATTGGTTTGCTGTGGCTTGGAGTCGCCCTAGTATCTGCAGCCACTTCACGTCCAGCTCCAAGGCTTGAGGTCACGTTCCCGACGCAGCACTCGTGGTGGCAGGTGTCGAACGACGACGGGTTATTGGCGGATTTGCCCGTGTACTTCCAGACCCATAACTTCAAGATCCCCCGTGACGGATTCCTGTTCGTGACGGGGGACAGCGTGCCTGAGGAAGGCTATCGACAAACGGCAGCGGTCAACTCAGTTGTGCTCGGCGGTATCGACCCAGGCACGCACTTCTGGAAGTTGGAGCTCCGATCGTGGAGTGACAGCAGTGTTGCTGTCGCAGAGGCAACACTGCACGTAGAAGTTGTGGTGAACCCTTCGGACGAGCGTTCGCCGTGGAAATATACACTGCAGGAACAAGAGAGGAGGCCACTCGTGTTTGTTAACGCTAAATCTCAACAGGATTCAATTGCTGAGGTGTTGCCGGTGTGCTACGTATCGTCGACGTCTGGAGCCTTCGACGGTCAGCGGAGAATGTGGCTGCAGATCATGGAAGGGCTTCGTGGGGAGAAGAATAACAACACGGTCGAGTTCCAGTTTGAGGTGAAGACCTTTGAGCAAGTGGTGACCAATGCACCACTGACGAGGGCATTGCAGCGATTGAACGTCAATCTTCAAGGACTTCCGTTGGAGGTGAGTGCGCGCAGAATATCCGAAATGTAGTGAAACGAGGCTAATTTGTGGATTGCTCTTGTAGATATTTCTGAATGAGCTATCTGATGAAGACACGTCTCCTGACGGAGTGATCAATGCTCTGCTTGCGAGCTTCTATCGACGATTTCCTTGGGCAAGACACGATTCCCGGCAGATTTCGAAGCTGGACCAGCCTGATCTTCGTCGGCTTGATCCGCCATACGCTGCTCGAGTGTGGACAGACCTGGTCAATGCGCTAAGCTCTCCGTGCGCCGATGGACTCATCATTTTCTCGAACTCGCGCAGGATTTCGGACGAACTGCTGGTTCTTGCGGCCCGGCTTGCCGGGCCCCGAGCTATTATAATGGAGCTTGCGAACCTCCATCCCACTAAAGTTGATGTGGATTTCCTGCTGGCACCTTCACATTTTGCGAGAGACCACTACTCCATCTCAAGAAATATACGAGCCCGCCACAAAGTGGTGCTCGCAACTGGAGTAAACACTCGGCAATTTACACCAGCTACAGCCCCGCCTTCCGACGAACAGACCTTTGTCATCGGGTATGTCGGGCGACTCGCACCCGAAAAATCTTTAGGAATTCTGTTGGCCGCAATGAAGATTCTTGGGCCAATCTGTTCTCGATGCCGCCTGCTAATTGTTGGAGATGGCCCACAAAAACTTCAGCTCCAGTCTATTGCCTCTGAGTGGGGATTGCTTGGCACTAGCGTTGAGTTTGTGGGTGGAATATATAACGACGAGCAAGCGTTGGTGTGCCAGCTCCGTGAGATGCACGTATTTGCGAGCCCAATGTTCACGGAAACGCTAGGACTAGCCGTGCTGGAAGCTATGAGCGTGGAGCTGCCTGTTGTGGGCTTCATTTCAGGTGGGACGGGGGAGTTTCTCCACGACGGCGTCAATTGCAGAGCTGTCACTAAAGCTACAGCCGCAGCATTCGCTGATGCTCTACTTACGCTCGCCCATGACAGCGAGATGCGGATTCATCTTGGCAGACAAGCCCGACACACTGTTGTAGAACGCTTCTCAACTCACAAAGCGCTGAAGCAATACTCGAAGCTATACGAACGCGCTGGCCGACCACTTCCTAAACGTGTTAGCACTCAGGAAAGCCATACTCAAGATGAATGCACAACGTGCACAGGAGAATTTTGTGGATTAGATACCTAGATAATTGCCTAAAAGCGCGTGCTACTGCTACCATTGTTGCTGTACGCCAGCGGGAGCTTGGTGGGCGACTCGTCCTTTGATCGGATGACCTTTTTCGCCTTCCCCTTTTGACTCACAAGCGTCTTGATACCAGCAGACTTGCCACCGCTCCGAGAATTGTTGATATTGGGAAGGGAGATGCCGTCCCCACGGGTCCCGGCTGTGCGAATCTTGCTGGCCATGTTGCGCTTCGCACTGAGTAACGAGTTCTGCAACGTGATTACAATACCGTGCGACTCACCGAGATACGTCGATGTGATCTCCATGCCTTTCTTGTAGGACTGCAGGCTAAGATCCCAGCACTTGAGAAACTCCTGCTCGACACCGACATTGTGGTAGGCAATGCCCAGAACTGCAACACGATCCAGCTTGATGCTCGGGTCAACGTGGTCCCCAGATTTCCCACCGAAGCCTTTGCGTGCTGGGCTTGATCCGCCATTCCCTGCTCGACCTAAATGCAGTTCCTCGTGTAGGAAGATAAGTGCCGACTGTGCATGGCCCAGCGCGCTCTGATGCTTGCCGAGCTGCGAGAGCACTGCGCACATATTGAGGTGCGTGTCCGCTTTGTTTGGTAGGTTATCGAGTCGCGACTCAATCTTGAGCGCCTCATTCAAATATGTAAGTGCCTTGTGCAGATTTCCCTGTCGACGATAGTAGCACGCCAGGTTATTCAGCGTCACAGCTCGTCCTGCCGGGTGTCGCTCCGTCAGAATTTCTGCCTTCTTCAACAGCTCGAGCACCACGCGGAACTCCTCCTGTTGCAGGTAGGTCATGGCCAGCAGGTTGCACATTTCGCCCACGGTTCGACACGAAGCCCACACTTCATTGCTGTCGGCACCGAAGAAGTGCTGTCTCAACACGAGCCCCTTCTCCATGTACTCCAACGCTTCCGTGTACCTCCCTTCTTGCTGCAATTGGGCACATTTGTCATCGAGCCGCTGGAGCGCCACCAGCTCCTTCTGGTTCTCAATGAAGTGCGTCTCCTCCAATTGCTCCAGCTCACTGAGACGCTTCGATGGCGATGGAGATGCCCTGGCAGGCTCCACCGATTCCTTGACTTCGGTAGCAGTATCCGTCTGAGGAGTGGGCATTTCTTCTTCGCTCACTTCCGCGTCTGCTACATCCAAGTGCTCATTGTTTCCATCGTCACTAAGAACCGGTGAATTCTCCTCCTCCATTGTAAGCCCAGGTGAACGCTAATGCAATGCAGTGGAGTGGTCTGCTAATATACTTTGCCCAGCGAGCTTTTCGTGTAGCCATTTTTAGAACATGGCTACATACTCCGAATACAAGGTCGTCCAGTCGAATGGCTCTGCTGGACGATCGCAGCGCAGAATCAACAAGAGCGCCGACTGCAAAGACTGCGGCCTCTGCGGCCTCTGAGCCAACACAGCGGCAATGGGTGCGGCTCCTCGCAGCGATGCCAGCGCCATGGTCCAGCAGCAACAGCAGCAACTACAGCATCAGGAGCAGGTCACTGCAGACGCCAGCACGTGTCAAGACACGGGAGACCAGCAGCGCCAGGAGCAGGAACAGGAACAGGAAGAGCATGCGACAACGATCGTCCCGTTGCGCGTACGAGTCGACGACGCCTCGCAGCGCGAGACTCTGCTGGAGTTCGAGTGCGACTGGGCGCCGGGCATCGGCGGCTCCGTCTGGACCAGCGGCGAGCTGCTGGCCGCGCACCTCGAGCTGCAGCGCGAGCACTACCGCTCCATCTTCGATGGCGCGCGCGTGGTGGAGCTGGGCAGCGGCACGGGCTACGTGGGGCTCATGATCGCCGCCTGCTTCAAGCCGTCGCACGTGTACCTCACAGACCTGCAGACGCACATCCAGGGGCTGCAGCGCAACGTCGAGCGCAACGCGGGCGCGCTGCGTCCGGGCGTGCAGGTGCACGTGTCGGAGCTGAGCTGGGGCTCGTCAGAGCAGGAGACGAGTCTGCTGGAATCCGTCGCCGCGACGTCCGAGGACATTGAAGCTGGAAAGGTTGATGTCATCCTGGGCACGGACGTCGCCTACCTCCGCGAGCTCTACGACCCCTTGCTGCACACGATGAGCCGCTTGGCGACCAAGCGCACGCTCATCCTGCTGGGTCTCAACCGCGCGGACACGCAGCTTACGTTCTTCCGGCAGCTCGAGCTCGACGGCTTCGAGTTCTACAAGATCCCGGACTTCAAGCTGCCGCAGGAGTACTGGGGCCGCGACTTTGGACTGTTCGAGATCCGCCGCTGCAGCCGCCTCTGAGCCGGAGCATTGCCAACCCACACTGCAACTTCACTCACACCGTGGCAACTATAACCACGGAGGTATCCGCCCTTATAGATTCTGTACCAAAATCTAATAGACACCATATAGACACGAGTTACTGCTGTTACCGTCAGCTTGGTGTCGGCATCCGCCAGGTCCGCGTGACGCGGCCGCTGCTGCTGCTGTTGCCGCGGAAGTGGAGCCATCTGGGCTGTCCACGCGGACGCAAGGGACAAGCGTGCGACAACCTAACGGTTGAACCTTCACTTTTCGCAAAGATCGGTTTCCACACCGCAATGCCCCCACAGCCGGCCGCTGCCGCAAAATTGGCGGCGGCCCCTTCAAGGACACTTCAAGACGCAGCGCAGCGCACAAGTTGCAGTGCATGCGGCCTCGAGAGTGGGAACTGTGTGGCGTGAACAAGCTCAATTGAGCTGATCAGCTGCGCTCTCGGGCGCGATCGGAGGCGGGGCTCACGCTACAACACGACGGCAGGATTCACCCCCTCCGCGGCCAACCCGCCCACACTGCGCCCGGTGCCATGACACCCGTCCCGGTGGATACTTGCGCGCGAGTTCCGCGCATCACGCCTTCCCTCGCGCTGGCTGCCATCTCCTTGCAGCCCGGCAGCAGAGACTGCCCATGTTCCGTCGTGCCCGGCTTCGGCGCGCGGGCCCGCGGCAGCTTGCAAGTGGGGGCGGGGGGGGGGGGGCGAAGCAGCGCGGACCAGGTCGACACGCCACTTGGGAAGCCCATTTCTCCCAAAATTGACTTGACGACCGCATTTTCTTTGGCGTTTTCGATCGCAAAAACGTAACTGTCAGTGAATACGCCAGAAAGTGTATCTTTTCCGACTCCCCTTCAATCGCACTTAGCAGGGTGAGTATTTGAATTTGCCAAAAGGATGGTACTATTCAACGTGGGGAAAGGTGATGGTACTGTACTATCCTGCAGCAACAAACTGGTATAACACGCGTTATATTGGCGTGTGGCAGCAAGCCTGCAAGCTACAAATGAATCAATCCACTCTCGATATTTTGGTTTGGTTGAAGTATTGTTGCTTCAATATCTTGGCTCAATTGGAACATGACCGTCATCGACTACATGTTAGTACTATTGTAGTAGTACACTTTGTCGCTCCATGTCATCGTGAAGTGCAATGTTGATTCAATAGAATTATGTACCAGTAGTCAGCCTCAGCTGGTTAGGACCCAGTGAGCGACGAGCATAATATGGCTCAACCTCTTTTAGCCTAGCTAGCCACTGCTATCGACGTACAGTAATTCTCCGATGGATACCGCAGTTGCCTCAGAATGCATATAGATAGGATAGCAAGCAGCGCGTTAGTGCTGCGGCAACGCGATACTGTTCGATCAGCGCTGTCGCGTATCAGCCTCGAATCCGAACCCGAGTGGTTTAGCGCTACTTTTTGTCATGTTGGTAGTCGACCGTGCCAACCTTTGGTAAGTACCACCCGCTTCGCCAAAGGTTGCGACTTTACGGGGCACACAAAATTCCGGCTACACAAAAACGGCCTTGCCAATTGCCCGGACCCGGAGAGCTCAGAAGGAATCGCGCCACAGCAGCAGCAGGTCGATTAGGGCGGCAGGTTGAAGCACCCGCCACTCTCATGAGCAGCAGCTCCGTCCCGACGAGCGCCCCCAGCTCGTGGCAGAAGCGCGTGGGGACCCAGAGGCAGCAGGCCAACAGCAAGCTCGGCTCGTGGTTCGTGAGCAAGTTCGTGGGCGGCAAGAGCAAAGGCAAGCTGCTGCAGGACGAGGAGACGGCGCAGACCCAGCGGCGGCGGCCCGTGGGCACGCTCAGCGCCGTGACCAACCAGCAGCAGGCCAACGCCGCGCGCCGCGAGGAGCTGGGGCGCCCCAAGCCCATGCGTCAGAAGAGCTTTTTGCGCCAGCAGCTGCAGGAGATGAAGCGCCAGTCGGCCGAGGCCCTGCTGCGCGCGCAGAAGCGCATGGACGGCCAAGTGCTGGAGGAGGAGAACGAGAACGATCTGGAGGAGAAGTCCTCCTCATCATCTTCTTCTTCTTCGGACGAGGAGGGAGAGGACGACGACGAAAGAGTTCGCGTCATTGACGACCCCGACGACGTGCTGCGCGGCAGTCTGAGCAGCAACCCGGCGCGCTCGCGCTGCTCGTCGTCCAGGAGGTCCAGCACCTCGTCGCGTCGTCGCAGCGCGGCCGAGGAGCAGCAGGAGCGCGAGGACGAGATCTTGGCCCACGAGACCCAGCGAGACGAGTACTCGGCCGAGGTGAATCGCCGCATGAGCCAGGCCACGCAGCTCTACGCCGAGGCCATCAGCGCGCTCGACTACGCGCTGCACCCGGAGCGGCAGCCGGACATCGAGCCGTCTCCGAAGCCGCTACTGCTGGGCGTGAAGAAGGGGAGTGCCAATATGCCCAAAAGTGAGTGGATTTGATGGAAATCTTCGACAGCACAAGAAGAAGCAACAAAAAGTTTTTGGGAGACGACCAGACTGGCGGAGGAAGGCAGTTTGGAGCACGTCAAGAAGGAGAGAGAAGAGTATAACGGAGGGAAGGGAGGGGGGAGGACAAGCGGCGGTGTATATCAAGAATTCTTCGCCAAAGAGGAGGACGTAGCAGTAGTTTGGTATAAAAGGCGACGGGCGATATTTTATTTTTTTGACAAGCAAGTACTTAGGAAGAGCACTAACTACAGTAGTAAGAGAGTATGAACGGTGAATAGCAAGCGATGGAGCTACGTACGTGCGTTTGTTTTTCCGTTTTGTCGTTGTTGTGTTTTAGGATTAGTCAAGACGACGAGCGGGAGAACGCGACGAAGTGCGGATCTTCGAGCGGGTGATTTTCCACACGATCAAAGCCGTCGAATGTCAATTTGTCTGTCTTCATCTCTGCGAAGGCTTGGCGTTGGATCTTGACGTCGAATGGCAGATAGCTATTATAGAAAATATACCGTTCCGTACACATCAGAACAATCGAAAAACAATGTTTTTTTGTCAGCAAAGTGGACTGCGAAATGTGCCAAGACATTAGTACAGCAATAATACGAACGCGCGTGCTGTACGTACATGAGTTCCAACGACGGCGTGGCATCGAACGCGTGCTCGTTGACGACTGCCACTGGGTTCAAGTCTAGATGCCTGCAATAGTGAGTGCAGCAGCGGCCAGAACGTCGTGAGTCAACGTGCCAAAGAGCATCAAAGTGGAGTTCGTGTTGCGCATCGCCTTACAGCACTTTGAGTTGCGTCAGAGCGGCTGTCTGCTTGGTGAACGCACCCTCGCTATCCACCACGTAGCCGAGGAACATTTCGGGCACCACCTTGGTGAACTTGTTCCCCGAGAGATCCCTGTCAGTTCAGCCCAACGCCCCACATGAGATGAGGCCTAGGGTCCAGTTGTGCTGCCCAGCGCTGTTACGCGCTGCTTGACTAACTTCGTACAAGTGCGTGGTGGTTACCGGGATGTTGATCGGCACTTCCTGCGGCATTATATAGCAAAGGGGTCAGCCAGCATATCGGCCGCGTACTGGCCACGAAAGCGCAGAATCTCACCTCAAGCCCGCGGAAGTCGCAGTAGACGGAGACGCGCGCCTGGCCGATGCATTGGCACTTCGCCGGGCAGCCCAGCGCAACGTCCCGCAGCAGCGCGAGCAAAGCCAAAGACGCAACTCTCCACAACATCGCAAAAGGCAGCCTTCAAAGATCGACTTTCAAGCGTCGCGGAGCCCGATCCGAGGGGGGAATGTGGCATACTGGACTCAATTGACGTCGCGCTCTGCATGGTTTGGCCGACGCAAGTGATATTTGCTGGTCGATGACCTGGATTAAAGGCGAAAGTTTAGGCCCGCTCGCTTGGCGGAGCGCACGCCAACGACCGACGCCAGCCTCGGGGCTCGTCTAGCGCCTGACGCAGCGTCCGGCTATTACTTTGCAGTCGCCGCAAATATTGCGAGCGCTTCGAGTGGCGAGGCATTGGAGCTTTCGGTCCGGTAACCGATGGCTGCTTCCTGCGCTCCTGCCTGGAAAACCGCCCTCTTCGCTGTCTCATGGCGCTGTGAATTTTGCGCTGAGAGGCTCATCTTCAGCTGCAGATTCATCCCAAATACATGCTCAATGCAATGCCCACGGCCTCGCAGGCGTTTTGAGCGGTTAGTCAGCGTAGCGCGGGACGAGAACGAGCGCGCTCGTCACCTCTCTTTCTCTTCCGTGTTTGCAACGCTTGAAGTCCGCCGCCACGGGGCCAGCTCGAGCGCGGGGGGTATGATCATGCTGTCTTCCCAGAATTTCTCCGTCCAGTAACCGTGCGTCCTTTTGTGGGGGCGCCTCTCAGTTGTGACCGATGACCCGTGTTCCGCGTGCTGTAGCAAGGGCTGGACCCGACCGACCCCAACCCACTCCATTCGGCCTTTTGCGAGCCTTCGCGCACGTCCCCGGCCGCACCTCGAACGATAAATAAAAAACTACAATGCAAACCCCCATCAAGGCAGCTGTGGTGCATCCGGTCACGACGTATCGCTGGACAGGCAGCTGGAAGCCCACGGGCGAGGCTCACCGCAACCTCAGCGTTAGCGTCACGTGCGCGCCGGAGGACCCTCGCCACCGCCGGATGTCCTGGAACGGGGCCGCTACCAGGGGCGACGACGACGACGACTGCGACTACCCGCGGCGGCCGAAGACCTCCCGAGCGCACTCCATGGTGGCCTCACCCACGCGCGTGCGGTTCATCTACGAGGACGAGGACGCCAAGGCGCGCGTGTGCGGCAACGTGGAACGCCTGCTCAACGTCGTGCAGAAAGACCCCGAAGCGATGACAACCAACGCGCGGGTGGCGCGCAAGGTGCTCAAGTACCGCCGGGTCATGGGGAGGCTCGACGACGTGAACGTGGAGGACCCCGACTTCGACGCGTCCGCGTTCTTCGGCATCGAGTGGTGCCGCGTGGGTGCCCCCTCAAGTTGAAGTGGGTCGAGCCGACCAACCGTTCATGTTGAAGTTGTCCGTCGTCCAACCCTTCGCGCTGCCAAATGCATCGCACACTTCCAGCGATCACGAGGGAGCAGACAGACAACATACTTGTGAGAGACTTCCCGATCGATTGATGAGACCGCCGACGGGAGTACCTATTAGCTTGCCACACCGCGTATTTTATAGTTTTATAGTATCCAGCAGAGGTCGGAAAAACAATATTGCAATACAGTAAATAATTGAGTTTTCCAATAAAAATCTTTATTATTGGACGACCCCGGTTCCAATACAATATCCTATTGACCCAATTATTGACAATAAATATGATAAAAGTCCGCTGGCAATGCCAGCCTGGAATGGGATTTACGACTGATGATGCTAAGTTCTGATCGCTAGAGGCGTGGAACACTTAGTTAAACCGAGTAGCGGCTGCATGAAGTATTTACCTGAGCTATAAAAGTTCGGTTTACCATTGGTGAGCTCGTCGACAGAAAGCAGGTTTAAGCGAACTGACAGGTCACCAGTCTCTATCATAATACTGCGAACATGAAACTTGCTACTACGCGTGGATTGAACCTCAGGTGAGCTTCACAGTGGAACCTTCACTGCTATAAGCTTGAATATCAACACAATTTATGATACTGAACTGTTTGTTTCGATGTTGTGCCCACGTTCCCCCCTCTAAATCGATAAAATAGGATGTTCTATGCTCCAATGCAATATAAATTATGGGCAAAATGTATTATTGTTTGTCAAAGAATTGTAATATTTATTAGGGCTTGACAATGATCTCAATACAATATAATACGGTATTGGCGGACTCTGGTATCCAGGACCATCCAGGAGCAGAGGCCGAATATAATTGTATGTCACTCCTCAATTAGTTTTTGAGTGGTTTCGTTTGACTTTGACTCGTGCAACACTGTTTACTGTATCTGTTTGTTGGCTACGCAGTGCTGCCCTGTAGATGAATAACATGCAGTGGCATGTACGCGCAACAGATTTAATGTTGTGGGGGCATGGATACAAGTGCAGCACAATTTCTATGGCAGTCGTAGGTACCAGGGGCGAGCCCCAGTGTCTACAAGCCCGACAACGGATCGGCTTTTCGGTTGTTACCACACGAACACTGCGGACAGGGCATACTTTCGCATGCAGGGTGAGCCCCTGCGAAACGCTCGACTGGCCTTCATGGACGAAGTAGGCCTATAATACGTGTACGCTAGGCTGCCGTCAAGTCGACGAAGGAATGGAGCAGCTTCAACCTGCTTATGTCATGTAAAACCAGCACTATTGGTGATTGACCAGTTTGCCGACTTCAACTGCCACGCCTGTACAGGTGACAGCAACGCGCGCGGTGGGTGCGCTTACATATACTCTACAGCAACGTGACTCCGTTGAACTAATATTGGGGAGGAGCCTACCGTGGAGTGATCCCATGTCGTCGGTGCGGAGCCCTCTTTTTTCGAAAAGCCCCACGTAGCGCGTTACTTACGTGCACTGTGCCCGCGTGCGGCTCCGATGCCTCAACACGACTCGGGCAACATGTTGAGGTGCCCGTTCACAACCAAGCAGGCTGCAGCGCCAACCAACAGGCTGGTTCTTCGCCTCTTTTGCGCCTTGTGAGTCACATTGGTACACGTTCTCGTTCACTGCCTGCCGGCACAAGATTTGCACCCACGCTTCATGCCTCCGGTCGGTCGATGGCAGTGGTGGCCCGATTAGGAGTCTGCGTGCCCTCCTCAGTGCCCGTTCGTCGCAGCATGGGGGATGAAAAGGTGAGTCGTCTTCGTTGATTTTTGCAGCGCGCGCCGTTCCAATTCGGCATCATCGGTCGCCTCGGTCGACCGCGGGCGCGCGAGTTGCTGCTTGGCCGCTCGCTGCGCATTACACACCACAATGTCGCTTTGTGCAAGTCACCGCGCCACGTCAAAGAGGGAGATGCGTAAAATATCTCTAAAAAATATCCCTACGATCGGACTTCCATCGCACTTCAACGTACACTGTCAGAAAAAGACTCGAGTATGGTAGACGTCAAGTATTTTTTTAGGCAAAAGCGCTTTTCAAGCTGTAAGGGGCGAGCTATTTCAATCGTTGCCAAGATCCTCACTATCATAGTGCTGAAGGCCTACAGTCATACACCCCTCCCGCGTTTTGCGTAAGGTGTTGCTGGCAACAACAACGTATTGCTTTGAGTCGAGTACGCAATCCGCTGGCCGGTTTCTGCTGCTGTGAATCACGCGCTCCGGCAGCACGATGCCATTTACGCACGGGCCGTCTCCCCCCTCTGGACGCAAAGCGTCAAAGCTACATCCTTCAACCCCGAGCATGTCAATGCGCTCGAGGGTGCAATGTGTGTTGTGTGGAGCTACAACGGTTCGAGAGACGCTCGAAAACATCCGCAACTCAGTGGATTTCTGCGTGGTAGCGATCCTCATGGTCAACAGAAGTGTAGTGTACAACGCTGTAGGTGTCAAATGTGCAGCCAAGCTGAGGGCTTAGAGTTTTGTGTCGGCCGGCGAGATGCTTGCGTCGCTTCACTCACCATCAAGGTGGCGAGTGCCGATCCCCACCGCCGCTGGCGGTCCGCCAGCAAGAAAAGGACGGAGAGGACAGCGTCGTGCTGAAGGACAGGGCGGACCTCAGCGATGTGAGAGAGGGTCGCCCCTTCCTTCCTCATTTGCAGTTGCGAGCTGTCCGACGAAGCTCGCCAAGTTGGCAGAAGTACCGCCAGCCCGCCTGCCATCCCTCTGCTCTCTCTCTCCACTGCAATTTGCATTCCCTCTCTCCAAGCGGAGCGGTCCACCCTTGAGTCCTGGACAGCGACTTTCCTCCCCATTCGCAATCGCGGCAGCTCGGAGCAGCGACTTCGGTGTGGGACACCACTGGGAAGACGCAGCACGAGCGGAAGACAACAAGCGGACGCAAGCACATCAACACGCCAGCGGATCCCACTACTAGCGAGAAGGAGTACAGTGCCGACTTCTCTCCTGACTTGAGATCGCTCATTCCGACATCTATCCCGGGTAGATACAAGCTCACTGCTGGCCGGCCGGGCTTGGTAGTTCCGCGGCCACTACCCTCCAACCGCTTCCGCTAGACGGCCCCGGACGCCTGGCTCGCCATTGATAGTCGACCTGTTCGGGTGACCGACTACTCGCCCAACTTCATTACTTCTTCCCCTGCGCACCGAAGGTCTAAACGCGCTCGTCCGCCCGCGCGCGTAGTTATCGTGAATGCCTGCGTCGGTTGAGACCTATTCCAGCAAGGACATCGACATCGCGCCCCCCCCACCAGCGTTATCAGACACTACCGCGGCATGGGACCCACGGGCGACTCGAAAGAGGAATCCCGTCGACGCCGACGCCGGAGACCCGGTGAATCGGTCTTGGACCACGCGGAGAATAGCGGAGACCACGCCCCAATTGACCGTGGATCATCTACCCGTTCCGAGGCCGCCGACGTAACTTCACTCGAGCAGCGGCAGCAGCAGCAGCAGCAGCATTCTCCACTCGCTCGTGGCGCCACCGCCACCGCCAGCGCTGCCGCGTCTTTAGTCGAGGCGACGGCCAGCTCGGACACCCGGCGACACACCGGCAAACGCCGAGCCTCGGGCGAGATGATCCACCACGAGGAAGAATCCAAAGCGATGCAGCCGGTCACGCCGCAGACCGGGAACGAGATTCGCCGTCCAGATCTTCCAGAGCGGGCGATCTCTTCGACAGCAGAGCACTCCGACGCTGTCCGCGCAGCTCCGGACCAATCTGTGTTGCAAGCAGCAGCACAAGGAAACGAGCCGCATGAACCGGCTGTCGGTGAGGCACACACGCCGCCCGTGGCCTTGCGAGTGTCAACTCGACGCACTACGACGACAACGAGATGGTCTCCTTCCATGGCTGGCGGCCGTGAGCAGCCCTCTAGGTCGAGGGCTCAACGATCTCGCGGTTCCGCGACATCTGGCTTGGCGGTGGCGCCACCCGCTCGGCCAATCTCAAATGCTACGCGCAATATCACGTTCAGCATGTTACAGCCGCACTTCGAGCGGCCGCTACAGCAGGCGGCCGACAGCTTCGGCGTGTGCACGACACTGCTCAAGAAAATCTGCCGGCGCAATGGCATCAGCAACTGGCCGTACCGCAAGATCTGCGGACTGCGCAAGAGCATCGCGTCCATGGCCAAGCAAGTCAACTACTTTGACGGCGAGCAGAAGCGCGCGTACGCTGATCAGTTAGAGAAGCTCCAGCACGAGCTGCAGTCATACCTTCGCACAGGAAACGAGCCCACGGAAGAGTTCCTCCGAGCGCTCAGCTCAGAGGCTGCTAGCGCCGCTGCACGACCCGCTTCGGACACAACAGAAGTTGGCAACGAGGAGGAGGAGGAGGAGGAGGAGGAGGAGGAGGAGGAGGAGGAGGAGAAGGAAGCGCGAGAGGTGCCCACATGGACGACTAGACCCAGCATTACACAGCCTCAGCTTTCAAACCCGCACATCATCCAGAGCCCACCCGCAATTCAGTCACAACACACAACACACACCGCGATCACGGCGGCATGGGGAGGCATGCACCCGCAGCCGCAGGGGCCGCCACTGCAAGCGCCCGTGTTTCCTACCATCGCGACACATCACCGCGCACTGCCGTCGATCGCGTCCATTCTGCAGCACCAGAGCTACTCGAGTCCGAGTCGAGCGGCCTCGACGAGAACGGCGCCAGTATCCGCGCAGTACGTGGACGGCCAGCTACAACAACCACAGTGGCGATACTTTCCTCCTACAAGCGATGATGCTGTATAATGGTGTAGGTGGATGTAGCGCAGATAGTGCGGGAAGCACTCGTAGAAGAATAAACAGCGTGTTGTCAGAGGCAAATGGTCGAGATTGAAGGTGGACGTCCACTTCCGGAGGACTATTGCGATCCTAGATCAATGGGTGGACAAGTGAGACGGGCTTGACACGGAAGGACGCAATGACACCACCGGCAACCTGACTCACGACCTCAAGGATCTGACCGTGACGTGATTGCACCTTGTCAACTGGTAACTTGTCCACGAGCTGTCAGCGTGACTGCGCCATGGTGCTTTGGTTCGTCGTAGGGATCAACTGAGCAAAGTTGGCTCTTTGGCTTATACGTACATGCATAATGTTCAGTCACTGTTTGGTGAGGAGAAATGGGATCACCTCAGAATATATCGCTAAAATAACGAGGATTGAAGCCAATCATTACCACAATGACCGCAATCCGTCTCCCTCGGGGGACGATATGCAAGGCATGTGCATGCGTGCAGGTTCTTGCGTGCTTCGCGTAAGTTATATACATGCACATGTACCACGTATCGCAGTGCAGTCTTCGAAGAAGCCAGGCAAAGAGCATTTTGGGTTTTAGCGTCGAGCAGAGCTTACACCAGATATTACAATAATTGGACATGCACGACTATACTGTACTGTAGGGGACCAGCGAGCTTGATGTCGGATCACAGTAGAGCGAGCTCTACGGCAAGAGTAAACAGCATTCCTACAGCGCTGATGAAGCCGTGTACATGTTCAGCTGACGAGCCACGTCAATTTGGCGGCTAAATGGGTCATTTGAGATGGCAGCGTGGGCAGGTGGTGGTTTGAAGCGCTGCCGTCCATAAGCCGCTTCGGGCCGCATCATGCAGTGCGGATTGCGAGCCCGCCACTTGCGGCGCGTCCGATTTGCACGCTACGCGCGTGCCGGTGCCTTTCACTGATGCCGAGGACGCATCGGATGCTGTGGGCCATCCTCGGGATCCGCTCGCGTCCGTATCGGAGCGGAGCCCAGCCTGGTCTGCAGTGGAGCGCCTCTGCTGCGCTGCCTCGACGCTCGCGTGGCCTTGCGCCGTCTCCCAGGATACGCAGTTGAAGAAGGTAAACGCCGCAAATGTTGTCGCGGAGGCCGCTCGCGCGGTCTATCGCGCGCGGGCGGGCACCTGCCCACTGCAACGCAGACGACGGAGCCCGCAGCCTGCGACGGCAGATCACGAGCTTCTCCCTCGCGGGCGGCCGGCCAGCCAGACCCTGGCCGGCCACTGGCCGGGTCACATCCTGCGAATCGATGCACGATGGCACCTGCGCCTCCGCCCTCGCTTGTCCCTGCGTTCCGGCGCTGACCTGCCGTAAAAAATGGAAGTGCGCGGCCTTGGTCGTGTCAGGGCCAACCAGTCTCTACAACTACAGCTCCATTTGCATTTGGCGGCGCACGCCCAAGAGCACGAGAAGCAGAGAGCTTGGCGAGCTTCTTACCCGCCTCCGCCTCCTTCCAGCACTTTCAACGTCATCTTGCTAGAGCTTGTCGGTCAAACTGGACACTTCTGGCCTTACTTGGCGCTGGTCTCGACATCACCGGCAGTGGCGCCGAGTCCACTTGTGTACTTAAGTAGCCTGGTTAACTAACAAACGACATGCCTGCATACAGTGGAGCTCGAGCGCCCCGCGGAGAAGCAGTCGACAGTTGCCTGGTTAATTCAGCTCAATGAAGCCCAGCCTGCGCGGTGTGCGTCTGCTGCTAGCCTGCCGCGAGCTTCGATGCGAAGACGCGTGACCGCAAGCGTTGCGGTCCTCATCCGCAGCATGTTCCGCATCCGTCGCGACATCGAAGGAGTAGGTGCAGGAGGGATGATAATGACGCGACAGTGTTTAGCATCTTAAATAAGTGAGCCTAAGTACAGTCTACCCGAAGAGATTAAGCGACTTTGTGTGTGCCATGCACTCGATTAGAACCGAGTATGGTCGTAAAATACTGAGTGACTTCGGAAATATCAAATCTCCGTTGCTTTGTTGCTTTCCCCACCATTTCACTTTGCAACGAACCAAATCACTGAGTGGGCACAAATACAACAACGAATTTCGCAATAGATCACCTGCTCGGTTTGAGTTCTAATGGCCTCGCCTTGGCCCGACCGCGCCGCAACTTGCGTCCCTGTCTGCGGTGAGGATCCACCCGCAGAAGACGAACTGGGCAAAGACCGGAGCACGGGCTGCAGCCGTGGAACAGAGCACCGAGCTGCAGGCGTGAGCTTGGCGCGACAAGACGGCCATGGCATCACGCGTGGGTGGACTAAGCCATTTCGTCACCTCCTTCGAAGCTTGGCTGCACGAAGCAGCCATGCATGCCTCTCTGCTCCATGCTCAATGCTCAATGCTTTTAAGCTTTTAAAAATGTTGGCGCCAATGTGCACTTCTGGATGCAGCCTCCGTCGCACATCCACTATACCCAAGCACTCATCACGCTGCAGCGGTGGACCTCGTCGCGGTCGCACTCGCGTGGTACGCAAGAGAGGTCCTCAAGAGCTCCTGCTTCAGCTCGGTACGGTAGGTGTATCAGCAGTAAAAAGAAACGGCGTCGAGCTTCTCGACCCGACCCCATCCAGCTGCGTGCCTGGAACCGGAGGCTCCATTCCTGAATCTGCCCGGCCGCCGCCAAGTCGACCGTGTGTCGATCACGCGCGGCGCTCCTCAAACCGCGTAGTCCGCCGAAGCGAGAAGAAGCAAGCCCAAGCCGCCCATTGTCCGACTGTCCGATCCCGCGTGAAGCTCTTTGAAGTAAAGTCTCCGCGCGATAGATAGGTACAACCAGACACTTCTTGTCACCAGCGCCAGCACGGTGCTGAGCACCCCATCGAGTTCCTCCTTCTCGAGCGCTCGGTGCTTTACGCAATCCCATCGACTCCAGAAAACGGAGCTCGCAGCATACCCTTGTCCTCTCTTCGGACAGACGCAGCGACCGGACTCAACGCAAGTCTCCACTTCAAATCCGACACTCGGCGCCAGTCATCCACGCCAGCAACGCGCAGCCATCTGCCCCAGTCCGACAACCTGCAGTTGGCGTGTCGTCACTCATCTTTCGTTTTACGCGCTCGCCGCCAAGTGATCGAGCCAAGCTTCCAGTCCCAAATGGAGGCCTTCGCACTCCCAAAAGACACCGCCATCGCCCCAATGGCCTCCGACCTGCCGCCACTACAGCACAAGCGCCAGCTTTCAAGCCCCACGGCCACCGCCGCCGGATCGCCCGTCAACATGACAGTCAAGAGGCGCAGACTGTCGGAGCCCGTCTCATCGCCGGGGTCGCCCGTGTCGGCGTGCTCCGAGACGCCGTCGTCCAAGACTCGTCCCAACATGACGGCTTCAAGCAGCATCACGCTGGCCATGCTGCGGCCGCACTTCGAAGAGCCGCTGGCCAAGGTGGCTGCCAACTTCGGCATCTGCGTGACGCTCCTGAAGAAGATCTGCCGGCGACACGGCATCGCGCGCTGGCCGCACCGCCAGATCACGGGCCTGCGCAAGAGCATCGCGTCCATGGAGCATGCCATCGGCTACTTCGACGGCGAGCGGCGCGAGTCGTACGCCGAGCAGTTGCTCAAGCAGAAGAACAAGCTGGCCGCGCTGCTGGAAGATCCGACCACGAGCAACCCGCTGCTGGCCTCGGACGAGGACCAAGCCACAATGGTTGCAAGGCAGACCAAGGTTCCGTCGGTGCAGCCTGATATCGGCTACGAGGTGCCACCTGCACATGTGACCCGCGCGTCGTCGCCTACGGGTCCGTTGCTGGTAGATTATCCCTACTACGGTGCATCGTCCGCGGCGGTCCCAGTGCAGTCTTCGCCGATGTGGCTCCCGGCCGAACCGAGCTACACCCAGAAGTACCACCAGCTCTACCCGCCGCCGAAGCTCCAGCAGTCTCGACCGGAGATCTACTCTACTACAAGCTACAACGTGCCCGGTGCAGTCCCTTCAAGCAGCGGTGCTTCATCGCCGCCGATTTATCTGCCTCCGCTGCGGCGGGAGACGCGGTCGTTGTTGCCGCCTATTTCGTCATTGGTGGTTAGCGGCAGCAACGGAATTAACCCCTACAAACCGGGAAAAAAAAGTCATTCTTATACTGCATATGCAGTTTAATTAGACTTGGCATTTGTATGCAATGGGCTAGGCGAGGGCGAGGGGAATTATCCTGAGATGAGAGTTCGGTGAGAAGGCAGTTTTAGCACCGGCGGTTCTAAAACTGCCTTATCCTGCATTCTTATTTTCAAAGATGACTCTTTATGCTGCATACAACAGCATTATCACGAAAGGGACGAGGCAGCCCTCGAACAGAACCTGAGCACACCCCGCTTGGGTGCAGCGCGGTTTCTCTAAAAATCGGAAAATGAAACTTCCCATACAAAGATGCATATACAAAGGTGGGGGGGGTCGCCTCTACAACGTAACGCAATCACTTGATTGCCAGCTACTTGTTGTTTGCACCATACAAAATCTGAGTGAGCTAGATATCCAAATATTTCCCTGGTAACCATACATCTTGAAACGGTTGTAAAACGGACTGCCAAGATGGTGCTTGGGATGTGACCGAGCGCAGACAAGGTAGGCAGGATGCAAAACGAGATGAGCACGGGAGTAGACAGGTACAATATAAAAAGCGAATTGTACACACGATTGCGCTTATGCAAACGATTGGTGATGCAAACAGACTTATCCTGCACATATTCAGCATAACGACACGATAATATGCAGCTTAACTCCTACTGGCTTGTCCGGCGTCTCTTGTGCGATGCTGGCGTTGCAGGCGTTCCCGGTGTTGATGGCGCAGCCTCAGAGTCTTCGTACGAATCCGAATCACTTTACCATTGTCCATGGGGACCAGCTTGCCGTTCATCCATTCTTTATGCCAGATATCCCAGCACGTCATTGCTACATCTCGGACTTTGCGGCGCGCTCGCATACACAGGTAAATCGGGCCTGTTCTGTTGCAGTCGCTGCAGAAGTAGGTAGTCGTGGAAGCGCGCTGGGCGCCGGAGCGAAGGATGGAGCAGACCTTGCACGTCCGCTGGCGACGTTTTGCCTGAGAGCCTTGGTTTCTCCACTCATCACTTTGACGCGCAGTATGCTTGGTAGATGCCTGGGTGCTGCTGGTCGATAGGGGAGTATAGGCCAGTTGGGTGGCTTGGCGCCGCGTTCCAAAAGTATTCCCTTCATACATGTCCGATGCTTGCAGCTGGCATAGCTGCAAGTGCAGCAACTTCATGTACTTGACGTGAGTAAGCGGCCGTGACTCCTTGTTTTTGTGAAACGCCTTATGCACAATGTACCCATTCACGATAGCCAGGTCTATCAATCCCAGCACCAACGACTTGTAGTACTTGCGAAATCGTAGAGCGCGTTGTAGAGAATATCGTTGCAGTCGCAGCTGGTCATGGACGTCCACGCCGCCCATGAAGGCGTGGTAGTCCTTGATCACCCTCGGGCACGGGACCTCGACTTTCTCAGACCGATCTTGCCTCACGACGCGATCAATCTCGACGCTGCCACCAGTACACAGAAAGTGTACGGGGCGCGAATCCCACCAGCTTATTGCCGTCATGTTCGGCACCACACGAGATCTGGCCACTTTGAAGGATCCTCGAGCAATGGAGTCGGGCCTGCTCTTCTTCTTCTTCTCAATCACTTGTTTGCAATACCCAAGTCGATTCGTCATGATTGTCCCAACGCAATAAAAACCCATCAGCAGTAGCTGGATCGCAAGCGCAACTGAAGTATAGAAGCGGTCAACCACCACGAGCTGCATTCCTTGCTTCCTGGCATTCCGACCAAACACTTCCAGCAAGTTCCGCACTACGGCGGCGGGACAGGTCTTCATATCCGGCTTGTGTACATCACTTGCGTGCTGCTTTTTGCCGCAATAGACCTCAAAACTGTCGATATGCAGCATAAGTAAAACAGAATTAGTCAGCCTAAACTGCATAATACAGTATAGTGAGTTGAATCGACCAAAAAAAAAGCTTACCGAATGCAGTACGCTGTGACAGCACTGCAGAGCATGAAGAGCTTCGTGCCTCACTTGTGAGGCTTATCCTTCATGTAGACACGCATCTTGTTGAAACTTGAGCGACTTGGTAGCACAGCCTCATCAAAGGCAAGGTGGGAAGGCGCAATATACCCACGCGCAAAGGTCCTTTGAAGCACTTCAACCACTTTGCGGATCTTCCAAGCGCGATCCGTGTGAGCGCGTGGATCTTTGTTATAATTGAAGTGGAGGTTTCGAGAGATCTCCATGAAGCGGTCGCGAGAGAGCACAGAGCCAAAGCACCCGCGCGAAATGGCACCTTCGTCAGCGGTTTTCCAGTGGTTGGAAAGCTTTTCGCGATTGGGCGCAATCGTCCTCGCCACCAGCAAGCCTATGAACTGGCACAACTCGTGAGGAAAATAGGCTTCATTCCTTCCAAATCGTGCTGAATGTCGCGTCGTGTCTTCTTCAGTAGGTCTGAATTGAGGCGCTGCTTCCGTCGGTACCGCCGATACGTTTCGTCGATGCGCTGTGGAAGCATCTCCCGATGATACTCGTTGGAGCAAGCAGCAATGTGCTGCCACAGCACCACTGGCAGGAAATAGAAGAATAGCGCCACGGGGGAGTCACCTCGCCGAAGCGCATCCGCTGTTGGCCCCGAGTAGCCTCGGCGGAAAGCTGGGTAGCTAGACGCGTTGTCGATGGGCTCGTAGGGAGCCATCAAGTGCTCGTGGATGTCGGGCTCGACGACGTCTTCCCAACCTGTGGCAGTCATGTTGCGCAGGACAGCGTTCTCCAGGTTTCCGGCGAGAACCTCGTCTTCGCCTCCAAATGACTCGAGGAAGTTTTCAGCGAAAAGCACCTCTGCAGCCACCTCCTATCAGGATCGTCGTGAACATCTTCAGGTGCGCACTGCTCCGCATCGTCGTCCGAGCCGTACTCACCAGTCTCCACGTCATCTCTCTCAGCCTCATCCCCGGATTCCATGGCTCCGAATGATGCACCGTCAGCTGCATCCACGGTGTTCAAGTTGTCGTCAATGTTGTCGGCCAGCAACTCGTCGCCCGGTGTGCTTTCGTGAGTGACTGCACCATCTACAGTGAATAACACAGCATGTTAGTATTCAGCAATACAGTCAGGATAGTATGCAGAATACGATACACCATAGCATGCAGTATAAAATGTTGCATAATATTCCGTTTAAAATGCAGCATATCAGTCAGCATAAGGTGCAACATACCGTCACTCGAGTCGTTTGAGGAATCCACGGCTTCTTGTGCACTCGCAGCACTCGAGATTGGGTCATCATCACTTGATCCACCTTGGTCGACATGCGGTGAGGTCGCGATCAATACTCGCGAAGGTCGACGGTTGCCACGACTTGGCGTCGACGGTGTCGATGGTGACTCCAGCGACCGTCGGACCGAGCGGCTTGCCTGCTGCTTTCCGTGGCCGCGAGATACAGGAGCGGGATACATCTCCTTGCTGGAGCTGGGCGGTGGAGGAGGTACCGGACGCGAAGTTGACGCTGGAGGCGTCTCCACATCAGCGCTGGGACGACGAGCAGGTAGCGGACTTGGTGTAGGCTGTGGCATTAAGCTCGAAGAGGCCAGTGAGCCAGTAGCAGCTCGGACTCGCGCTTGTTCCCGCACTCGGGCTTCTGCAGCTTCGATTTCAGCGCCGTAGGTTTCTCTGACATCTTGAGCAGCAGCTTCCAACTGGGCGTCGCCAGGAGCAAGTTGCGTCGACGGCAAGGAGGCAGACGTCGCGGCGGGGACACGCGCACGACTCCGAAGAACTAGAAGTAAAGCAGCAAATTTGTGTCAGTTCTGTATAAATACAAACCATTCAATATAAACCCACCGTTCGCATAATACTCCAGCACTCCCTCCTCGCCCATGAAGTAGTCGACGCCCGACGCCCCGCTTGTACTGCCGCCGGGTCTGATGTAGAAGTAGCGATCGTCCAGTCTTCGTCGTGGCGGCGCCTTCCGCGTCCAGCCTTGAGCTTTGAGCTCTCGCCAGACGGACCTGAACGATAGATCACGCGCTGTGACCTCGCAGTCGCGCAGGATCTTTCCTGTAATGGGCCTACTTTGACTCTCTACTTTAGCTTACACGTGTGCGCGTGTATGTGAGGAAGCGTAGCTTAGTTTACATTAGAGTTAATTATACTCGGGCCTCCGAGTATAGATTAATCAAAATAAACGATCCAAATAATGTTTTTGGGTTAAAATGAGAACTGCTATTTTTGTTTTATGTTTTTGACTTCCTCTAAATGTAATATTCTAAGATAGGAATCTGCCAACGGCTGGTTTGCAGCACCCGGTTTGGAGGGGTTAACCCGTCCGCCTCGACCTGGTGACCGAAAAAAAAACATGTAGAGATATAGGAACCTAGCGGCACCAAGACTAATTATTTACAACTTTAACAAACAGCACACAAGTTTGAATTGACGCGTCGTTTCCAGTGACAATGTTGGTAACTCTGTCTGGTGGCGCAGAAAGCAGGAGGTGGTGCCATAGAGGCTTTGATCTGTGGTGCTGCACCATCAAAGTTCGAACATCGTCGTGGATGAAATATTTCGGTTCGCTCCCAAATCCTCTCATGCAATCGGGAGAGCCCGCTCATGCAGCCATCCGCGCCGAAATGCTTCCCGACAGAACCGATGGGCTTAGCTTCTGCGACGAAATCGGCTCATCAGGAGCCTCAGGTCCTCGAGCTTTACCTAAAAAGGTTAAGTCGCGAATATATGAAACCATTGGCGGGAACCCGGGTTCCCGCAAATGATACCGACCAAATCGCGAATTATTTACTTAATTTTCGGCCACCATATTGGTACCGTTGGGGCAAGTTAAACCATCAAACTCAATGAAAGAGCTCCCACTAATCTGTCACCGGTACTGAGTAGACCTGAATAACGTACCTTACCATGTCAAAGTCCACCTTACGTGAGCAGGAGGTTAGCAATGTGGCTGGAAAGCCCTCTACCGCTGTACCAGGCAAGAGTCTGGATTTTCATGAGAGACACAGGACGGGAGCAAAGACGAATTCACCTTCCGTTTCTCTACCGAGCTTAAGCTACGTTCAACGTAGGTCATAGAACAACACTCCAATACATTTGATCATACATGGGTACCGGTAGTTTTGGGGAAACCGGGGTCCCGATGGGTACCCGGGTTCCCGCCAATTGTTTCATATGCTCATCAGTGTAAACTGTATGCATTTGACACGAATTTCGAATGCTTCTCAAGATTTTTTTTAAGACAAACACGAATTTCATTTGGCACTAACTGCAGTCTTTACTCAAAACTTCCTACCGTGAATCTGTCGACGTTCCCGCCGGTGTGCTCATATTTCCCGCAATAACCAACGTTGCGGAGACTCTGCCCGACAGTGAATGGGGAGACGGACAGAGTACAATTATCAATCCTTGAACGAACGCTTGGTTGAACAGTATCGGATTTGACTTGTTCCGGCTCACTTGGTCCCTCAAATCGTGTGCTCACCGTGTCGCACCCGCTCGTCGTCGCTGCTTTCGTCGCCCGAATCATACATGTCCGACACCTCGGACACCTCCGACTCGAACGAGAACTTGGGGTACTGGCCCTTCTCGGCCAGCATCTCGGTGTTGCGCGCTTCGACATCGTGCATTGTGATGGGGTCCACAATGTCGTAGTCGCTCCGCATGCTGCTAGTGACCGACACGCCGGAGTCGGCGTAGATCTGCGGGGTTCTGGTGCTAGGGGGCACTGCGGCCTGCACGTTGTACGCCCTCGGAGCAGGTCTTCGATTCGCGTAGGCCTCCTCTTCGTCTTCTCCGATGGACGTGGGCATGAGCTGGCTCACGGTCAGAGGGTGCTGTCCTGAGCGGACCGAGTCCAGCTCTGAGCCCCTCATGGATGTTCCAGCAGTGCCTGTCACGTTGACGAAGTTGCTGGTGCCCCGTGCGGACGGAGGCACGTTGTTGTCGCCGTAGTGTCCAGCAACCGCGGCCGCTGGCAAGAGCTCGGGGCCCGTGCTGGCCCCATAATACTGCGACGCCGCCTCCGAGTACTGCGATTCACTGTAGTTGGACTCGCTGTAGTTCGACTCGCCGCCGTACGTGAAGTCGGCCGTATTTCTGGGCGATGAACCGCTGTGGTGCATTGCCCCGGGGTACGCAGGGCCGTACGTGCTGCTGGCCTGCGAGTCGGACATCATCGAGATGCCGTTGCCCTTGCCGCCTTCGTCCTTGTAGCTGTACGTCGAGTAGAGGTTGCCGCCCGAAGTGGCCGTGCCCAGCGTTCTGTCGGACCACGTGCTGTTCTGCGACGAGACCGTGCGCTCCTGCGTGTGGGCCATCTTCTTCTTCCGCACCACTCGACGAGCAACGAAAGCGATGACGATCACCACTAGCACCACGGCTCCTCCGATGAGTGCCAAGTTGACAACCGCCGGCGAACCGGTTGTGGTCGAGGTGCTGCTGGTCAACGCCTTCTCCGCGCCGGTGTCGGAATTGTCGTTAGCCGTCGCCTTGGACGCCTGCGTCACGTCCGAGTCGGTAGAACTCGTTGGAGTGGAAGGGGTCGTATTGGCACCCTGCGTCGTGTCGTCCGCGTTGGTCTGGCTGCTAGTCGTCGCCGTGCCAGAGGTGTCGGACGTCGACGTGCCCGAAGTGCCCGTACCGGTAGACGGAGTCTCGGGGGCCGAAGTTTCCGGAGCGTCAGTCTCAGGCGCCGGGGTGTCAATCTCGGCGGTTGATGTCGACGGGGTGGCCGTCGTCTTCGCCGGCGTCTTAGTAGTAGGCGTCGGCGTCGTATCGCTGCTGCTGCTGTCCTTGCTGGAAGTCGACGTCGACTTCTTCGTGGACGAAGAGGACGAGGACTTATCGCACTCCGCGTAGGTTCCCGAGAACGGGCAGTCTCCAGACGTATCACGGCTGTAGCAAGAGTAGTCGCCGCCCGTTAGCGCGTACACGCACGGCGGACACGTTTCCGACGAGAGGCTGCACTCGGTCGATCCCTCGGACAGACACGTCGTCACGTCCGAGCAGGTCGCCATCGCCTTGAGAGACCTGCGGCGAATCATTCGATCCGGGTCGGGTGCTGAACCTGTATTTGAACGCTTAATTCGTCGTCGGACCTGTGTGTATGCGAACAGCAAATGGATGTCCGCAGTTCGCTAGTAGCGGACGCCAGCCGAGCCACGTGCTGCCGTGTCGTATTCAAGTGTTGAATGAACTCAACCTCAACGAGCGCAACGCTTGAGTCTCGAGTGAGCGAGGGAACGGAAATGAAGGCTCGAAACCAAGTGCCCGCTCGATTCGACCGATCTCGCCGATAGAGACCTGGGTTCCATGCAGTCGTCTTTACGCGCCGGACGGTCTTGCAGAGCGCTTTATCCTGCGATTAGCCGCGCGGTTTGTGCAACTTGCCCCGGTCTCTGGAGACGAGGATAAAAGCGAGATCGGGCCCACGATAGGCTCAGCTCGCGCTGCTAAATTTTTCTGGCTGGCGCGGGCTTTTCCTCGGTGTCGCGTGTTACTTCCGCGTTGCAACAGAGACCATAATCCGCGTGGGGGCAACAACAGCGTTTGTATCGATCCGTTCGTGCAGCAAAGGCAGAAAAAGCTCGAGGCCGTTCCTGAAGGTTGGCTGGGCACTGAAAAACATCCGCTCGGTCGTCAAAGGAGACACGCTCGTGGTGAGTGTGTCCCGCAGCGTGGAATTGTCGCTGGCCTTGGCATATCGATGCGGCTCTGTGGGCGTTTATTAAGTTTGTCCTGTATTCCTCACTTGCGGTTTTTGTCTTCATTGCACAAGGTGTAACCTTAGGGACGGTCGCAAACTTCGAGTCGTTGACGTCCAGGTCGCAGGCTTCCCAGCTTCACCGCCAGCAGCGTCAGCGTCGGGCTCCTAGCACAAGTATTGACCAAACTGAGCCACACTCTCCAAACAAAAGCAGCTAAAACCACGATACAATTGCTTTGTACCTGGAATGTGGACGCCATGAAGCCCGGGATCGGGAACGTCGTCAAGCTGCCACAAGCAAGCAATAAACACAAATGAGCGTTGGTAAACGTCGGTGTTTTCAGGCCAGCATACGGAGCATTTGAGCGGAGCACGAGTCAAGCCGAGCAGATGCAAATTCTTATACTCACTAGGTAGATATCTACCTTTCCTTCGTTGTTCTCTATCGACATGCAGCCTCGAGCGTTTAGATGACTACGAATACAGGTACACTGCGCGCGCTACGCTGGATCGATGCTACCGGCAACGCGCACTTTTGCACATTATATCGCCCACGTCATGCCCTGAGCTTGCAGGATAAAGATGTAGACTGGAGGTGAAGCTAGCTCTGTAGGTAGCTACAGCAGGAACATGCCTCTCCTCCAGAATCCCACCCAATTTAGTTGTCGAACCCAGGATTTCGGACGACCTGCTCGCTCACTCTACGCCCTGGGCGACGTCGTGGGGCTGGCCACAGTCGCCGCCGCGATTGCTTCCACGTCCAGCACATTGGTTTGATTGTCGTCAGCCTTGTTGACATTTTCGGTGGCGACGTACGACGACGCTGCACTGCTTCTGTCGCTGGGGCGCGGGCTGTCCGCCGACTCGGCGGCCGAGAGCTGCATGAGGTTCTGGAGCTGGTCCAAGTTCTCCTGCTGCAGCTTCTCGCAGCGCATGGCCGTCTCCGTCAACAGCACGATGATGTCACTGTGCATCTCCTCCTGCTCTCGGCACCACACCTCCACATCCTCCGACAGCGTCGACGTGGACGACTGCACCGCCCCGGCGCTGCTAGACCTGGTGAGTTGGCTGACGCCGATGTCCCCAAACTCGTGCTGGCCCATAATCTCGTGCACAACGTCGCTGCTCTCGTCCTCGTCCACTCTCCCGTTGGAGTTGGAATTCGAGTATCTGTCCCCGCCGACCGAGTGTCTGTCCGCCGCCATCGTGTTCTTCTTGGACCTCCGTGAGAAGAAGCTGCTGGATCTGGAGCCTCCCGTGCTGTTGCTGAAGCTGCCGGGTGGTGACGACGCGCCTCGGGGCGACGTCTGCACGTTGGCGTTGGTGCGGAAGCCGAGCGAGATGGGGCGCCTCGTGGTCTTGAGCTTGTCCACGATCTCGCGGAACTTGAGCGTGTCCACGCGCTCGTCGTTGATGCTCACGAGCTGGTCGCCGAGTCTGCAGTTGCTGATGCCCGTGGTGACGCCGTCCGCGTGCTGCAGCACGGCGATCTGCGCGCCCACCTTGTTGTCCTTCCTTGAGAAGTTGCGCAGCGAGATGCCGCACTCGCCGCTGACCCACATGACCGTGTAGTTGTCCGGCCCGACGCGGCCCATGGGCGCCGAGTACGTGTATGTGGGGCGGTGCTGCGCGCGGCGCTGAACCTGTCGGTACTGCTGCTGCTGCTGCTGCCGCCGCATCATCATGGAGCTCTGGCGACTCTGCAGCGTGTTGGAGTAGTGCGTGTCGTCCAGCGCCGCGTCCAGCGCCGACAGGTCCTCGAGCGTCATCTGGCTCGCGCGCGGGTCCAGCTGCGCGTTGGCGAAGGGCGTGAAGATGCTGCCGCGCATGCCGTTCTGGCTGCCGTCCAGCGGCGCGCCGGCGCCGGGCGCGTGCGTGTGCGTGTGCGTGGCGCGCGCGCCTGAGGCGGGTTCGAGTCCGTCGGCCGCGTTCAGCAGCAGCGCGTCGTAGAGCTTGGACTTGCGCTCCATCTCCTCGCGCAGCGCCTTGAGCTGGCTGACGAGCGCCGGCAGGTTGCGCGCGAGCTCCATGGCCGCGGAGCCGTCGTCCTGCGGGGCGCTGCTGCTCTCCATAACCTGCAGCCAACACGTACTACGAGGAGGAAGGTTGGGCAGTGAGAGGGATTGAGGACGGTTGCGTTTTAGAGCACAAACCGTCTTTTTATCCACATTACATATGATAGCCAGTCACACTGCTAAATAACGGTGGAAGGGCGGAGCTATACTGAAATCAAGTGAACGGCGGTTGAAGCACCTTGCTAATTTGCTGTCATTAAGCGTAATTCGTAGTCCCCCCTTCAAGTGCTGGATCCGCAGCTGCCGAGGGCATTGCCAGTGCCGCCTTGGACCGAGCGTCGCAGAGCCCCCGCGAGCTTTGGACACGGCCGCCTTCGCTAGATATTGACAGCCAAGCGGTGACTGGCACCGACTGCAAAGCGCAAGATCCGATCTATCACTAGAGGTGAGGCTTCACGGTAAGCTGATTGTCATCCCAGGTCTTCGAAGACTTTGGAGTCTTATCCTGCTGCACGCTGAATATTGTTGTTGGGGGCAGAGGCTTAGACACACTGCAGGATGACCATTAACGCATTTAAGACCGCTTGTTCCCCCTCCTGCTACTGCGTCGCGGCGGCGATGAGCTAATGCAGTGAGTTGACTCAACGGGGTCGGTCGAGCTGTGCTGCCGCTTCGCGCGTCGCGAGCAGCGCAATCGCGCACAGTCGACGGTGATATGTGCGGTCGACGAAGCATGCGCCATGGGCACACTGGTGGGGTGTACGCAATTCGGCAACTACCCGTACTGGACTCAGCGTCGTGGGCTTGTCATAACGTTCGAACCATGAATCTGCCGAGGTGCGGTCGGCTCAGTTCGCGTAGTGACAGCACCAGCCAACTATTCGTGCGAGGTGGTCGGCGCCATTTTCGCACCACTACGGTAGTTTTGTGCAGCATCCCGCAGGTACGGTTGCGCATTCTCCGGGAATGCCACGGTGAAATGGTCGACGAAAAGTGACGCTGAGCTATAATAGCTGGCGGAGCTATATGTGTGCGTTAACACATCAGCTCATGGGAGCCCAAACAGTATCGCATACATAATGCATCTGAACGTCACTCTGTAAGGTAGGGTAGCAGTCAGCGTAACGCTGAAGGTTGACAGCGTCTAAAGTCGGTGGAGCACGTTCCAGGTGCTCGCACGACTCCGTGCACAGTATCGAGTGCAACTCGTCGTGGAAACCACAACAGATTCAATTGCTACTCGCAACCCGGTGAGCACCCATTGACAGCATCGCACGAAAACTATCGGAAACTGTACAGCGTAGGTAATACTTCAGAAGAGGGTTTGTCCTCGGTGTCCACAACGCGGAGCTCGAGATGTTTGGAGGCAGTGCTAATATTTGCATGGCCTACAGGAATGGAAGCCTGGAACTTTGGATACTAAACAAGAGCTTTGTTAGCTTGTAATAGATCGCTGCAAGCATCGGCGCTGCTGGGCACAGGTGCAGTGTCGATTTTTGCGAGGGCGTTTCGCCAAGAACGTCCTGATTTTTAAAAGAGCATGGCTTCATAGCACCATGCCAATTTTTCCTGTCCACAGTACATGTAACGCCGCTGGCTGGACAAACCTAGACGAGGACACACTCGACAGCAGCCATCGGCCATGCGTTGCAGCATCGCTTACAGTACAATACTTTGCGAAAGGAAGGGAAGCTGCTGTCGGTTCCTGTAGACGAAGGTGTCCATCAGTCTGCCTACGGTACGCACGGTTGGAGGCCTTGAGCTCCGCTTGCTGTTGCGCGCCGCGCCCGGCCTTAGCGAACCGCTGTGTCCGCGGTGGATCCGCCTCGGCTTCAAAGCGGATAGCGCAGCTGAACGCACTCCAACACGCAGGGATTTGTTGCCTGCACGAGTTTGAAGTTGCCGCGCATTTAACTGCTGTACTTGTAGTTGCAGTTGGGGGATCTGCTGCTGACGACCCGCCGCCTCGACTCAACACGGCGATTCCGGTCCTTCAGCCAGATCGAGCCGGCGAGCCAATGCACCAGAACGCTACGGTAAAGCTGCGCCAGAACGCGCTTGCCGCTCGCTCCAACGCTGAACACTGAGCTCGCTGTCACACCTGCACGCACTCACTGCTTGCTTGCTCGCTCCATTCGGCTCCAGGCGGCTAGCGCAATGACTTGCGGCGATTCCGCAGCACAATTGGCTACAGATTGTGTCAAAAACAATGCAGCGGTTGAACTTGGTGCATACAGAGCCCCAGCGTGCGTCTCCAGGCCACGAAAAACAACCTTCAAGTTTGCTAAACAGTCGCACTGCCATGAAAAAAATATTCCGTCCAAATATCCGTGCCAAGTCAAATGTTTAGCGTTAAAAATGCTGGAGTTCGCCGCATCGGTAGACCGACGCCACCGTTCTCAGCGTTATCCAACAAAGCGCAGACCCTGGACCACCCAGATCACTGGTCGCGCAGCGTGCATGCTCATGACCAAGCTGCGCGCGCAACCAGGACAGTGACCGCGTTGCAGCCAGTGCAAAAAGTCGGTGCTCCCTCCGCCTCTATACAAATTTAATATTACAGGTCTCTCAACCCCCAACTCTATCGGCCTTGGAAACCGTACCGTAACTTCAAATAAAATATGAAGGCTGTATGAAAATCTCGATTTCGCACCGGAACCACCACGTAGAGCCGCGCACGGCTATGCGCTTCGCCCTTATGCATCGTAGACGCGCCATCTCCGTTGCCATTTCCCGAATTGCTCGCTGGACCGCAAGCCACGCCCCCAGACCCAAGACTCCCAGACCCACTTGAATGTGCGACGTGCTACAGCAGCTCCAGCCCGCCGGTGCCTTCCTCCGCCAGGCCCAGAACCTCCAGCCCGCGGGCGCCTTCCTGAACCCCATCGCGCTCGTGGGCAGCTGCACCGACATCGATGAAGCGCTGCGCTTCTGCGACGAGGAGGCCGCCGACCAGATGGAGCGCGGGCGCCAGCAGGAGAACGCCACTGCAAATGACGCTGAGCCCGTGGACTTCCTCGCGTCCATCCGCCGCGGACTCAACGAGCTCGTGGCGGCCAACGAGGCCGACGACGAAGACGACGACAGTGACGACGACGAAGACGACGAGAGCGACGACGAAGGCTGCTACTACCAGCCCAAGGAGAACACGTACTACAGCCCCGGCCAGAAGCTCTCGGGCGGCTTCCCGCTGGACGACGCGGGGCTCGACTTGTCGGACACGTCCACCGCCTCGTCCTCGCTCTTCACGGCGTGGGCCCAGCCAGAGTCCGACGAGGAGGGCGACGACGAGGCCCTGACTCAGGACCTGAACCAGGACGACGACCTCATCTTCCAGCTCGAGATGTAGTGTAGATACCACCAGAACACTATTTATTTACCTAAGACAAAGTATGGCGGCGGTGTACAGCGTCAAAAATGATCGGAATGCAGCTCCCCCCTCCATGTCGACCCGTCGCGTGTCGTGAGTTATCCATAAGGCTACAGTAGGGGAGGGAAATCGAAGCGTCATGTCAATAAGCACACGGTCGTTGCAGTATTTCTCTTTAGGTTGTAATTCTACACGGCTACTGTATCCTGCCTGCCTGCCTGCCTGCCGCTCTACATGCGGACGTGCGTGCTCGAGAGGTCGAGCTGCGCGTCCTCGATGCCCGAGATGGACTCAAAGTTGCGCGTGACTGTGCTCGGGTCCGGCTCCAGGCTGTCGGAGCTCTCTCGCAGCACGGCCCCCTCCTGGATCATGGGCTGGTCTCCGATGGCTTCGTCGACTGCGTTCTCATTCTCGAACGTGAAGCTCACGAACGACGTGTTGGCGCTGGCGATGCGCGTGCCGTTGTCCAGCACGCTGCTGCTGTTCTCGGTGTAGTGGCGACGCAGCCCCTGGATGAGTCGGTCGGCGCTGGGCTTGAAGCTCATGCCGTTGCCCATGAAGTGGAACAGCTCATGGCGCGCGAGCGAGTAGCGCTTGTCCAGGCCCGGGTCCAGGTCGTTGAGCGCGATAGGGAAAATGGGGCGGCCCTTGTCCTCTGCGAACGCCAGTTGGTCGCGCACCAGCTCGTTGTTCATTGTCTGCTTGGAGAGGATCACGAGGAAGCATGTGCACTGGAGGATGGCCTCTTGGGCCGCGTGGATGCGCTCGTCGAAGTCCTGCCCCTCGACGTTGCGGTCGCCGTAGCACATGATGCCACAGTCCGTCAGCTCGCGGTACAGCTGCTGCACGAAGCCTGCGTGCTTGTCTCCGTGCGAGAGGAAGACAAACTGCTTCTGCACGCTGCTGGCGTTCGCGTCCCATTGCTGGAAGAGCCGCGAGAAGCCGCCGCCGCCGCTCGCTAATATCGTTCCGGTCGCAGTCTGCTTGAGGCCAGCGGCATTGCGACGACTGCTAGCGATGTTCTTCTGCTGGACGGCATCGCGGTTCTTCTCGATCTCATCACGCACACCGTCGAGTAGCAGGCGGAACTGCGACTTGAACTTGGCCTCGTCGTAGTCGTACTCGATCTGCCGGACGTTCGTACTGTTGCGCCGAGTTTGAGTGATGGCGGGCTCGAACGGGATAATCTGACGGGTGTACAAGTACACTTGCAGGTCTTCACCGATGCTAACGCTCTCAGACGACACGGCCAAGATGGGCGTACCGACCTGCTTGGCCAATGCCAACTCCTTCAGGCACCACTCCGATGCCGCGTAGTCTTCGGTGAGAAGACACAGCACAACGGCAGCATTCGTGATCCCCCTTGCGATCTCCTCACGCCAAACGGAGCCACCACCGATGCCACTCGGGTCCATCAAATCCAGCCACGTCGTCACGTTCGCGTCTTCCAGCGCCTTGCGAATCTTCTTGGCGAACTCGGCATGCGAGTGCGTGTAGCTGATCATCACGTCGCGCTGGCCGGCAGCACGCTTAATCTCGAAGAGCAGTCGAGTTGAAGTGGTACAGTCCAGCGGACGCAATCCTTCAATGTTCATCTTCATGAGGTTGCCACCGTTGGCCAGAATGGCCAATGCGGACTGCTCGTTCTCCTCGCGCACCGCAATGTGCAGCGCGGTGTCTCCTGTTGTGGGGAGTTGATAATTGATATCTGCACCAGCAGAAGTCAGGACGCCGAACAATTCGCGAGACGCATCCAGTCCACTTGCAGCGCACATGAGCGGAGTCATGTAGTTCAAGTCCACCAGTCTCGGATCCGCGCCGGCCTGAATCAGCGAGCGTGCCACGTCGGACTTGTTCAGTCGAGCCGCCCAGTGCAGCGGTGAGCGTCCTTGAGCATCCTGGAAGTTGGGATCCGCCCCAGCTTCCAGAAGTAAATCAACGACCTCCAGTGCTCCACTGATGGCGGCCCAGTGCAGTGGAGTCCGTCGGTTGAGACCCACATAGCCCAACTCGCCCAGGCAATCCACATCGGTCTTCTTCCGCAGGAATTTGCGCACAGCTAACACATCATTCCGACCGGCAGCGGAGTGGAAAGGTGTTAGCGCCACATCGCCGCCCCAATCTTCAAGTTCCTGTGCCACGGCGTAGTTTCCGCGCAAATACGCGAGCTGCAACGCGGTCAGCGTGTTCATAAAGCCTGGATCCGGGACTGCCAATGGATCGGCGCCATTCACCAGCAATTCACGGACAACATCCGGGTGTTCGGCCAGGAAAAGTGGCGGTACACGATCCGAGCGATACGACGACAATGCCAGAGTTCGAGCTGAGGCTCCACGTGCTAATAGCCACCGGACAGCTTCCAACTGACCAGTAGACACCGCACAATGCAGTGGAGTCACCAAAGTTGTACGGAAAATTGAAGCGGCCGATTCTTCATCAGCGCCGCCTCCGTCAACTCCAGGTCGTGCAACGAAGAAGCGAGCAAAGTACCAAAAGAGATCGCCGGTGGAGAACCGCACCCGAGTAAACTTGTCCATGGCAGTCACATCGAAACCACGAGACTCGAGCAGCTCCAACGCGCGAATGTTGCCGTGGTAAGCCGCCACGTGCACCGGGTTCTTGCGAGACAGCGCGAAAAAGCCCAACAGTAGTGACGCCGGAGCATAACACTTGCGAGGAAACCCCTGCTCTTCGCTTGTCAAACCTGCAGCTTCGGCGTAGTCCAAGATGTCGCGCATTTCACGGAGATCGCCCTGGCGCGTGGCCTTATAGAGACGCTTGCGCACCACTGCGAGCGCCTTGTCGGACTGGTTCATAAGTTGATCAACACCCGGATCCATGACGTGGTTGCGGACGTCACCAGTCTGGTCGCTCTCTTGGAAGGCCCCCAACAACATCTTAACGTGTTCACGGAAGCGCGCGAAGTACTGGAGCTCCGTGAAGATCCACACGAAACAAACCACACTAACGATCGCAAAGAGCTGCACCGCGTGGATATCACACGTGAAGACGCCCCCCTTGAAGAACATGTAGAGGAAGAACATGACCACGACCGCCTGGAACAGCAGCAGCAGCACGGCCACCAACTCGCAGAACTGGAACACTAGTCGCCGCTTGATCTTGGTGAGATTTCCGTTGTCCTGCTCGTCGTCGTCCAGATCCATCCCTCCATTGCCAGTCTCTACGTCCGTCTTGTCCAACTGCGCACCAGGAGCGCCAATCCCTGGCGTGGATTCCTCCTCCCGCTTGAACGGCTCAAACAGCCGCCACCCCGACCCCGGCAAGCACAGCAAGATCACCGCCGGAAGTGTGTGGTAGATCAGAGCCGAAAACCCCACGACGTTCTCGCAGCTCGACGCCTGGAACGTGTACACCAGTCTTGGCGAGTGCAGCATGAAGCCGTACTCCTCCGGTGCCAGCTCCTCGTTCAGCACCAGGCTGTGGGGCTTGTAGAAATAGTAGAAGCCCAGTCCCGCGGCCAGCACGACCGCCAACGGCATCCCCGTGTGCAGCAGCCGCCGAGCGAAGAAGGTGTTGTGGCGGAAGCGCGCGTTGAGCCAGTGGCGAGGCACGTGCGGCATCTTGCCGCGCAGCTTGACGCTGCCGTTGGCTCCGTGGTAGAAGGACCTTTTCTTGCTGGACATGGACGCTTGAGGACGTCGGCGCAGTTGACCGGCGTGGGACGTCGCCAATTGGTTGAGCGACAGGTGCGACCCCACGCTGAGCCGCGAGACCACGCTGGACGCGACGGACTTGGCCGCGCCTTGGCCCATGAGCGGGATCATGGGGATGCGCTGAGGGTCCTCCTGGTCATCATCTCGTGGCGCGCCGTGGCCGACCGACTGTCGGCTCTCGTTGGACAGTGTCTTGGCCTCTGAGTCGGACATGCGAGGACGCTGCGACGTCATCTTGTCGCCCAGTGGGGTGGACATTCCTTCGTACATGTGCCCCTGTCGCTTTAGATCGAAAAGTTCGTCTTCGGAGCACGAGCTCGGTCGGGTTAGATGAAAACTTGTTGCTGTTGCCTTTTTAGGTAAGAAACAATTGAGACGGTTAAGGTGTTGAAGTTTCCGGCCGTCGAAGTCGAAGGTCGCCAATGAGCTGAGCTGAGCTAGGCCGCCGCCGCTGCTGCGTTGCTGCCTTCGCGGGGGAGGTGCACAGCGGGCCAGCCTCGCCTCAGCACTGCGATGAATATAGAGGAGTGCGCGCACTCTCGCCCGCCAAAGTGGAGTTTCGGCACCATCAGGAAGGCGTGCCCCCACCCCTCGCTGACGTCTGCGACGGTTCCGAGTCTGAATTTTACGCCATTCAGAGACTTTCCTTTGCCCCTCGATAAAGTCCGCACAAACAACGTGAATATTGAGATAGGGCCGCACCAACGAGGGACAACGGTGCTATGTGTGGGACCACGACGCTACGTTGGCGATAGATCAGGTTTCATACTGAAACCAAATGAGTTTCAGACGGGCAGCATGACCCGTTCAGTATCTACGCTTTGGAGACCAAGACGTCATTTTGCCGCCGGTGATGCGGCAACGGCGCTTCAATAGCCATATAATATCCGGAGGGTCCGCCAACCACAAGCTTTGCTTGTCAGCGCTAGCCAGCATTGCTAGCACGCTGGCGTGCTTTGTCCCCGGCACGTCAAGCCGCATGGAAGGACAGCAGCCAATCAGCACGGCGAAATGTATCAAAAGTAGTTTACAGCGAGGCAAGCTGGCAGCAGTAGGGCTGTGGGTCTTGACTACCCGAGGCTTGTCTTCGTCCCTGTAGAATCTGCTGCCGCTCAGCGGATGGCTCGGCAGATACATGTACACTCGCAGCCCGCGACAAGGATCCAATTTATGGAGGCCACCCCCTTCTGGAACTGGCAAAGTTGACAGGATTCGCGTGGTGGGGTAATTCCCAAAATACGGAGTGCTGGGGAAACTTTTGACATTTTCAACCTTTTGCGACCAAACACGGAGTTGTGGGAAAACTTATTCCCAAGACCAGCCTATAGAATCGTAGAGGTAGCCTTCACTGCAGAAAACACCAGAGACTCAAGAGCCCACGTGCTGGTGCACGCCGCTCCGGACGCGCCGCTGGAGAAGACGCTGGCAGTCGCCGCCATCATGGACGGCACACCCTCCGGTGCCTTGCTGTCCACAACCGTGCTGCTGCAGTAGGAGAGCGTGGTGCGCTCGAACCTCGGCCCTGACACTGACACCAGGGACTCGCTGGACTCGCCAACCGTGGCCTCCCTGAGCGAGCTACTGGCCACCAAGACGCTGGTGGCTGCAGGAGACAAATGGCGTGGTGAAGTCCATGATGGTGGCGACTGCCAGCGTCTTCTCCAGCGGCGCGTCCGGAGCGGCGTGCGCCAGCACGTGGGCTCTTGAGTCTCTGGTGTTTTCTGCAGTGAAGGCTACCTCTACGATTCTATAGGCTGGTCTTGGGAATAAGTTTTCCCACAACTCCGTGTTTGGTCGCAAAAGGTTGAAAATGTCAAAAGTTTCCCCAGCACTCCGTATTTTGGGAATTACCCTCGCGTGGTGACACAGATCCCTACGTGGCTTGACGCACAAGATATCCGAGATGCGATGAGTTGGGGGCGTCTATGGTGATGCTACACGTACCAGCAGCGTTAAATGTTAATGCATGCCCGGTGCTCTTGTCGTTTTATTTATTTATTTATTTTTCACTGTGAAACGGTGGAGGTTCACTTCAATATGTACCCGACTATTGGTACAATTGTGCGCACGAAACGACGCGACTCGAAATAGCTACATGTAGTGTAGTGCTGTTGCTGTTCGTGGCTTTGGAGCACTTACGGTGTCATGCCAGGCAAGGACGCGCCTCCAGCTGAGAACAGCAACCCGTCGATCCCGGCGTCACCGGAGCGGGAGCGGGACAAGTGGGACATCTCTCGCATCAGCAAACACTGGGCAATCGACCCGGAGCTGCGGCGGAGTCTCCCGGCGCTCGCTCGCGCCAAACGATCCGAGAACGAGTCAGCTAGCAACAAGTTCCTGCGTCTGAGCAAGCTTCCACTGCCTGCGTCGCCTCAATCCGATTCTCTATTGCTGAACTTGGCAACTCCAATTCGCGGTGGCCGCAGCGTCTCGCAACGGGCCGTCACCGTCAACGCTGAGACCAAGGCCAAGTACTTCGGCAAAGCTGCGAAGACCGACTGCTACGCCATTTTCCGGCAACTCGCAACGCAGAAATACTTCTCGGTCGAGCCTCTGAGCGAGTTTCTGGCGGAACAGGAGATAAATAGGCCCCTGCACGGCGCGCGGGACGAAGACAACAATCCGGCCGTGCCCAGTTTGTCCACTGAGGGTATCAACAACGGTGATAGCTCCCACAGGCAGCATATAGGCAGCTCGCTGTCGCATTCGAGTCAACGAAATGGAGTCGGCAGTGTGTTGAGCGGCGATCCGTTCACTGCGCGGCACAAATTTTCCTCGTTGTGTCTCGAGCGCGACCTGCCACCGTGCATCCGACTCGTCATACGCCAGTACTTCTCTCCAGAAATCAACGTCTCGCACATGGCCATAGGCGACGATCTCGCGTGCGTATTCGCTGCCTGTTTGTTGGATTTGCCCATGGTTACAGGCCTAAACGCGCGCAACAATCGCCTCCGGGACCGAGGACTGCAAGCTCTCGTGGATGTGGTCGTGACCAAGTCGGATCTGTATCATCTCGATCTATCGGAAAACAAAGTGGACAGCCATGCTGCCCACGCACTTGCATCGTATTTGGGGTCGTCGTCCTGTAGACTACAGACCCTTCGCCTTGCCAGCGCTGATGTAGATGACGACGAGCTTGTCCCCTTCGCGCGAGCGCTACACTCCAACAAATCTCTTCAAACGCTGGACGTGTCACGAAACTCTGTGGGTAGCAGCGAGCATTTGAACGTTGTTCGACCCTCAGTCACCACGGGCGGCGAGGCTCTAGCCACAATGCTCAGCATCAACAGTACGCTCACGTCTCTCGATCTGTCGTGGAATTACCTGCGACTTGCAGGTGCTGTGGATATCGGGAAGGCGCTGGCCTACAACTCGGGGCTACGCGAGTTGAACCTGGCGTATAACGCATTCGGCAACGCAGGAGCGCAGGCTGTAGGCGACGCGCTTCTATCAAACACCACGTTACAGCGCCTGAACATGAGTCACAACAATATCCCGGCTCAAGGAGCGCTTGCGATCGCGAGCGCGCTCAAGATCAATATCGCTCTACCGCTCACAGAACTGATGTTCGGTGGTAACCCGCTCGGTAGTATGGGCGGCCGAGCGTTAATACACGCTGCTGCCGCGTGTGCAGACAAGAAGAAGCTGTCGGTGTCCCTCGAAGGGTGTAACTTTGACGCGTCCGGAGACGGTGACGGGTCCTTCGACCCAGCAGATCCCACCGGAAGCTACGACCTGAACATGGAGATTCCGTACGAGCGCGCTGTTGCGCTGGAGCTGCTACGCGTTGCGAATACGAAGCAGGGCTGCAAGTTCCTGTCTATCGTCCACACTTCATCGATCAACAAGCAGCGCCGCAACATCCGCGTTGAGCTGCGAGAGACTCAAGAGGGTCTCGAAGCGAGACGAAAGTTGCTTAAAACCGCTGGCATTTTGACCGATGTGCAAGCCCCCAGTGCTCGTGAATTGATATCACGGCGACTGGACCGAGCGTCACTTAAAGAGCTCTTCCATGAGCTAGACAAGGACAACTCGGGGTTTATCGATGAGAGGGAACTTCGCGTTGGCATGCGAAAGCTGGGGCTGCAGTTCCGCGACGACGATGTACCGCGCTATGTTGCGCTGTACGATTTGGATGGTACTGGTACGATTGAGATCGACGAGTTTGTGGAGCTAATGGAGAGCTTCAACCTGGACGAAATTGACGGTGGCTTCTCGCGCGAGTGCGTAGATGTGGAGACTAATCTACCATTCGAGATTCCTGCTGAGGGTCGATTGCAGCTCGATTTCGTAGATCTGCACGTGTCGTTGGGTAACGATAGCGCTCAGTCAGACGCAAGTGTGGAGCGCCTCATTGAGAACATATCGTCGAGTAAGAACAAGACCCAAATGTTGTTTATGGCCAAGACTGGTCTCGTGTTCAAAGCCCACGAGGCTCAGCTGCTCCTCGAAGCAGTACGCGACGTGTGCGATCCCTCCCAGGCCGTTATGGCGCTACTACCTCATATGGTGGACCCTCGCAATGCGTACACTCTGATGGAGCACAACCTCAGCTCCTCTGATCGACTGCGCGTACAGCATCTTATGGGTCAGGCGCTTCAGCCCATGCTCGGTCTGGCTTCGGGACACTATCGTATTGATCTGAGCAACGATATGGACCGGATAACACTACGCAAGCTCGTGGAGAACAGTAATCGGACTGCGTTCCTACGCAAGAAAGGAGGCATGAAGGACACGAGCCAGCACATCAACTACCACGGCTTCCGAAACGAAGTGCTTCATGGTAAATCCTTCGTTCTGGAGCCCAAATTCCTGGATACCGCGCCAAAATTCGGCTACTTGGAGCTCGACTACGTTCAGATCGGACGCGCGCCAGGCCACCCACTCTCGACCAAGCGCTTCGAGCAAATGCTTCAGCTGTGTCAGCTCGATCGCATGGGCCCAGGAATGGGGGTAGCCACACAACCAGCTCCTTCGGCTTCAAAAGTGGCAAAGAATACACGAGGGGAAAGGAACTCGGTGTCTACTCCGGCACAAGTGTCTATCCCTGCAGAATCTGTATTCCCCCCTCAACGTCCATTTACGCAGAAAACATTCGACGAGTACGAAAAGATGCACACACTGAGGAACTACATTGAGTACGGAGCCGGCTTAACTCGGTCCATTGAACTAACGCCTCTACCTGGCGAGGATGCCACTCCCGTGAAGATCGACAGCGAGGATGAAGCTCACGGTGACGTTACCTCTCGGCCGGCGAGTTCTTCTCCTAGTACTGAAGAGAAACCACAATCGCAGCCCAGCAGCGAGAGCCCAATGGATGGAGAAAGCGGTTTTGAGCGCGTGGCTACACCTGCAATCCCTGTAGCTCCGAACGTCTGCACTGCGCGTCGACTATTATTCAACATTCAGTGGTGCTTATCCACGCGTTGGATCACAGTACAGCAGGGTATCAGGCTGCTGAGTGTGTGGCCTGCAGCTTTTTCGACCTCCCGCTGCGACTTGGTCTGCACCATCTTCGATCGAGTCACGGATCTACACAACTTCAGTGGCGTCTTGTCCGCCCTCACTGATGAAGAAGCTGCTCAGGCGCTGTATCGTTTGGGGATGCTGAATGTGTTGACCCCACTATGGCCCGATAATTACTACGAGCTTGCTCTCGCGCGCTACGAGGAGCGGGAGGTGGCCAAGGCGCTAGTGCGACTCGCCATCGATGAACCGGGTGAGAACTGGCAGAGGGAAACTTTCGGCTGGAGTCGAGACGAGAAAATCCCAGGCTGGGAGCTCAACTACTCGTGGCTCAAGGACGGCGGGTTCCCTGAGAAGGGCTACCTCAGTCTTGAGTACTATTCGGGCGCCGACAAAGGCTGTGGCCCGGTGTGGCCAACGCGCCGCGAGCTGGCAGCTTATACCCTATGCGGATTGCCAGATAATATCGACGCGTTCGAGATGCAGATCGACTCGCTCAGTATGCGGAACTTGGTGCAACGACAACAGTAGTGCAGTGCAGTTACACTAATGAAAAGGCTATAACCTGCAATAATGCAGCGTTGGAAACTGTACACGTCTTTCCACTTCAACGTGACTTGTGACGAGTCTTTTGCAGGCGGTGGGAGGGACTTTGGGTGACGGACATGCTGGCAATGATGGCCCGCACCCCGAAGAGGCCGCGCGCGACGGCCACCTACCTTACCTTGCAGGCTGGCGAGCCGACGCGAACCGTACACGGGTCTTATGCACTCTGCGACTTTTACATGCTTTGGGTCACGCTCGTGATGCATGGGTGCCCGACGGCAAGAGCAAGAACAACGCTCGCCGAGTCGCGACGCTACGTGCTGTCAACAGCGGTCAGAAGCGTTGTCCGCGAGCGAGACAGAGGCAGGCGGGGAGGACCACGAGAGAGCGAGTCACCGCTGCGCGCGTCGTGTTGAAGGCAATTTTTGAGGCGTTGGCCACGACTGACCGACGGCACGATCGCCGAAAGGAGCTGTCGGCTACGCTGGATATTCCGGTAGCGGCCCGGCCCCAGCGGTGGCGGTCCTAGCAGGACGGCAACCTCTTTCGAGTCTCGGAGCTCGGAGGCCTTCGCTGCATCCTCCTCAGGCCCTGAGGCTCAGGGTGGCAGCCAGACATTGAAGCCAAAGCTGCACCGCTCGGTCGGTCGCTCTGACCTCGCGGTGGTCTTCGGCCGATTGAAGCAGCCGATGAAGACTCACGATAGACGCCCGCCTTCTCTTCTGGAGCAGCCACGACCAACTGGCGATTACCATGCCCCCCGCCGCGATCAATCAAGCGTCGATTCAACGCATGGCCAGCGTGTGCTAGTGGCGACTTGCGTGGCCGGCCAAGCGGAGCGGCGTGCCTCTCGGAGCGCTGCCACCAGGTAGCCATCTGGCCAGTCAACGGACACTGGCTCCACCGGGGGGACCAGGCGTCCGCCGCCGCTCGACGACTGCCGCGATTGAAGCGGGGGAGTCATCGAGATGGTGAGCTCTGCCTGCTGGACGAGGGCTTGCGGGCAAGCTGGCGTCTTATGCGGCGCCAATGGAGATCTTGTCTCGCCATTCCATTCCGACTATGCTGACACGCTTGGTGCAAGTGTGTGTACATTATAGCCCCGACCTGTCCGGCTTGGATGCTGCTCGAGGTCCTCGAGTCGAGGATACACTGATCTGGGCAGCCCAGACCGGTGAAACTTTGAAACTTTCGCGGAGACTTTGCCCCACCATGTATCCGTTCCTGAGCTCGGCGTCCGTATAACCAGCTGGATGTTCAGAAGGATGAAGGTTGAAGCACGCGTCAAGTCTAGCGCTGCGTTCTGCATCGTGCGTTGTGGCGGGCCTCTTCGTCTTGGCGTAGAGATACTATTGAGCCCGAAGCTTTACGATAGCTTGGGGGATGAAGGTAGGTAGGTATCTTCTTTTGGGTCTGCAAAAGCGCTCGTCTTATCCAGGGCTATCCAAATGCCTGTTGTCGGCGGAAGACCACCTCCTAAAAATTGTCCCTCGACATCGGCTTCTACGCGTGAGCACGCACGACGTCCGGGTGGTTGCACCCGCTGCGGACGCGGCTCCGTATTTCGTAGAATGCGGGCACCTGCTGCGACTTGTTCATGTAGGCATCTTTGTCTAGAAGGTTGGGGGTGGTTGAGTATCTGCCCCTCTTTGTGTTCCTTTCGCGAGAAAAAGGCTGACCACAAACATTGATTCAACTTCAATTTATCCTATACAATTTTGAAGTATAATTGATTGATAAATCATGATAAGTTGAAGTTGCATCAACATTATGCTCAGTGAGACTCAAAAGTGAAGATTGACTCGATAGAGAGAATATAATTGATTAACAGGATATAGTCTTGTCGTAGAGCTGGCTGCTGAGGGATCCATACAGGCGTAGCTACAGGGAGATCATCGGCGTCGATGCCTTCGGGGAAACCCAGACGGCGCAAAACTGTCTTTATATCGTCGCTGACGAAATGAAACTCGCCGATCGGTGATAGAAATGCTGGTAATGTTGCCGAAATGAGAAGCCCAAGCGAGGAATGTTAGGACTGACCACAGCGTCTGCCACAGTATCTGGACGGGCTCACACTCGAAGAAGCAATGAGAGGCGGTTTCGATAGCGCGGCAACCATCAGAAAGGAACCGCGCCCCCAGCGTTAGATTTCCAAAGTAGAGTCTCACATCGTTGGGCGCCTACCGCGGACTCGTATCCTAGAGATCTAGCGATGTGACCACCGTAGGCGGAGATGCAGCAGTGCGCGTCTCCGGGAGTAGGTAGCCGACTAAACCGCAACAAATTCAAATTCAAATTCATGGTGACATCGTGCACGGTAAGTAGAACCCGACGCATACACCTCCATGCTTTAATCCACCGCGCGACCTCACCCTCTGTACAGCCCAATGCTGTCACTGGGTGAGGTTTCGGTACGGGAAGGTTGACTCGATAGAATCAAGCCATACCTACCTGCTATCGACTTCACGCGATACATTGTTGCCAATACTACTCGGACTCGAAAATGTGTTTGTCTGGGAAAATCAGCCCATCGTCGGGGTCGGAAAGTGCCCAGGGACGGTCCCGTATAATGGAGACACCAGCGACCTGCTACCGTGAGACCAAGACAACTTCTCTAGGACCGATGAAAACCATGATTCGCTAGGGTGTTATAGTACGCAAGAATCGGTATTTGATCAGTAATTACGTATCAATATGCTTAGAGATAAGTCACAGGAGAAATTCGTAGCTGCGGTGATGTCACTATGTTCGCAATGACGAGATCAGCCGACGCACCTGGATCGAGCGCACCGGCTTAATACTGGATCTCTCCTTACTTTCCGTCGATCAGAGCCTCGTGAAGCAATGAAAAGGACAATCCCAAACAATCCGAAAATATTTTTAGGCCATTTTAGCTCCCCCTCGCTTGGACGCGGGAGCAAAGAGCTGCTCCAAGCGCTTGACATACTCAACGAAAGATACGACCAACTAGTTACACTTTGTATTGCGTGTGCGAACCATACCCGGCTTCGGGTCATGAGTCTCACTCATATCGAGTCGTACGCAGCATTTGCAATACATATATTTTGCGCAGATGGTTTGCTAGTAAGCCAGGTATATGTAATATCCACATTGGTGTTGCCGCTAACTCTTTCTCGTTGAAAGCTCTGCAGTAGCGGCGCTGTATCTACAGTTATCCTTTCAGGCATTTAACGCGAGACTGCGCTCTGGACTCCAGAGTCTGGAGACCCTTCACATCTTGGTCAGCGCGTGTAGACGAATCCGATTTCGTGGTTTGCACATCTGTCGACGATGCGATGGAAGTGTCCACGCAGACGGCTGTTCGACATCACTACATTGGTCGCGTTGTCGCGCTCGGAGTGCGCTTCCTGCAGCGCTTGCGCCAGCGCTGCAGACAGCGAGCAAGCCTCTTGCTTGTCCGCTTCCGTTCTCCTGAGCACCAGCGGGTGGGCTCACCTGGGTGGCTATGCGGTCGAGGTTACGGTCACTGTCTGCGTCGCTGTGCGCTTGTAGCATTTTGTGTTGTTTTCATGAAATGCGGATGTCCCTGGCGTTTGACTGCACAGGCACAGTGCCACTCGAAGTCCGCCGCGAACGAGGAGATGAGTGCGAAAACAACGCGGCCAATTTACGCGCGATAACCTGCAATATCCATACAGTACATGCATAGTAACCTACCATGAGGCAATAGCTCGCCCGTATCTACAAGACAAAGGACATGTAAAGCATTCAGCTACTACGAAATACGGAGCCGCATCCGCAGCGGGTGCAACCACCCGGACGTCGTGCGTGCTCACGCGTAGAAGCCGATGTCGAGGGACAATTTTTAGGAGGTGGTCTTCCGCCGACAACAGGCATTTGGATAGCCCTGGATAAGACGAGCGCTTTTGCAGACCCAAAAGAAGATACCTACCTACCTTCATCCCCCAAGCTATCGTAAAGCTTCGGGCTCAATAGTATCTCTACGCCAAGACGAAGAGGCCCGCCACAACGCACGATGCAGAACGCAGCGCTAGACTTGACGCGTGCTTCAACCTTCATCCTTCTGAACATCCAGCTGGTTATACGGACGCCGAGCTCAGGAACGGATACATGGTGGGGCAAAGTCTCCGCGAAAGTTTCAAAGTTTCACCGGTCTGGGCTGCCCAGATCAGTGTATCCTCGACTCGAGGACCTCGAGCAGCATCCAAGCCGGACAGGTCGGGGCTATAATGTACACACACTTGCACCAAGCGTGTCAGCATAGTCGGAATGGAATGGCGAGACAAGATCTCCATTGGCGCCGCATAAGACGCCAGCTTGCCCGCAAGCCCTCGTCCAGCAGGCAGAGCTCACCATCTCGATGACTCCCCCGCTTCAATCGCGGCAGTCGTCGAGCGGCGGCGGACGCCTGGTCCCCCCGGTGGAGCCAGTGTCCGTTGACTGGCCAGATGGCTACCTGGTGGCAGCGCTCCGAGAGGCACGCCGCTCCGCTTGGCCGGCCACGCAAGTCGCCACTAGCACACGCTGGCCATGCGTTGAATCGACGCTTGATTGATCGCGGCGGGGGGCATGGTAATCGCCAGTTGGTCGTGGCTGCTCCAGAAGAGAAGGCGGGCGTCTATCGTGAGTCTTCATCGGCTGCTTCAATCGGCCGAAGACCACCGCGAGGTCAGAGCGACCGACCGAGCGGTGCAGCTTTGGCTTCAATGTCTGGCTGCCACCCTGAGCCTCAGGGCCTGAGGAGGATGCAGCGAAGGCCTCCGAGCTCCGAGACTCGAAAGAGGTTGCCGTCCTGCTAGGACCGCCACCGCTGGGGCCGGGCCGCTACCGGAATATCCAGCGTAGCCGACAGCTCCTTTCGGCGATCGTGCCGTCGGTCAGTCGTGGCCAACGCCTCAAAAATTGCCTTCAACACGACGCGCGCAGCGGTGACTCGCTCTCTCGTGGTCCTCCCCGCCTGCCTCTGTCTCGCTCGCGGACAACGCTTCTGACCGCTGTTGACAGCACGTAGCGTCGCGACTCGGCGAGCGTTGTTCTTGCTCTTGCCGTCGGGCACCCATGCATCACGAGCGTGACCCAAAGCATGTAAAAGTCGCAGAGTGCATAAGACCCGTGTACGGTTCGCGTCGGCTCGCCAGCCTGCAAGGTAAGGTAGGTGGCCGTCGCGCGCGGCCTCTTCGGGGTGCGGGCCATCATTGACAGCATGGTGCCATCGTGTCCGTCTCCGCGACGGCCGGCCGTATGTGCCGCCGCAACAAACGGTCGAAGAGCGCCATGGGCCATCACGAATGTGGTAAGGCCGCGTCTCGGTAGTGTTGTCGAGCCGCTGGGGCTCCACTCGCGCCGCTGCAGCCTGCGCGACCAGCTGGAAGCTGTCATCCACCCGGAATCCCAGCTGATCCCCAAGTGACAAGAGCCCGGTTTGTGCGCGCTGGTTGCTTGACGGAGCTTGTGGATCGGATTCGCTGCCCCTGCCTTTCCTGTCTCCGCTGCCTGCTGTCGGCGCCTCCGCGAGAGAGAGCCACTGCCTTCTGGTCCGACCGCTCTCATGGCGCGGCTTGGCTGCGGGTCTCCCAGAGCAGCCTCATTATTCATTTGGTCGCCTAGCGGACAGACACACAGGACTCCACCTCCTACAGTATCATGTCCACGTTCTCCTCGATCCGCTCGTTCCCGATGCAGCCCCAGCAGTATCAGTGCCAGGGGTTCGGCGGCCTGCCGCACGCGGCCAGCTACTCGAGCCCGGCCATCAACCCGGCCCAGGAGCGCATGGCCCTGCCGCCTCTCAGCGTGCTGCCGTCGCGCGCAACGTTCGGCTACTCGCCCATGCACAACAAGTCCATGTCGGTCATGGTGGCCTCGCCGGCCGCGTCGTTCTCCATGCAGCCGGCCCAGTCGCCGTCCAAGAAGCGCGTGCGCGCGCTGCCCAACGCCTCCAAGTCCATCACGCTGGACATGCTGCGGCCGCACTTCGAGAAGCCGCTGGCCGAGGTGGCCAACATCTTCGGCATCTGCATGACGCTCATGAAGAAGATCTGCCGCAAGAACGGCGTGCCGCGCTGGCCGCACCGCCAGATCCGCGGCCTGCGCAAGAGCATCTGGTCCATCGAGAAGGCGCTGCGCTGCTGCGAGTCCGAGGCCCAGCGCCTGTCGTACAACGACCACCTCCAGAAGCAGCGATCGAAGCTGCTCACGATCCTCAAGGGCCCCGCCAGCCCGAGCAGCAAGGCCGCCTTCGAGCTCGTGTTGACCGAGCCGTGCTCGCCCATGGGCGAGATGGCCACCCCCACCGCGGCCGCCGAGAAGACCACGAGCCCCGCCGTGCACTTCCAGCTGCCGACGCCCACGGCGTACGCGCAGTCGCCGCGCAACGCGTACGCGAGCATGAGCCCGCAGCCGCAGATGGGCAACGTGTCGCCCAAGCTGCCGTCCATTGCGTCGCTGCTCATGAAGAACGAGGAGCAGCAGCGCCCCAACTTCAGCTACCAGTTCTAAGTGCGTCGCTCTCTGGTCAAGAGTGAATGGGTCAGTGTCCAAGTTTGTGGTCAAGGCGTGGATTAAATGTCGTGAAAGTGTTGTCAAGTAGCGTAGTGTTCGTAGCGTAGCTTTGTGTTAGGTGGACTGTAACAAGCAATGAAAGGGTCTATTTATCCCAAGCACTATTAGAACCCATCTTTCTCAAGTCCTAACTGTTGGAAGAAATGTTGCTGGACGTTCGACTACCACGTAAGTCGAGAAGAAAATCCTCTCGACTGTATGCAGTTCACAATCGAGTCTTTAGGAGTGCCGCCAAGATTACATGAATATGAAGAGGAGGGCTAAGGATAGTTGTTGCCTTTACATGTTGGAATCTATTACACGGTATCAACGAAAAACACCGGCACTGTTTACCATACTTTGGCCGCATGGGTATTGCAAAGCGTCCACAAGGTAGAGATCATTGCCACCGCTATACTGGCTGTATTTGCTACACAACTTCGCGCTAATTCGGCTGAAAACGAGGTGGGTAAAGATGTGGTAAGTACAACGGCTCGTTGCCGCATTATAATTTTGCTAAGTTGGCATTACGGTATCTCTTGCAACGAACATTGAGTTATCGAGTTACTTCAAAACATGATGAACCAAATGCAGTTGAGCTGCTTGGCGTCAGCTTTGAGCAAGCTATTCTGTGGTTCGAGCCCTGATCACAACGTGATACCGGCAAACATATCGCTGCACGAAAACATCATCCCAATCGAGGGCCGAGATTAAACTGCTTCTTCCACCCTTCATAGTCGAACTCCACTTCCCCTCGCAGCATTATGAGGGCGCTATCGTCCGGGCGAGTGAGTGCAACAAAGCCATTACGGGCAGTCCAAATCGTAATGGTGACGATACGACTCAGATAGAACGGTACCACACAAAATTTGGCCTGTCGACCGAGATATGTAAAGTCAAAGATAACTCGATCACGCAGCTCCATATTTCCCCAAGTCAACGCATCCAGAAGAATCACAACTTGAATCGAGACGTAGCTCACAATTCCATTGATAATGATCCAGTGCTTGTAGCGCAGTCGATGCTTCATGACTGGAGTTAGCGCGTCGCAGGCCAATATTGGGAAACCTATTGGGAAACCTAAGAGCAAACTCGAGGCCATACCGCACGTAGGTATCCAACTCCACCCGAACATATCGGCGACACACAGGCCCGCAGCAATAATTTGAAGCTCAAGGAACAAAAAGTGGAAAGACGCGAGGACGCGCTTGAGTAATTGGCGTTGAGAGCAGCATGTGTGAACTCCACAGTAAATGGCACTCGCTATCAGTCCACCTACGGCACTGACCGGAGCACCTGTAGCACTCCTCGGTAAAAAGATGGAGAGTGCGCCAAATACGCCTCCAATTGTGCCGCAGACATGTACAGCGATGAGTTGCCAGGCTGAAAGGGGTGTAAGCGCTCCAATTCGAGGCCACACGGTGTCGCGAGGGTCAACGCGAAAGGATTCCGCAGCTAGCACCATTTGCAATAGTGGACGTTTAGTATATCGGTTCATCTCCTGAGGCACAATGTGTCTCTCGGTGAATGACCAATGATTTCTTGCCGTTCGCACTTGATGCAGCGAAATACTGTCGGAAGTTGAAGGGAATTGGGTCCCTACAACATTTAACGCAATTTTGCATCTGTACCCCAGAGATTTCACCGATACTCGTTGCTTACTTTTCTGCTGCTTGAGGTGTCGGTATCGACGGTAAACATTCCGCAGCGAAAGCATCGTCATCGTTACGAGGGAGTTAACTAAAACGTCGTTAGTGGAAAGCGTTCTCCCTCCAGTTGTGATCAATTCGTAGTGCTGGACCCCATCGACAAGCTCCAGTGACAGCAACACCGTAAGCAGCACGTAAAATGTCCACTGCATGAACGCCACACCGACAATCATGCGCGAGTTGCGCAGGTAGGCTTCTTCTAGGAGCCAAAACGTAAAGTCTACCCAGCAAAACAGCACGAGAACCACCCGAGAATCATTGAGAACGGCGCAAAATGTCGTAGCCCACAATGTGTTGGCCGTCTCCAAGAACCAAAAGTCGAAGGTACAAACGAGAATCTTCATGTAACCAGTGCGCATGTGAGATAGTGCCAATACCAATCCGAGAATTTGCAGGAAGACGGATATCGGGGCAAGGATACATCCAACTGAGACCGGGGACGCGAAAGTCGCGATTCGAGCTGAAAGACCAACAATTCCCAGAATTCCCAGGAACGGGTTTAGGCGCGTAGCGATTCGGTTGAACTGCCTTAAGGCGCTTGGGCTCAACAAGACTGTCTTGACCATCGGTAGGGGGTCAAACGCGGGAAGAGTCCCGTTCCACGCAACAATCCGGTAGCAGCCATCGTCGGCATTGACCACGCGGCTTGAATCAAAGGGAAGGATCATGCTCAACCAGCTCAAAGTAGTTGCTGTGCTTGCTTCATTGAGCTATCGATGTATTTCTGGCCTGGTGGCCCGAGTGATCTGTCCAAAAGTAGGTGAACAGCTTATACCAAAATCAACATTTACCATAAGTCAAATATGACGTTTGCTATTGCGCCTTGGGTATAACGTCATCCTCTACAGAATCTTGACAGTTGAGGACTTGGCACGATAGCTTTTGCTCTGGAAACCCATGGGCAGATTGAAGAAAGGCCGTAGGCACGTTAAAACCTGCCTGTATTTGGACACTTCGAATATCCACGCCGGTAAAGGCAAGCAGAGACCCCAGTTCAGAAGGAGTTCGAAGTTATAATATGTGTAACCTTGAACAGCAAATAGTGCACATTTCAAGGGAACTTTGGTCGCCAACGACTATCAGACGGCAACGGTCAGATATTCATCGGACGAAGTGGGTTGCGGTGAACTTCAAGGGAGCTGCGGTGGACGCCAAGGTGTTAATGTTGACAGCTAAGGTCAATATTTGCTGGGAGCGATAGTACACGCAACAAGATGGCACTTGCACGGTTGCCGACCTGCGCTTCGATAAGGTTAGTAGTACTGGTATATACCGGACGGGTACGTACACGTTTTTACGCCAACCACCCTTGAACTCGGTAAGCTCCTTTTCCAGTGCAATCGCCTTCCCCTTTAGCGCGAGGATCTCATTCTTGGCCGCCAGCAGCTCCTGTTGGTTTTGCTGGTTTTGTTGGCCTTGTTGGTTTTGCTGGCTCTGTTGGGAAATCACGCCGTCGCTCTCCAGAAACGCTAGTGCCGTGTGGAACACGGCGTCATCGTCTTCCAAGAAGAGCGCGTCGCAGAACAAATCGTCGTGGTCATATATTGAGCTCTTCCTCTTCTTCCACGGAGACGACGTTGAGCAATGCAACGTTACAAGTCGGCTCATGATCCTCACGCCCAATGGACCAGCAAAAATCTATGTATTGTGAACGGTCTGCAGCGCTAAGGCTTCCGCCGCCTTAGTTCAGGATGAACTGGTTCAGCATCGCCAGCGCCTCGGCGGGCTTGTCCTCCGGGACCATGTGGCCCGCGCCCCGCACCGTCACGAACTTCATCGAACCAAAGTCATCGACAAAGCCCGCGATCTGGTCCGAGTCCGTCAAAGTCCACGCCGTCTTGTTGGCCGCGCGCGTCAGACCCAGCGACTGAACGGCCCACTGGCCGCTGATAAAGTCGCACGACATGTCCACGTCGCCATGGTAGACGATGCCTTCAACACCGCTCTCCACCAGCGACGACCACACCGGCGTCACCACTTCGTCGATGTCCATGGTGTACAAGAGCGCCTTGTTCGCGAGGATCGTGGCTGCCGCTTCGTCCGAGATGCCGGCGACGAGCGCGAGAGGAAATGTCGCCGACGTGTACTCCACTGCGGCACGAGCGGGTTCGCGTGCAGCGCGTCGCGCACCTCAGCAATGTTGAAGTACGAGTTGGGCTCGTCGAACGAGATGCACACGGCCAGCGTCATGCGGATCGGGCGGTTCACTTCCTGCGCCGCACCCTGCAGCTCGGCGAGTATCTCTCCGATGGAGCCGGACGACTGGCCGCTGACACAGTCGCTGTAGATGTCGTAGTTGTTGAGGTTGAGGCCCGAGATGGTGCTGTCGAAAGTCGACAGCGCGTCGTTGCACGAGGCCGTCAGGTTCGTCGGCAGTGCCTCGCCGGGACGGAGCTCCACCGGGCAGACGTTGGCGACGGCGAAATAGTCCTCAGGCGAGATCAGACCATGGTGGTACGCAAAGGCCGGCGCACTGAGCGTCGAGAACTCGTTGACGGCGTTGCCGACCGAGAACTTGGTCAGGTTGATGATCTCGCTCTCGTTTCTCGCGGCGCGGTTGCCCTCCACGATGCGCTGCGCCGCCAGCGGCACGTACACGCCCGCGTAGCTCTCGCCCATGATGATGAACTCGTTAGCGCGCAGCCACGGGAACTTGCCGAAGAACACCTGCAGCATGCTGTACAGATCTGCGCGTAGTCGCCCGAAGAGTAGATGCCACTGGCGTTGTACGTGTAGCCGACGCCAATAGGCGACTCGATGGCGACCAGGTTGGCGTTCAGGTTCCACGCATAGTCGTTCGTGCGCAGCGTCGTGCCGTCGTCGTTGATGAGCAGCGGGCCGAGCTCCGTGAACAAGCCCAGGAGGGAGCTGGCGCCGGGACCGCCGTTGAGCCACAGGATCACCGGGTCCGTCTCGGATGTGTTGCTCTGCGACTCGGCAAAAAAGTAGAAGCCTTCGCCGCCGTTGTCGATGTTGAGCGCGCCGGAGAAGAGTCGTGCCGTATAGTTGTCAGGGATGCCCGGGAGACCAGAGATGAGGTCGCCGGCGCCGGTGAAGCTGTCGTCACTGGAGCTGTTTGAGCTGCTCGAGCTATTGGCGCTCAGGTCGGTGGGGGAGCTGCTGGAGTTGAGGTCCGTAGCCTGCGCTCCGACGGCCAGAACGGTGAGGGCCGCGGCGATGCGCTTGAACATGGCGGAGTCCTCGCAGGTGGGTGCTCCGTGAGACGTAATGCAATGTGTTACGTTTTCGCGTTGCCACACTATGCCTCCGTGAGATGCAAATGGCGAAATGCATTGGTCCAGAGGCGATTTCGATGATGAGTCCCGGTGGACAGGGATCTCAGAACTGAGATCTACTTCTCTGGTCCACCGTGACCGTCCACGTGGACCACGATACACTGTACTGTAAACCGGTGGAACTTCTAATACCCGTCCCACCCGGGCCACTGCAGAGAAACATTGGACGTTTTCTAGTGAGTAATGGTTCCGTCGGTATGCAGCGCGGAGGAGCTGCTTCACTGGGCGGTTCCTGAAAACTCTGGCTGAACAACAGGCCAGGGTTGCTAGAAATCTCCACAGGCTAGCGAGGCTATTTACTTCACCGCTCACAGGAAGCCTCAACGCATACGAAACAATCCTATTAAAATATAACGAGAGCTATGCGTAGGCTGGGATAGCTAAAGGATTTTGTGTGAGGTAATGCCACGCGACAATTCTGGGAAAATTACGAAAAACAGCAATTTCCACTACATTGGGGGTCAAACGAAGTTTCATTAATGGGAGCTTATGCGATGACCATCAGCTCAGTCCGATAAGGGACGAGGAGAGCGGTGCCCCCAAATGGTCGTGCAATCAGCCCCACTAATGCAACGTCGAATCGCCCCGCGGACCTGTTACCATGTTTGCCGCCAGAGTAGCAACCGACTCCTTGCAGAGTCTGGTGTAGGTCTTGAACGCATCGGAAACCCAACGGCCGTGAAACTGGATCGTGAGTGCATCCGCCAGCTCGGTACATGTGGGTTGCTCCGCCCGCTCGTAGAAAATGGGAGCTGAAACAGCGTGGGTCTTCGCCAGCGCTGGTTGCCGCCCGCTTGATAGCTTCTGACACATCATCCGTCGCAATGCAGGCCGGTTTTCCGCAGCGGTCCAGGTACACTGCAGCCGGTATATCAGCGGGTAGGTGTTTCCGGACTTGGAGAAGGATCAAGGCACCAAACACGGGGCACAAGAATGGGTGTCCCGAGCGTGACAACATCCTCGTTGCAGGAGAGCCGCCTTGGTTTGTCTTGGAGCCGATCAGGCGCATACACACCGACTGTGCCTTCGATGGGGACAGGGTTGGCTGGCCTTCCGCATCCAGAACCGCGATGTCTTGAGCTCGAACAGCAAACCACATGAACGATCCGCCAGTAATTGCCACGATTTCCGACCGCCGAAGGAGGAAAAAGAACGCCAGGCACATGAACCCCCAGAGGGCTTGCTCGAAGGGCTCAGTCATTGAAAGGTTGCGGAAGCACACCTCGAGGAGTCCGATTGACACTGGTGCTTTCCGGCGCGGAGGTGAATCGAGACGGCTGATGCCCTTGAGCAGCATACGAATGTGCGGGTGTGCGATCGGGAAGTCATGGCCGGATGCCGCGAAGAAGTGCCGAACACCGATGAGCACGGCCATGATCGAGTCCCTGCGAATGGGACCCCCGGACCCGAAGGCATACCGAAAGACGTGGAGAATAAAATCCGAGATGTGCTGCACTTGAGCAGCGAGAGGCATGCCCAAAAGCGAGGGAGCAATGCCCTGGCGGGACGTCCAGGTCGTCCCTTTGTCAAGGCTCGGCGGTATTGCTCGAACGTGGGGTCGGCAACGGAGTGCGCTCGGAGATACTCTGCCAGATATCGATCAGACCTTGAATATCCACTGTCGGCGACACCTGCGACCATCCGGGAGTTAGTGACGAGAATTTGACCGCATACAATGGGTTAGCGGCAATGCGGGAGCCAGCGTCGGCGCGTTCGTTGTCAGAGCCGGCCACGTGCGACGCCGAAAACCGAAGCTGGAACGAAGTCTCCCACCAGCTAAGTAGCCGGATAATCACTTGAGCGCGTGAATTACAGGACGCGAGCTTGTTTTGCCATGCGACCGCAGAAGTGTTGTCGATGCGAAATTGAACGTGGCGTGGGCGATCGTTGCGCGAGGCACCGGAGCCCCACCGGCGTCCCCATGCGTGGACCGCGAAAGCGCACGAGAGCAGCTCCCGAAAGTTGATGACACGAGGCGGTCCCCAGAAAATTGCCGACGATGTGCCGTCACCTCTGTGACCTGGAGTTTGTATCGGATGCTGATTGGTGGATGACTTGGGTACGGCGCGGCTGTACCCGTGTGACATGGATGGCGACTGTGGGAGAGAAGTGATTTCTCGGGATGAATATCCAGCGTCTGAACGCAGATGGGCCCAACTGGCTGGAAGTGTGAATCCTGGGAGTGCACGCCCAGAATTTCAGAGAACACTCAGTCCAGCCGCGGACTTTCGCTTACGATGAGTGCCTAAAGTCTGGCGGAAAGTGTCTCTGGAGAATGTATCCCAGAGTACACCTCATCTTGCAGTGGCTCAGAGTGCCCCAGAGGATCAAATTACCCTGAGAATCAACCCACTACCACCGTGATCATGCGCAGGAGGCCGCTAAACCCGCTAAAAGTGTGGCTTTGTGGAGATGCACGCAGGCCTGCAATGTAGCAGACTTGTTACCCAGAGTGCTGCACGGAAACCCAGAGTGCCGCACGATGACCCAGAGTTCACCTCCCTGAGTACAGGTGACCCAGAGTTCCAAAGATGATTCTCTGGGTTTGGACCATAAATCCAGACTCTCTATACTGAACTTAAGTGTTTCCCGAGCCAACACCCAAGAATCCCCACAGTTCCCCAAGATTCCTCAGAATTCCCAGGATTTCAGAAGATGACCCTGAGTGTCACCTGGTTTTCAGGGATTCGAGTCAGTTCGAAGCCAGTCTGCAATCAAAATGATGCGTGACCTTGAAGAACCGTCATGGATGCACAGACTGGATACTTTTGAGGAGTCGAGAGGGAGTTCTGCACCATACTAAACCAAGTCTAAGGACCCACTATTGGCACTTTCGACGCCGTGCGACAATGGATTCGCAAGCCGATCGCAAGTTTGGACCGCTGATCCCAAGGTATACTCAAGACAAGACATTTTGACCCCAAGCATAGTGAACAGAAGCTATTTGCCCGAAGAAGAAGAAGAAGAGAGAGAGAGAGAGAGAGAGAGAGAGAGAGAGAGAGAGAGAGAGAGAGAGAGAGAGAGAGAGAGAGAGAGAGAGAGAGAGAGAGAGAGAGAGAAGTAGCTGATAAAAACCAAACAGAGTTCCTTTTACCCTGTACTGCGCAAGTGACTTCGGCCAAGCCTGCCGACGGAAATCCGGAGGACCCGAGACTACGACCGCGGGACGCTAAGGGCACATCAACGGCGAAGGACAGCCGTCTGTGTGGGCTCCATCAAAACTCAAGTCCAGTTAGGTGGTGACCAGCGACGGCCTTGAGCTTCCTAGGGTGATCCATCTATTCCATATCCTAGTTGGGTCACTTGCTGTGCTCGTCGTAGCCCATTTCATATCATTCCAGAGGGTATTCTGGGGTGCTAGGTAGTCGCCTCCAGGATTTTGTATTGACTGCTTGTGTGAAGGGAAAGGTAACTGACAGTGATTGTATTTTCCTCCTTTATTGGAGGTGGTGCGCGTTTGTGTGAGTCTCAGGGGAGCTAGGTCCCTGAATTTCAGACTCGAGTGAGCCTAGTGTGTGTGTGACCCACCGTCCAAGGGTCCAAAAGAATAAGTGACGGCTAGTTGTAGTGTTTGTATACTCTGTATTTGTTGGTTTTATCGAGCTAGGAGGGCATTGGGGTAAGGTGTCTTTTGAGTTCCAAGTCCCAGAGTTGACTGAAATCCTGGACCCTGAATTCGTGATATTCTGGGTTTCAAGGGATCTAATTCTCTGGGTTGCCTTTTGGTGTGGAGGTGCGTTCTGAAGTAGACGTGCGCTCCCGCACTTCTTCGAGGCTACATTTTCAACCGGTGGAGTGCCGTTCCGTCGAAGACAAACGAGCCGACAGGGATTACACAAGGTACCCACGCCAACCAAGGAGTGTGATTCTCAGGGTTTAAAGCTTTGCGGCTGCGAATCTCTGGGTATATCTTCTTGCTGTTGACTCTCAAGTCGTTTCTCTGGGTCTACCTCTTGGGAGCAGTCTTGGGCTGCGCTATACGAACCCCCCCCCCCCTGGGCGACAAAGGTTTCATCGGCCTCGCCTCATTGATATCGAAGCCGTTGGGCGTGCCATCCTTAAAAGCCGCAATCAAGGCACGCTCGCTGTCCGAGAACTGGTACGTGAGGGCCACTTGCGATGATACATCCAGCGCGCAGAGGCCATAATCGGACGCATCCATTTCGACTACAATATCGGGTACTGGGAGAGCATTGAAGTATTCCAGCGACACGCCGTTCAGGCGGGGAGTGTGGAGCACACACCACCATCATATCAGGTCTTGTTGCATGTCCGGCGTAATCGGGACACGCTGAAACCGCTGAAGATAACTTTCGTGTCGGCGCAGACGCTGGAGAAACGGCCGTGCAGCACGGATGCATGTTGCGACGCGCCGGAGGCTACCCATCAGCGACAGGTAGGCTTGCCTTGAAAGTGATGAAGCAGAGTACGCAGCCGCCACAATACTGCGTGCCTTGATTATCTTCTCCGTTGGTATCGAGACCGTTTCCGCCACCGTGTCGAACATGAGGCCCAGTACACGTTGGCGCGTGTTCCAGTCGGTGAACTTCTTAGTGTTGATAGCGTCAGCTCCCAGGACTGCTGCCATAGCGTACCGTAGGGACCGATCAACGTCCTCGCAGGAGGTGCCAATGTCCGCAGCCACATTGATGTGGTCGTCAACCCAGTGATAATTGAAGACACCACCCGGGTACTCGCCAGTCGTGTGTGAACCGTGCACGTAAGCGACAGCACCACCAGCAATCTCGTAGAAACCCGGTGATCCAGTCCAACCGAATGGCGCAGCGAGCTCGATCACGATGACATCGTCCTCCTCGATGTGGCCGCCGAAAAGATACACGCTGTTGCTGTGAATGCTGATGTTGCGGAAAGCAGACGCCACATCACCAGCCATC